GCCAGTTCCACAGATGGGGTACCACAACTTACCTGCTACAGGTAGCTTCCTTCCTAGATTCCTTTAAAGGTGGCTCCTGGAGCAGAACTTCTGATGAGATTCTTAGAGTCTGGGTAGGCTTATGTGGATGGAAACTTTTTTCTTGATAGGTCCAAAACTGTTTATGTTAAGATGAGCACCTTGAAGTATGCCTGGATGTCAGTTAGCAGCCAGTGCAACTGATAGAGAACTGGTGTTATATGTTTACTACTACCAGTCCCTGTCAGCAATCCGGCTGCTCTATTTTGCACCAATTGAAGCTTCTGGACCATTTTCAGTGTTGTTGTTGTGGGGATAAGAGAAAGGAGGAGAATTGTGTAAGCCGCCTTGAGCTCCTTGAAAGGAAGAAAGGTGGGATATAAATATAATAAAGAAAAGAAGGTCATTAGATTTCATGATGTTTTCTCTTACAGGCCACCACCTTTGAACAAACAGACGAGGTCCCCTCTCATAGGCCAGATTTAAATCTATTTCTTGAGTCTTGCTTCAGCCTCCTGCAACTAAATGGAAGGGGTGAGTGTGTTATGGACAACTGCAGAAAGAGCAATTGTCACCCAAACCTGCAGAAGAACAAAGATTTAGCAGCTGGTGTCTCCTTGTCCATCATGGGGCAGAAGTAAGCCATGAGCATGTGCTGGTGTCTCTCAATAGTCCCAGTGTAAGTGAGATAAAGATACTGCTCTATAACATCTTAGATGATAGAAGGGCTGCCCCCTCATACTGTGTAGATTTCATATTCCTTATGAGAATGAGGGTGTTGGCACTAGATTCAGCACTGGCAAATAGTGTTATGGACAGATATATGGAGCCAGATTACAGCAATTCATGGCAGTTGATGCAAATAACAATTTCACTCTGATGCAACAGGTGATTTCTTACTGGATTAGTTAGCACCATCCATGCACATGGCCCTTTTCTGCATATGGGCAGAAAATACAAGTCCCTGATTCAAGGGGCTTCCAATCTATTTTTTTAATAGAGAAAGCAAAAAGGAAAGGAAGAGAGCTCAGCAAAGCTAATGGAATAATTATATGCAGTTACACATCTTAGGCTATCTTAAAGAAGAAGACTGAAGTAATTCTTGATCTTAGAAGTTTTGGAACCTCTTTGTAGAAAACAAGAAGGAAACAAATCTTATCAATAGCAAAGGTTACACTATTTAATAATAATGAGGTCACGCACCAACCATTTCCAGACAGAAGCAGCAAAAGATCTCTTGGGAGGTCCACAACTATTGAATGGGGAAATTATCATTTCAACAACTTTCTGAAAATCAAGGGAACAGCTTGCTGCTCACAGGATACAAGAATCAAGTTGTAGAGATGTAATGAGAAATTTGTTACAGTTTGTTAAACATCAGAACTTGCCCCATTTGCAAAGGAACCACACATTTTTGGGCAAAGACTGCATACTTCTGAGCTTAAAATCATGTTCTTTAGAAAAGTGTGCAATTTAAAAGGCACACTTTGAAAAGTACTTAATTTTCCTGCTTTAGTTAATGGGGAAAAGTAAAAATTTAGATACGTACTGAAAAAATCCACACCCAAATGTGCATTTGAACAACAGCAGCAGAAACAGCAACTTATATTTGGGCATGGGAATGAAGTGAACTGTACTGTGAGGCGGAACTTGGGAGAACATCAGTCTTGTTGATTCTCCCATGCCTATGCAATTAATTGGCTTTTACAAGGAGAGATAATGTGGGTAATGATAGGCATCATTCATTACTACAGAACCTTGCAGCAGAGAAAAACAGTCAGCAGTGAAGGCCAGGACACACACCTTTGGAGGAATTTTGTAAAGGCAGGTCAATAAATAGATTGCCAAAGCCAGGTCAGAATGCAAGTGTGGAAGGTGGATTTGAGAAGGCCTGCATACTATAAGGTCTTTAGCAATATCCTCTTGAAGAAAGCTATAGGATAATGTCATTTATTTTAGAAGTAATCTGCTCCCTTTTAATCATTTGTTTCTCCCAGGTAGTGATGGTGTGATTGTCCACACATTGCAGATTTACCTCCATCTTATGTTGTGTTGCTTGCCACTTTGAACAGTAGATACCCAAGATGACTGTTGTAATGGTTTCAGGCTCCACTAGCAATGCTCCTCAAGAATGACTTGTGAGTTCCTCTGTGGGGGGGTGGGGGGGTGCCTAACCGGCAGCAATCGTCAAGCACAAGTTTTCTGGATGTTGCTGATAGACAAGTAAATGTGATGCCGGGTGATCACATCTCCTGTGCTTTTTAAAATATTCATAGCAGCCATAGGTCAGGCAGTCTGGATCTAGACTAAAGCACTGGGGAAAAGTGTTTTAACTCTTTAATGCCATACCAGTTTCTCAATCCAAACTGCCTCTCCTTTTGCTGGGCGGGAGGGACATAGAGGTTCTGGGGAGGCAATTGAAGACATTACGAATGGTTCAGGCAGAAAACATTAACACTGGTATAAGCGTATGTGATAGTGCCAATCCATTGTCACATCTCATCTTCAAGTAGCAATCAATAAATTTTTTCAAAGGAAGAAGAACTAGCTTGGCTTTGGGCTGTAAAATGGATGAAAAGGGTGAAGCAAAATAGATTTTCAGAAAGCAAGGCAACCATCAGCTCTGTTTAGAAGCCAGTGGCCAGTTTGCATGATTGCAACAGCCCAGTCATGGCTTAACCCTAAACAGCCCATTTTTTAACCCTTGCATGACACAGTAAATCACTGGGAACTCCCAGCACAGCTTGAATATTCAAAAGTACAGATGACACATGCCAGAACCCAGGGGGTGCTGCAGGGATCATGCAAACCTGGATTGAATCTACATGGTGCTTTTATTGCAATGCTGTATTGCCTGAGTAACTCCCAAGTGGCACATGACATTGCGTGTTTTGTCTCTGTTGCATCGTTATCCCTTTCTCCTTTTAGTGCAAAATCATCATGACCAGTTTTATTCCAACCTTTCTCCATCGTGTGCTTCAGTTGTGGTGTACGCTGTGATGTGTATGCTCATCTGGCACTGTCCTTTCCTTCCCAGCAGGGTGGGGGCAGGGAGAGATTTAATTTGAAATCCTGAGAATCTTTGTCAGTTTACCCAGATGTTCGTCTGACTCATTTAGGTCTTCATTCAGATTTTCATTTAAACAAACCCAGCTGCCACACCAGATTTATCAGAGTATGCTACCACATATGAGACTGTAGAAGAGGGGGAGAGAGGAAGCACCATCTCTACAAAGAAACCAGCAATTTCTGTTCACCTTTTTAAGCAGTCTCCATGCCAACTGGTTATGATAAAAACACTCAACAACATCCAGTGCCAACAGAGCTTTACAGGCAGATCACATTTGGTCACTGTAGGAACCATGTAACAGAAATTATGCCTGATTTTTCTTGTTTTCCTTTTGCTCATCCCATTTTCCTCTTGGAAGACAAGTACTACCTTGTTTTTATTAGTCTTAAGACCCTACAGGCCTTTCCAGCTGTCCAATTTATTTTGAAATAGAGTGTATTTATATTTAGATAAATACAAACTAATAAAACCAGGATGCATAAAGGAAGCTCAAAAATGTAAAACATACATGCAAAATGAGGAGGAACTGTCATTTTTTTCCTAAAGTGTCACTTCCAGCCTACTCTAAAATCCCAATCAGCTCTCTTCATCTTGTGCTGAAGCATTTGGGCTTCTCCACATATTAGGATTAAGAAATACCACTTTTCCCAGATATATACAAGTGTGTTAATAAAGATAGGTGTGTGTGAGAGAAAGAGAGGGAGAGGACATACAGAACAAATTTATGTATGACAGAGTGCAGGTGAGCAAACCTTTCCGTTTGACCTAGTAAGTTCTCCTGCCAACTCATATTCCTTCATCTATCTAAATGGTCCCTCTCCTCATGTGCATTACTTTATTTGCCTTTGTTTCTAAGTAAAAAATAAGATGGTCTGTCCTTTCAGAAAGTGCTCTGGAACCATCCTGTGTTCCTCATTTCTTTCTTAAACACTCTTGCCTGCTTCAAACATTTGCAGAGTACTCTGATGTGGTTTGCAACTTCTTGTACTCTGTAGATCCACCAGCTTCTTTGCCTTGCTTCCAAATTGAGCTTCATTGCTATGGTCCTATTTGTTCACAGATTTTTTTTTTTTTTTGGGAGGGGGGCGGTAGATGTGTGGTGGAGGGGAACAGTGAAAGAGTGTGTGTGTGTTTGTTCATTCATGGCTAATTTGCAATTTAGGCAGGACCTGTTGGATTGTGTATATCTGGTTGGAGGGGAACAAAAGTGCCATTGTGGTACAGAATTTGAACTGGATGTGTTTTGTCTGGTTGGCAGTTTGGAAAGCAATTTGTGGAGGGGAGACAAAGAAGGAAAAGTGCAGCATGAGTGTGCACATGTACACATGTTGTAAACATGGCAAGTGTGGCATAGGTCCTTCCCATTTTGGCCTATCCACTGCCATCTCCTGGAAGATTAACCATGAGGAAATGCAGCCCTTGAGGTTAAAAAATGCCCTCTATCCCAGGTATATGGTATTCTTCACATAACCTTGGTAGCAACTGTAATGGGTGGAGTTGCCCTTTGTCCCTTCAGTGGGAAGGACTGGGGGATTTTAATACTTCGACACAAATTAGTTTTTATTAGAATGCGGATGATGTTCAAAAGTTCCCTCCATCTGTTGATTTTGTCTGCAGCCCCAAGTGTTTAGCCCTAACCTGCCCTAAGATTAGGCTTTCTAGTCAAGTGGAAAAAGTGGACAAGACAGAGGTGGTGCCTCACCTCCTTGCTACAGATGTTTTCTTCTATGTGGTTCCTCACTTTGGATGACGGAGGCAAACTCATTATTGTGAATCCCATGTGTAGAACTAAATGGTTAGTTAATGTTTCCATCCCAAACGTTTAAATGGAAAATGAACAGGCCAAGTTCTCCCCTCTGTCCTTGCCCCCTCACACAGACAGACAGACGGACACACACGTGCGAGGCAGATCATTTTTGGTGTCCATACAAACAAAGGCAGAAAGTTAATTAAACAGCGTAAATTCTAGATAGAATTATAAACTATAAATAGTTTCCTAGGAACATCTATACAATTCTATTCCTGTTTTTCAAACCCTTTAAGTAAAAAATAAATTCTACGCATCATTCAGAGCTACTGGTTTTTCAAGTGTTATGCAAATATATTTAGATAATCACAAATATTACAATAATACCTCAAAAGGATAAGTTTTCTGCTATAATTCTTCACAATCTGGATTATTGCAAAAACATTCAAATAGGGTTTTACCATGTAAAACCTAGTCGAGCCTTAGTGTGATCATATTCATGTTCATTTAATAGTTTCATTTCTTGAGCTGTATCACCTAAATATGGTAGCTTAGTAATATGTTTGTCACATGACTGATGACTGTCTCCATGAACTGCTACACTGACACCAGCAGCACCTTCATTTACTGCTTTGAAAAGAGGATAAAGATGCTGAGTGGTCTTTGATTCCTCATCAATGACTTTCTTTGCATACTTCTGGAATTCCTGCTCCTTGTACTGTGCAATGAGGTCTTTTTGTCTAACATATTCTATGTCTTCTTGCTTCTCAAGCCTTTGTCTAGCCATTTTTTCGGCCTGTATTTGGGAAAAAAAATCTTAGGTTTATCCATAATAATATTAAAGTGTATTTGGATGGAGATTAGAAACTTGAAGTAGTCCTGGCTTTTCTTTGCAATCAGATAAACTAATACAGTATTAGCAACATGTAAATAATTTATGTAGCAAAAGCATAGTACAAACGCAATCTATTTTCCAATTATATCAATAAATTTAATAGTTCTGAGATTGGGTTTATAGGCAGCTACTGAGCAGTGTTCTTGCAGAAGCTCCACTGCGATGAAAGATAAAGTCCTTTCCTTGGATGGTCACGTTGACAGGAAAGGTCAGAAGAGAAGTGTAATCACCTTCAACTCAATGCAGTTATATTTCTCCACATGTCTGGGAGCCCTGACTGCAGAGTTCCTACTCCTGTAGAGGATTTTAACCACATTCAGCTGGATGTGATTACAGCTCCTCTTGGGCTATCCCCAACATCATGGAGAGGTCAAGGGGACAGAGAGTAGGAAGAGAGCATGCTCTCCCATCTGCTTTGCATAGGCAGATTATTTTAAAGGCCTGGAGAGGACTACAGTTTAATGACAATAATGATTACTGAACTACTATGTCCCATCTTGCATTTTTAATAAACTGGGTGTACAACCTAACATTTTTACATTCCTGGTTTAGGTTTGGCTTGCTGGATTGCTAACTGCAATATAAGCCTTCCAAAATAGATCCAAGCCTTGGATCACCAAGGCCAAAGCTGAATTATTTGTTAGTTCTCACAAGTTACTGCCAACTCTAACCATCACAGAATAGCAGTTGGAAGGGGCCATGAAGGTCATCAGGTCCAACCCTCTGTTGTTGCAGGACACCAGTTTACACCATCCCACTCAGATGGCTGTCTAGTTTCTTTTTGAATATTTGTAGTGTGGGAGAGTCCACCACCTCTCTAGGCAGCTGGTTCCACTGTCATATTGCTGTGACAGTGAGGAAGCATTTCCTGATATCTAGCCTGAATCTGTGTTGTCACAGCTTGAATAGATTATTCCGTGTCCTACACTCTGGTAATGTGCAAATCTTGATATAAATGCATCCTTCTATTTTCTTTCTACGCAAATTGAATCTACAGTATTAACCAGATGGGTGAACTATCCAAGATCTCTCCCAAAATGTTTCCTTTTTCTTTTTAAAGTGACCAGGTCAAGTACAGGCTCATAATACTCAGAATCCAAGCCTCTTCTGCTACTCTACTAATTTTATTTACAACATAGACAGGTTTTTTTTCTGATGGAGTGTGAGTTCCTTTCTCTAAGGTGTTTCTTGTATCTCAGCCTGGAAGTAAAGGAAGCCTGATAGCCAGATGCAGAGGGTGAAGTTTCCTCTCACAAACTGCCTGCCCAGCACTGAACAGAAATGCACAGGGCATATGCCTTTCTTTTAGCATCCCTTGTAAACTTCCTAATCTTCATACTTACTATTTGCATGACATGGGATTCTTGCAGTTTTAAGTTTGCACAATGATTTCTGTGTTTCTTGTCTTTCTCCAGTTCTTGATAGATTCTGTCTGCTTCTATTAGTCCACGAAGTGTCTCCTGAGCTTCCAGTTTCTCCTGTCTTTCTTTCTCTTCTTTAATTTTTATCTAGTAAAACACAATCCAATTCATATCTCAGGATAGGGAAACTTAAAGTTTGATGACTTGGTAACTGCCCACTAATTCAAAGTTAAATATATGCTAATATGATATCCTGAATACTTTTATATGAAAGAAAATACCATTAATTTGAATGAAACTGAATTTCATGCAAGTTGGTCAGGTTCACAATGTTAATTCTTGTAAAAAATGTTTTACAAAAAAAAAAAAAAACCAGTTTTCAAAGACTGACAAGAAATGGTGAAAAAGCAGAAGGAACAGGAGTGCCTGAATTTTTCTTACCACACCAAGTCTGTGTTCTTTGATGGATTTCAAATCAGCTTTGTTCTTTTCTTCTTTTTCTTTGCGTTCTTTTTCAAGCTCCTCTTCAGTTTCTGCAATTTCTCTAGCAATGCGCTCATCATCACTATCAAGCTTCTTTTTCATCAGTGCAAGGATGCGACTTGTAATAGCATCTCTCTCTTCTTCCATTAACCTAAAACAGTTCAATAATCAGAATTTCTATAATTCTGTGCTGTGAAAGAGTCTGAAAAATGCCTTGACTAAATCTTTACACTGGATACAACTGCTACTGTATGCCAATCAGAGGAGGGAACCCCATTCCGCAAAGATGATGATTACATGCTTTCATGTCCTGCCCTTTCTTTCTTTTACAAGGAACCCAGAGTGGTTTACATTGTTTTCCACTCCATTTTTATTATCGCAACAAGAACCCTGTGAGAAAGGTTAGGCTCAGAGTCCATGACTGGCCCAAAGTCACCCAGTGAGCTTCATGAAGTCTGAGTGGGGACTAAAACCTGTCTCTCCAATTTCCAAATAAACTTTATCATCCATTTTTCATTTTAAAATAATCCCAAACCAGGGTACAAACCAATAAAAACCATGCAAACATGCCCCATAAATAAAACTGAGGGTAAACAATATTTTACAGGATGCTGTAACAAAGAGTCAGTCAAAAGACTTAGGTGATCAAATAGGTTGGCATCAAAAGCTTGTAACAGTTGGTGCCAACTGTGAAGCAGGTGAGACTTCCACAGTCATAGTACCTATATCGGGGTCCTCAAACTTTTTCACCAGGGGGCCAGTTGAAAGGTGCCAGTGCTGGGCGCGGGCCGGAAAGGTGGTGCCGGCGGGGCGTGTGGACGGGGGCGAGGCAAGGGCAGGCACGAGCCACGATGCAGCAGCTTGCTCACTTGGAGATCGTTTTCTCTGGGCAAGTCCAAAACGATCTCCTCCTGAGCAAGCTGCTGCCTCCCCACGCGTGGGAGAGGTGAGCCATGGCAGGCGGGCATGGTGCGCATATGGTGTGCAGGCACGGTGCATTGCAATCCTCTGAGGCAGGCCAGATCCAGCCCCTGGGCTATAGTTTGAGGACCCATGACCTATATCAACAACACCCTCCCTCAGGCTGCTACATGAATCCTAGTCAAACATGGCACAGTCAAGAGGACATCTTCTCTAAATCTTAATGTCTGGAAGGGTACATAAAAAAGAAGGCGTTCCATCAGGTATGCAGGTTCTAACCCAGGAGCAGTGATGTTATCCTGAGGAAGGAAGGGAGAGTACACAACATGTGGAAATTCCTGAAATATTGTTACCCCCAAAGCACAATCCCTTTCTGAATGACTTGGCCAATAGTAAAGTACCTGCCCATTATTTTGAGAGTATCAAGAAAATGTGCATAAGAACAAAGCGTACCAGTTTTAATCCAAAAGTAAACTGCCACAAGTATTCCAAAGCACATGAAACAATGACTTAGTGGTTTGTAAAGGGCACATGAAGAAACTTTATTTTATTAGAGGCATATAATTGAGACCTAATTATCATAAATACTAAATTCAAACATTCAATTTTATTTCAATATCTTTGCTCAAAGCATGTACTTTTCATTACAAAAGATGTGTGTTAATACACACAACCATTATGGTCCTGTTCAGAAATTTACTAAGCCAATAAAAGCCTTTAAGTGGCTGAGAAGTATGTAAGATCATCTCAACCACTGCCCTATAAAGAATGTCACATTTGATACAGGCACTCCATATGGATGCCCAACACAGCAAATACCAAGTTTGTACAATTTCTGCCATGCACAGCCTCTTCATTAGGCAACAACAGCATGAATTGGGTACCCATGCAGTCACAACACGAGTGACACTGGGCTAGATCCTGAGTTCTCTTCTACCAACAGAAGAGTTCCATGCCTCCATGGAAGGAAGCCCCATGCTCTCCTCTACAGTGCCTCTTGCTATTTCCCACACCCTTCACAGGGCCCCTCAATCTTCTGAAGCAGACTTTCAGGGGCACAAAGGGCTGTAGGAGAAGGGGGAATCAGTAAAAATTGCCTTCTCTTCTACACCAGTGGGGCATGTTTCCCATGAATGGAACTTCACTGAGGGAACATTCTAGCCAACAGAGAAGGAGTTAGGACTGAAGCCATTATCTATATGGTGAAGGGAGGAGGAGGTATTCTTTAAAGCAGGCATTCAAAACTTGTGAGCCTCCAGATGGTTTGGCCTACAACTCCTATCAGCTGCACCAGGTTATTATGATAGCTCGGTCAGAAGGCTAAAACTCCAGAGGGTCACAAACTGCCTACTCTTTGCTTAAAGCTATCATTTCTAATATCCATTTGATATAATTAATTCATGGCAACATAAAACTGAATCCAGAAGCCTTTAGTCTTTTACTGATGTTGCTCCAGGACTGAGTTTATGGACTGAAGAGCGTAACAAAATTTTAATTGAATAAATAAACAATGCCCTACAAAGTTGTTACCATAATAATGTGTAAGAGGTGTCTCCTGTAGAATGAAAATACTAGGAAACTTTTTCTTTGAACCATGGATTTAACATTTATCACTGCCTACCTGCACATTTCCTCTTCTTTTGCTTTTCTTAGCTTAGCCATAGCTTGCTTTGCTTTAAAGTGTACCCGAATTTTATCATCCTCTTCCTCTTGTTTTTGCTTTTCTATAGTTTTAAGGATTATCTGATCAGCAACATGTTCCTTTAAAATAAAACAAAATGGAAACTATGGTTTGCTTACCAAAATAAGCATCTGTATATCTTTCCCCCATGATATCTCCCTGCTATACTGCTTTGCTAATCACAAATGACCAAATGGAGCTTCTCCGTCATGCATACATGTTTCAAAGCACTCTCTAATAGAGCTGGTGCCTACTGTCCTTTCTGGGGGGCAGACTCCAGGCATGGGAAGGTTTGGCAGGCCATATGAAGAGGCCTGGTAGCCAAGGAGCTGGAGGTTCCTCAACAGTGTTCTTAAGACTTCAGTGCATTTGTACATGTCAACCTAAGGAATATAATACTCTATGCAAAACCCCTGCAGAGGATGTACAGCAGAGAAGAAATTGCTAATTGTTTGCCCTTCCTCTCATCCACTGAAAGGGACCATGAGGGGCTTTTTCAGCTTTAGAAGATGAATGCAGCAAGTTGCATTAATTCCCCTCAGCCAAAACTGTTTGTAACTAACAGGCAGAAGGGTGAACTCATATCTCCTTTGGTCCCAATTCTTTAATGAAGGCTTTGGCTGTCCTGAAAGAAAGCAGCACACTTAAAGGCCCATCTAGCAAAGTACTGTGTGCACATGTTGCTCTCTGTTGTCAAGGATCTTCCTGGCATGCACAAAGCATGATCAACAGAAGCTGGCCTTGTGGTACAGCAGGAAGTCATGAGTAGAGATTTTCACCAGCCATGCACACAAGCCCCTCTCAATTGCTCACCTTCCTTGCCTGTAGATGCCGCAGAGCAATTACAGGTAATACCTTTTAACAATACGGGAAGAGGCAAAAGGTGTCAACTAAAGTTTAGAAACAAGATTCTGGAAGCTGACAGTTTAAAAAAAAACAGAATATTGCCTAGGAGAACTTCCTAATGAGGAGAAGGAAGTGTGCAAAGAGACTTCTTAGTGATTTTGGGTGAAGAACTTCAGTGAAGGATATGATGATATATTTTGTATTTAGTAAAAAATGTTACGTGAGCTTAAGTGGACAGTAGCATATGTGTGTGCCTGTTGCCCTTCTCAATCTTTTCTTACCTTAGAGAGCAGGAAAAAACATGATAGGTGTTACATATTTGTGCAAAGCTAGAGTGTGAAGAAGCGTGTATTTGCCTCTTCAGCTGAATCCAGTAGGCATTTTGCCCCAGGATCCTCCAACAAAGCAGCAAGAAGCAGCAGTGACAGCACAAATATGAGAGCACAGGAATACCATTTCATGCACATGTGAATACTGATGCTGGGGTTGTGTAGCTCCTATCACCTTAAACATTATCATTTGTGGCTTGCATTAGTTCAGTATAGATAACTGACTGCAAAAACAAGATTAAATCCTAATTTCTGTACTGGTTACAATGCCATGCCCATTGTTCACCAAACAAGTAATTTTTCAGGCATAGAAAATATTTCTATTGCTATAATCAGATTCCACCATGCAGTTAACAGGTGCAGCCACATCAATGGGAAAGAGTCTTTAGATCAGACACTACAGCAGTTTTGGATTACACCATTTGTGTTGATTCTGCCAGTGCTAAGTCTACTATTTGAAGTGGTCAGAATATCAAGCTCTGTGTGTGGCTTACAGATGCTGAATAAGAACAGCCCTAACACACAAACACATCTGTGCCTGGAAGCAGCCTTTGCTTCTCCCATCCTTCATTCTAAAGGCTGCCTTATAAAAACAACAACACAGCCTACAGATTCCTGCTTAAGGTCCTAGACATCAACTTCCCCAGCATTTGCTATGAATAAATTTGACTGGTTTGCACAAATGCAGTATCTGTAAAGGTCTTTCTAACTTTGTAAGGATCAAAAAGCATTCCTTAAATCCAAACTTTCAGAGATTTGGATATGCCCTTTGTGTTACATACCTGATGTGCCTGCATACACCTTTGCTTCTCTTCATGCTCTTTTTGCTCTTTTTCCCGCATTTCCTGTTGATATAAATTGGCCAATGCCTGAATCTCTTTCCTTTCTTTTATTTCTTCTAGCTTGCTCAATTCTGCTAAATGTTCATGTTCTTTTATCCTAAAATATGCACAGAGGGAAACCATGTGGCAAACTAGCATGTTATTACAAATATCTACAGTTTTTCTAGTGGAACTTGATAGGAATGTACATATTCAGGTCAGTGCCCATGAAGAGCAATGTTACTTTGCACAATATATCAGCATATTTTCTTTTTAAGATGTATACCCTGCATTTCAAACATATTTTCACCAAGACACCTGGAGGCAGATTAAGGGCACATCTAATTTTGCTGCCTATAACCCCTCAAATTGAAGGATTATAGGCATGCAGTGATTATAGGCAGGATAAACACAGAGGAAAGAATCACCCTGTATCTCTAGCCTTCCAGAATTCTTAGATGGCCCTGCTGGCAGTATCTACGGTCCGGAATACTTAGATGATATGCTGGCAGTATCTGTGACTGGGAAATGTCCATTGAAGTAAATACATTTTCAACATAGAGTGAAACCACCCCCTTCAAAGTTGTTGCTAGTTACATAACTGATGGCTATAGGACAATGATTCATCAGCTAATCATAGCATGCAGAAAAGACAATACAGGAAAAGGCAGTCCCTTTATCAACCAGTTAACAGATACAGCTTTGCAAGGTTGGGATAGCCCTTTGATAGAGTGGCCCCACCAAGCAATCTTGCGCCACTGTCCAAGTTGAACAAACTGTGTCCCACCCAAGTGAAGCCAGACCCACTGGAACCCATGGGCATGGCCCCTGCCATCATGTGTCTGAGAAGTGTTCTGTTCACTCCATTCCACTGGTGGGGGCAAGCAGACTGCCCCACAGCAGACTGCCCCACACAGGAGAGGGTGGCTGTGTAACTTGTCTCTGCCAACGCTTCCCCACAACTTCAAAGTGTATCATCAGCAAAACTATGCACACATTAGGGAAGCATGCCACTGGGTTTCTATCGAACACATGGACATATTAAAATTCAGTGTTTTGAAAGCAAAATAACCCAAATATGTACATCCTAGGGTACCTAGAGCTTGCTTGCCAAGTTTTTCACAGTCTTAGAGCTATGGTTCTGGCACACATGTGGATGTACTCCCTCTTTTATTATTGAAAATAACGAAACCTTACATCTGGCTCAACTGCATACTGGTGACCCACACAATCTTCAGTGGAGTGTCACGTGTTTACAGTAAGCCACTCCAGTGAGCAGCATAACCACTGCATTCTACAGGAACTGAAACTTCCAGGGTAGACCTAAGGGCAGCCCCATATAGAGCACATAAAGTACATTGCAGTAATCCAGCTTCAGAGTTACTAATGCGTAGGTCAGTGTAGCCAAATGTGGATTTAAGTGGATTTTTAAAAGTGCTATCCTATTATATTTACTGTTCCAGTTGATCTTTGCTAAGTTGCAGTCTCTTCATTTTCCTTTCTTTAGCTTTCTCTTCCTCTCTTAGTATAGCTTTTTGATGTTCACGATCTATCTCTTCATCCTTGCTGCAGTATAGCTTTTGTTTTATTTTCTTAAATTCAATCTGAGCATCTCTTTCCTTTAAGACTTCAGTAAGCAAGAGGGCTCTCTAGAAAACAAAATTTAACTTTTAATAGGCTTTCAAGCTTGAACATGCCCAAAAGGTAAAAGGAGAGAGGAAAAAAAACAGCTTTACATGGAATCCTTTCACTCTGTCATTTTCATAATATTGTTGAATTGTGGCTTGTTCGATCATTTCTTTTCGCTTCTGTGCTTGGTACTTGGCTTCTTCCAGGTCAATTTTTCTTTTTTCTTCCTCTTCCTTCTCTTGCCGCAATTTTTTGGCTTTCAGCTTTACTTGTGACATACCCTGCAATGCAAAGAAACTGGATTCTTATTAGGGATCTTATTAGAAGTGAAGTGGATCAAAACTGGCACATTTAAAAAGTAATGCAGACAATTTTTACATGTATTTTTTTAAAAAACAGGATCAACTTCCCATTCAAATGATGTCATCTCAAGGGTCAATTATACACCAGAATGAATGTGTACTCCAGAGTAAGTTTTGGGTAATCCCAAATTAAAATGCTCCCAAGACTATATATAATTGTGTCCAGCTTTAAAATTCACTTGAGTGCCAAACACTACCAAACATAGTATTTCCAGGCCAATCAGTGCCACTAGGTTGGATCCACCAGACCAAGATAGAAGAGATGGTTTTAGATAAGTTGTGTTAATCCTAACTAATGCAAGTCTTACTGATTTCAAAGGATCTATACTAAGTATGATTAAGTTTGCATTAAGTGGACTGTGTATAGAAATTTTGGGTCAATTTTTAATTTGAGCATCTATATATCAGTTCATTATTAGTTTTACTGAGCTATGCTTCACATTTTTTTGGAACAAGGAATCACTAACTGTGAACTGACATCCAACTCCAGGCCTCGCCTCAGCTAACAACACAGATTTCTTGGAACTCACCCGAGTGACAAGTTTTTTGGCTTCAGCTATTGGGCAGTATAAAGACAAACAAACAGACACTCAATAGTAAGACAACACACACGCACACACATTTAAGTGAGAAAAATGCCTTACAAATCCCCAGAATCCCCAACTAGCTGAGAGTTGTAGGCCTTCTCTCTTTCTAAATGTATGTAAGATTGAAACCTAAGACATTTGGGAAAGAATCCACAGACACTGAAATGCACGTATTTCTCTTACTGCAATAGTATTGGTCCAATTTTTCACAAGGGCTTGAGATTTTAAGTGCATATCTTTCCGTTCTTTCCTTTCAGCACGGATTCGTGCTGCTTCTCTAGCTGGGGCAGTGAGACTGTCTTGAATCCTTTGCCATTCTGCTTTGGGCAGTATAGTTATCTGGTGAAGATCCACGCCGACCGGAAGAAATATTCCCTCCATAATGTCATCTTCGTTATTTGCTTCAGAAGAAAAAGTTATTGAGTTCCATTAATAACTGTTCCACTGGCTAGAAAACTGTAATATTTACCACCCAGCTAAGATGTCAATCCTCACTAACCCTCTCATTACAATGAGGGTTACTTCCATATAAATATGCACAGGATTCCAGCCTTAGTCTGTATATGGACATAAATGTAATGACAAGAATGGCCCTAAGTTTTTGTGAAGGCTCATTGCATATTCAATTAATAAATTTTAACTGTGTTTTAATGTACTTGCTTTATTATCGTTTGGATTCCTTTTCGTTTATCAATGATTGTAAGACACCTCAAGTCTCACTTTCTTGTAGAATAATGGGATGCTAATCAAATTTAAAAAATCACTACTGTTAGATCACTACAATTATTTTAGGCACAAACGGTGCTCTTGCCATGCATGCCTATTTGGCCCTCCTATTTATACATCTGACAGGGTAGATTATACAGGAGGCTCGTGCCCGCTTTGCCTGAGATGGCATCCACTTGACATAGGGACAAAGTCATTAACAGCACATACGGATGCAGGACTTCGGTGGCATCCTCCTTGCCCACCTCCCTCGCCGCTCCCCATCACAGAAGCGGCACCCATTTGCGCTTGGGAAGAACGAGATTGTGAGAAAGGGGCCCTTAGGGTGCTATCTTAAGCACGTTTGGATAGAAATAACCCTTACCACTCCCAACACTACCTAGCCGGGGGCGTGCTGGGAACTGTAAGAGGGCTTCTCCTCCTCCTGTTTAAAGACGCCTAGGATTGTCCTCGTAACCTATTTCGCACTTCAGGGCGCACGTGCCTATCGATGCCCCTCCCCTTCTTTGTTGCTTCCCACCCGCCGCAGGCCCGGGCCGCACTCACGCGTGGACTCCCGACTCTGCCCTCTGCGCCTCCCGAATTGCACCACGGGGCGAGCCTTCGTCCCCATGGCAGGGGGACCGCGAGCGAGAGCGAAGCAGCTCCGAGGCGACGCGCGCTTCCCCGCCGCAGCGGCTCGGTGCGGGGCGCGAGAGCGTGGGGCAGTTGCTAGGCAACCGGACCCGGCAGCTCCGAGAGAGGAGGAAGTCACGCGACGCTTTGCGACCGGGACGGCGCGAGAACAGCATGGGAGTTCACGTGATCTGAGCGAAGAAAAGCGGTGCAGGTTAGTGCGGCCCAGCACGCGAGGGCTGCCTCCTCGGGCTCTCCCCGCGCTTCGCCTCCACCCTCTCCCTCCCTCGCGTGGCCTTCTCGGAGTGGGCCCCTCGCGTTAGGAGCCCCGCGTGCGTGCGTGACAAACCGTCGCGGTGCGGTCCGTAACGCCTCGGAGCTTTGGGGGCGGGGGGCGGCTAGTCTGGAAGATGACTATCCTGCCAGGGCCGCAGTGTTTGCCTATTTCTCGGGGTTGGCCGAAGCCAAAAATGACAAGCTGTTTGGGCAGGGCTGGGCCAAGAGACACTGCTCCGTGAGGAGGAGGCGCAGCAGGTGGGGCGTCCGCCTGCCAAGTTGAGGTGTTGTGTTCCCAAGACCACAGAGTTTACTTGAGCACCTGGAGCAGAAGCAGCCACGAGAATCTCATCTCCCTGATAGTAAGGAGGCAACCGTACCGTGTACAACAACTAACAAATTGATGGCCTGATCATACTCTAAATTCGCTGCCTAATGGTAGAGCTAGCCCTGCCTCTAGTGTTAGCTGCTGCTGCTGCTTTTACCACCTGCTGGAGTATTTTATTACTCTGCAACGAGTTACCACTTTGCATTCGGAGAAATATTATTCATTTTCTGGCATTACTCCCAGTCACTAATATCCTCATGACCTTCCCTTGTAGTGCTGTATCCTTAAGGCCAGGAATAGGCAATATTTGTTGGGCAGTGACTCCCTTAACCATTGGCTAGAGTTCTTGGGCACTGAACTTTAGCAGCCTCTCAAAGGGTACTGCTAAAGTTTTCCACTGCTGCTTAAGGCCCATATGAAATATAAGACAGCTGTGATATGGAAGTGAACTGTATTTGTTCATGTCTTGCATGTATGAATTGCTTCATCACTTTAAAAAAGAAACCCAAGTTAGTATAGCACAAAACTCCTAAGATTGCATATAGTGGTGGCATTGAGAAGCTTTGTTCCTTGTATCTGCCTTTTTAAAGAATATATTACTGACAGCTTAAATTATTACCTAAACCTGATGAGCTCCTTTATCTTCATTTTCCTCTCCTCAGGACACAATGGTTCTTAAAGAGACGTGTAACAGCAGTGATGGGAAAACGGGGACCACCTTGGCTGGAAAATGCCAGGCGGGTGCTGGATGCTGGACAGCTCACCAGACTACTTCTGTTTTTTTCTTTTTGTAGAGCAAGATCAGTTGTTTTCTGGCTATGAGCATTTGTCATACTGTCTGCTGCTTTAGAAAGGGATGGGCTGCCAGCTGAATGAGGAACCGTACTTGCCATAAATCTGTGATAACTCTCCTTCACAGTGAAACATTTATCTTGAGATGTAAGTGGGCTTTGCTACAGAGATTACAGGGAGTAAGGATGTCCTTTCCATGTCGTTCACATGGAAAGAAAAGCAAGGTTAAGACCTGCCTTGTATGTTGCCTGTGTCTGAAGAATGCAAGAGCAAGTCATTATGGATAGTCTTACTTTAAAGGATTGTCGGAATGAAGTATTGTTTGCTGTCTCCAGAGCAATATGTTGTATTTTGCACTGCTTTGTAACTCTTCTGTGTTGCAGATAGGGAGATCTTATGCATATTTGCTTAAAGATGAAAACCAGTGATAATATATTTGGGATTAAAGACAGACACTTTCAGAGTAAACTCAATAATGAATTACCAAAGCTCTGTTTGAGAAGCAAATCTGGCACATTGTTTATCTATTTACATTTACTCACTGCTTTTCAGCTAAGATCGATTTGCATTTAAAGTCTCAACAGTGTATGTCGTAGTCTAGATTCCAGGCGTTTTTGTCCACAGGGAGCTGCAAATAGATTGAGGGACTGCTATAGTAAAGATGCCTGTTGAAGTAGCTCTTCTGTTCTGAAGAGTTTTTTGGCCTTTGGCAGTTGAGGTTTTGGTCCCGGTTCTTCAGTACAGAGTAATTCTGTTATTACAGTAAGTTGTTTTTTCTTGATCATGAATGTTGGACTAGGACCAAGGAGACCTGAGTTTAAATCCTGACTCACCTCATGGTGTGGTTCTAGACTAGTTATCTCTAAGCCTACTCTACCTTACATGGTTGTTGTGAGTTTAAAGTAGGGGCTGAAGGGCAAACCATGTATCCCACCCTGACTACCTTTGAGAAAGGACAGGATAAAGTAAGTCTTCTCACCTCTCTTTATGTGCAGCTATTGTAAAGGGCCCTACATTCATGCTGGACAGAACTGAGATACAGTCACCGCTATTTATCTGAGATCCTCCAATGAATTCAGGTTTCAAATATCTGAGCATCAACCAGTGAGTATAATTGTTTTACTGTTATTTTTCTTTGTTTATTAAAAATGTCATTATGGCAAATATGTATTTGCTGTCACAAGAAACTTCTTTACATGTTAAAAAGATAATCCAATGTCTTTTATTAATACTTATTTTTACTTTGTCTTTGTTTATATCTTTGTTTCACTTCACACACAACACTTAAACATATGTATGTGTTATTCTGTATGTATCTTGTAATAAGTGAGATAAAGAAGCATAAAGACATTTCACCATAAGTATGGTTATGAAATGCAGAACTGAGGAGCTCTAATTGGTCTCAATTTGTTGCATCATAGTTTATAGTGGATATGTGGTGTATGTTATTACATACATGTCTAATCCATAGCTCAAATGTATGTGTGGGTTCATTGCTGGTACATGCTGGCCTGGTTCAGATAACATAATTAAACTTTAGGCTTTCAAATATTTATATCCTACCTTTCTTTAAAGGAGTTCTATGCAACGTAACGGAGATTTTTCACCTCTGTGTCATTCTTGCAAGAGCTCTGTGAGGTAGGTTAGGCTAAGAGAGAATGACCAATTATCCAGTGAGGAATTGAATGCAAGTATTCCTGGCCCTTGTCCAACTTTTAAGTAGCATACTGCACTGTGAGATGTGGCAGATTCCAATACCTTTTGATTTTTTTGTATTTTCAAAAACACATCAGTATACTGTCATATGCAACCTCATTTATAAAGATTTTTTTTTCTGGCAGAACTGTCTTTGTAAGACATGGTCAAAATATAATTGTTTGTATATGGTCTGATTAAATGGTCTTTTGGACACCATTATCAAACTGTATTATTAGTTATATATAATTATAGAGCAATTAAGCAAACAGTTTTCTCTCATTTTCAGGGTGTCATTTTTTGAACTAAAATGAAGGTTTTGCTGGTTTTTGATTTTGACCATACAATTGTAGATGAAAACAGTGATACCTGGATTGTGAAATGTGCACCTGGTTCAATGCTTCCTGATGAAATAAAAAACTCCTATCAAAAAGGACACTGGACAGAATATATGGGCAGAGTCTTCAGATACCTGGGGGACAATGGAATAAGAGAAGAGGAGATGAAAAAGTGTATGACAACTATCCCTTTCACTGCAGGAATGAAAGATCTTCTAGATTTTATTGGCAAACATAAAGTAATTTTTGACTGCATAATTATATCAGATTCCAATGCAGTATTCATTGATTGGATTTTAGAAGCTGCTAATGTCTGTCCTCTCTTTGATGAAGTGTTTACAAACCCTGCAGGTTTTGATGACTGTGGCTATCTTACTGTACAGAATCATCATGCTCATGATTGCACAAAGTGCCCCATAAACCTCTGCAAGAGAAAAGTCCTAGAAGGATTTCTAGAAAATCATTTAAAGCCTAGGGTGAAATACTCAAAAACCATATATATAGGTGATGGAGGGAATGATCTATGCCCTGTAAGGTGCTTAAAAAAGAGTGATGTTATCATGCCAAGACATGGGTATATATTGGAAAAAATGATTTCCAAATTGTCTCAAAATCTTGTTCCAGTGGAAGCATCCGTTGTTGTCTGGTCATCTGGTACTGAGATACTGGACTATTTAGAATTGCTTATAAAAGGATAATTCTAATTAATACTGATAAATAATAAATTGGTGCTATCTTGATCTTCTCATGGTAGGACCATTTTTTCATGAATGTTAGAATAATGTTTTGTTTACACCATTTTAATTCATTGTCTTCCCTTGTTTAAAGTCAGAGGGTAAGGAGAATGACATGGAAAAGAGGCATACTTGAGAAAGGAGATGAATTTATAATTGAATGAAACAGGTGCCAAAGCCATTGTTAAATATAGTTGTCACATAACATCTGTATTGCATTAGCTGAAGTATCAATATGGTTTGTTCTATGGTACACGAAAGTAGTTTTTCTCTGTTAACAGGACAAAGAAACATGGGAAGCTGTTTTCAGAACAACAGCAGAACATCTTTTTCTAGAGTTGAAAATGTTGTCCCCAAGTCATGCTGCAAAAAGATGAAAGCTACTGATAGGCGATAGTTGTATGACAAGAGCTAAAGCCAAGGTTGCACTATGGTATGCAGTGCTACTTTCAGCAGCAGTTTGCTGTCCGTATAAGAAGGTGTGATTTTGCTGTTAAGTAATTGTTCATGTAACTAGTCTGGCTTTGCTTTTTAACTCTTTTCAGTGTCCCTTTTGCACTTTTATACCTCAGCTGCTACTTACAGGAGATCTAAAACTCCCAACTATATTTGTGTATGGTATTGTTGTATATATAGAAAAGGGCAATTTCTTCCATGTGTCATAAAATCAATGTAGAACTTGGGGCTAATTTTGTGGCGAGAGGTTTTTTGAACATCTCATCACAACATGGCAGCCACACTTCCTTTTCCTATTTAAAAAAAGAATACTTCCATGCCTTTACCAGCATTATTCAATATCAGTCTTGCATTGGTCACAAAGAAAAGGGGATACCGCTCATAGGCAGCATCAAGAAAGGATAAATACACACGTTCTGAAAGCTGTTTCATACTCTGACTTCACTTGTTTGTGCACTACAAATGTAATGTGAAGAATTTAAGAAGGAAGAGGCAATAAGAAAGATACACTTCTTGTCTTGACATTTTTGCAGCCTATTCCCATGCATGTTTACTTGGAAGTAATTCCTTATGTTTAATGGGACATAATCTCATGTAAGTGTGTGTAGGATTGCAGCCATAAAACTAAAATTAGGATTTTGTTGAATTGATTGTCCTGCAGATGCTAAAACTGAAAAGGGGAATGATCTGGTTTAGACACTCATGCTGCAATTGCCTCTGTACTGAGGCACAACATTGGTGATTTTTTGCTAATGCCTGTGAAGTTGTCACCCAGGAGCATGCTATCCATGTTCCTATGACAATATAGGAACAATGGCATATTTATAACCAGTATTATGTTGATCTTTTACCCTTTTGTGAAGTGACTGTGTTAAAATGTTTGCTTAATATGTGGAAATGCATATTTAGGTAAAGTGGGATTTTTTTTTCCAATTTTTAAAAGCATATATATGTTTGAAAGTGTGAATAAGGGAAAAAAGGAAGCAAACACTAGATAGTTGCTAGCTGGCTTCCAGATTCCAGTAATTTTATGGCAGTCTTCCCCTTGAAGAGTTTAACTATCTGCTAAAATGTAAATACTGAGGCTAAAGGGCTTGGTACGGTGAATAACGGATTTGTTTGGAGATCCACCTTTCACTCAGTTGTTACTTTGAATACAATGTGCCTATTGCAACTTTTGGAGTCTGTATATTATTTAAAATAACTAAGATACAAAATTAATTTATCTTGTTTGTAGCTTTGTAATTAAGGATCCATGCTTATATAAATATGTAATTAAATATTTTATTAATTAACCACATTGAATTCTTGGTTTTATTGTAAAATATACATGCAACATAAAATACAGTTCTATAAATCTGATGTAGAGAAATATTGTTCCAAGGATGCTCTTCAAGTTGTTTGTATTCACTGATACTAAAAGAACCAAGAAACTATGCTCAAGAATTCCTCAGGCATTTTCTCACTGTAGTGAGATTGTCCCTTGGACACTCTTGTGAAGATTAAAGAACAATGGATACTGTTATTAAATTGCTTTTTATTTTACCTCTACAATGATCTGACACAAGTAGCAGTCACTGGGTTCTATCTAATGTTAGTTTAACTTAAGTGTCATTAATTTCAGTAGCTCTAAGCAGGATTAACACTGGGTATTTTCCATTGTCAACACTTATAAAACACTAACATTCTGAAATCAACTTTCATTAAAGTAATATAAAATCAGTTTGTCAGCACCCCATATTACCCTAATTTTTCTCAATAAAAAGATGGACATGGCAGGCTCTCAGACGAGTGTGAAGACAATATTTGCTTTCACTTAAGAAGAAGCACTGTGAAGTGCTATAGGGTAGGGTACAGAAATGCTTCTCATGTTCTATTGAGCAAGGTAACTGATTATATTGGAGGTGGGGAAATGGGACCAGGGCTAGACTTGGAAAAGCCAGCCTATTCTGCCTTTGGTGTCAATAACTGATAGAAATTCTCCATTCTTCTCCCACCCCACAGCATGCGTTTAGCTAATTGGTGATAGATGTAGAAATGTATATTCTGCCCTTCAGTTATAGTGCTTGTAATGTGGCTCACAATTACTGGAACAAATTCACAAGTGAAACATTACAAGTACTGAACAACAAAAGAGTAAAAACTAGTGTAACCAATAATTAGAAGGTCAGGTAAAACAAAAATAGTACTTCCTGGCAGCAAAGAGATGAGTAGTTGCCTGGGGAGGGCATTCACAGAAATGATGCTACAATCAAGAAGGCCCTATCTTTGGTTACCACCCACCTAACCTTGATTTACTCCCTAAGAAATGTCAGGTGATCCTTATAAAGATGGGGGCTGCAATTGTGCTGTGCCTTGTAGAAGCCTTTGACAAGTTTACCTTCCAATTGTGATAAATACTGCTTTTCAGCAGTGCTCAAAAACAGGGTAAAAAAAGTTGGTATATGTAAACTTCATGGAGTTAGGGTTCTGTTCACTTGTATTATGCAGTGGGCTAACTTAATTCTTTCATGGAGTATATATTTATCTTGAATCCTAATACAGTAATGTGCTTTAATGTTACAAAGTAAGTCTGGCAATTCAGAATCTCTTCATAGTTACACAGTGTGAACTAGGTGATCCTGAACATGCACATGATTTCAGAAAAAGGTTAGATCAGTGTCAGTATCCTTGGCAAAAAGCCAACACTTAGCAGGTGTTATGTGGCCACTGTTGGACAGTAACCTTATCTGCTTCTTTCAATTTAATCAAACTCCCTCCGGCAGTTAAAAAAAAATCAAAGGGAAGATTTTAAACACAAATATTAATTTTAATGCATTACAAAGCTCAGATAAAAATATAATTAAATTAATAAGGCATTGTATTGCCTTAATTTCTGCTTGCTTGTCCTGTAAAAATCATCTATATTTCATTAAGTTCTGATTATATGACAGGACTTTTGTCAAGTGTCTCAACAGGATACATTAGCACAATCCTGAGAAATGGAATGTGATAGTAGCTAGAATAAACTGAGCATGGGCAGAAAGCAGCTCCACTGCTTGCTTGCTATAACCTAGTCTCCATCTAGGATCTGGAGAATAGATTTCAGAGTAGACTTCCAGGCAGGTTTGAATTCTGACATCTTATTGCACTGACCAAAATCTATTGATTGCTAAAGTTGGTTGATCTCCAAGGATTGGGAACTGCAACTCTGAAAAGGCCTTGCCAGAATGGCCAGTGGTCTGGAAATTAGATTGGAAATGATTGATTCCATAAAGGAAACCATAGCTTGGAATTTACAAGAGCTGAACTGGCCTGCCCTAGATAGGATATTTGAGTGCTTTCATCCATAGGGTCACCATAAGTTCGAGATGAGTTGACAGCATGTAAGGACAACTGGAAGTTGGGATTTTGACTTCCAAACATTCTGGAGATCTACTTCCTTGCCCACCCCCAATCTACTTCAACTCTATGCCAAGCAGATTGGCCTTATAACACCAATTGCAGTTCAACTCCCTATCTTTTCATTTCAGGGTGCCAGAGACAAGAGGAGATGCAACTGTTTTTGCTTATTTCTGAACTTGCCTGTGACTGATGGCATCACTCAGGTCCAGAGATAACAGTAGGTGCAATCAGGTCCTTTGGAACAGCTCCTCCTGTTCAGCTTTGCAAACTCCTTGCTCTGGCTGGGGCAGTGGTGGTGGTCTTGAGGAGGAGCAGTCGTAAATGCCCTACCGCCTTGCACCCTGGCTCTCTGCCTGTTAAGCAAAAGGCAGCAATGGTGAGAAAGAGCATGAGGAGCAGCTGTAGCTGGTGACAGTGGTGGTGAGAAAGTGGCCCCAGTTAGGGAGGAGGACCCCTGAGGGTGCCTCGCTCAAGGGCTCTGCAAACACCAGGAGCCAGCTTTGGTGTTGTGGGGGGGGGGGGGGTCAAAGCTTGGGCAATCCAGCTGATGTTGACAGCCCCCAGTCAGCTTGGAAAGAAAGCAAGAGAGGTGGAAGCCCTGCAAGGGAAGGTACTCTTTCCTGAAAGCAGCTGGTGGGGAGGAGGGGAGGCTGAACTGCCCATGCTTAAAGATGACCTTTTTGGGAGGAGAGGGCCATGGGCAGGGGAAGCAGCCAGCTGAGACACCAAAATAGGAGCCGCTGCCTAAGCCAGTCCCATCTGCTCTTTCTATAGCGTACAGCTGGCAAGCAGGGAAGCGAAGCTGTGTCTCTTCCAAAGATGGTCAGAGGGGCTGCCACGAGCTCGATGAAGGCCAGAAGGCCTCGCCTCTCTCCTCCATTCCTTTCTGGAAAGAGCAGCAGCACCATTGTTGCCGTTCGCGCCTCTTTCTCCTGGCTCTTCTGAACTGTAGGAGGGAGTGTCGGGGCAAGGAACGGGCGCACCTGCTGGCTTGCAGCCATCCTCCTGACCAGCAGTGCTGGCGAGCGGGTGGCTCAGCGAGGATCAAGCAAAGTTTGCAAGCCGCTGCAAACGCCGAGAGGTCAAGGCCGACGCCGCGTTTGTTACACGCCACCCCCTCGCCCGCCCGCGCAGGTGTTCTCGATTCTTCCGAGACTAACACAGCAAGCCTGTTCATGTCTACTCAGGAGTAAGCCCACTGACTTCTATGCGCCCTTCCCCTTGGTAAGTGGGCATAGGATTGCATCCTAAATTTGCCATCCTGTATACACAGTTTAACTGGGAATAAACGTTACTGGACTCAACGGGGCTTGCCTCGGAGCAGGCATGCCCCGGAGGACTGCCCCATGAGGCAAAGGCTGTTGGGAGCACCGAGCGGGAGTCGCGCAGCAAGAAAGCCCCTGGCTCGCTGTCCCGCGCGGGTGCGCCTCGCCCCGTGCTCAGCGCCTTCCCTTAATTCTCTAGGAAGGGGAGCGAAGTGCTAACTTGCGGCGGGCGTCCGGCTCCACATGGAGGGAGCAGCAGGGGAGGCGTTTCTACAGTGCCCCCCGACCAATCCCGGCTGGCCTGTTGGAATATGTGTGGTCGGGGGCCTTCCTCCTCCTCGCAATTGCCTTTTATTGCCAGGGTCGTCGCACGACCTTCCTTTGTTTTCATTCCTTTTGAAAGCTGACCCGCCGGGCGCCTTCCCTTGCTGGCCAAGCGAAAGTCTGCGCCATCCCGTTAACCTGGCTGGAGAGCAGGTGGGTCTTTAGCAAATTGCGAGCAGGGGGACGTTGCGGTCGTCTTCTGTCGCTATTGATAGATACGGTGAGGCTTTGTTGACATGCACAGAAAATCGCCTTGTCAACACTGTCGGCGGGGAAGAGGAGTCGATTGGATTATTTGTGCTATGTTTTGTTTATGCACCTGACGGACAGTTTCCAGAATAAACCTCGACCTCCACTAACTCATAACTCATACCGACTTCTTAAAAGGCTGTGAATAAACTTCGGACCTCCTCTTGCTCGTAGATATCAGCCTTTTAAAACATCGTTTCGCAAAACAAGGGGGGCTTTTTAATCCTGCAGGACCACCACAGAAACCTAAAGAGCGAATGCCACTTGTTTTTATCGTATTTGTTTTCTTGAATCCTTGCTATTTTGTTCTGCCCCGCCTGGGTGTCGCATTCGAGAGCGGGAATCTAAGAAGGGCACATTCTACTCCGCAAAACACCGATAGGGGTCGTGTCACAGTAACACCAGGCATTGATTAGGTGCGAGCGCTGCTACGCGTGATCGTAAGCGTGCTTGATTAGAATCAATCAGTGGGCTTTGAGCTGAGATAATATGCCCACTTAACCCGGGAGACGAAGGGTGCAGTCCTCATGTATATTTAGATAGAAAAAAGTATCGGGTCACAGAAAGGCTCTCAGCTTTCCACGGCCAGAAAGTCTAAACATGCATAGAATTGCTGCTTAAATCTTACTGAATTCAAAGGGCTTACTTTTGAGTAGACGTGTACCGAGTTGAGGCTACTGCATCGTATACATGTGATAGAGGGAAGCCCCACTGAATGAATGGTAATTGTGTACATCAGTACAGGCTAGATGTGCGGCGGACTGCGGTTTTGTTTTTTTTACGAAGGTTGGATGCTGATTTACGTGCATGCAACTGAACTGATTTAATCCGTTGAAGAGGATTTGCAGGCTCCTCCTTCCCTAGGGCAGCCCCTGAGCTCTCACCCCAAATGCTTCACAGAAAGTTAGGGAGCTGGTGAAAGGGTTAGGTTGTGGCGTGTGTATGAGGGATGATGCAGAAGAGGAAATTCTCTTGTGAGTAAAACCATGCTTAACAAAGAAAGGAACCTCTGCCCAATTTTTAGGCACCCCCTTTCTCCTTGCATCACAGTTTATCCCATCCAATGAGTTATCTGGCCCTTTCTGTAGCATATTCTGGGGGCTGGAGGAATTGCCACGGGAAGGAGGATTGGAATTCTGGGTCCATCAACCTATATGCACAACATAAATCTGGATCCAAGCCAATGTATTTTTCCTACATCCCCCTTGTACTAATTGCAATGCCAAAAGCCATTTATTAGATTTTAAATTAGTTTCTTTTACTATTTCCTGTATTGCACTCTCTAGGAAAAACATTGTTATACATTAATTCATGTTCCAGTATTAATATATTTCTTTTAAGAAAAATAGAAAATTCTCCAAGGTCAATTGGTGCTAAAGACAAACAGATACCACCCTAGTCAGTCTTGGACAGGAGGCTGAAAGCCCAATGTAATCTCAAGAAGAAATAAATGCATATAAACAATAAAATTGGTTTTGTACAGACAGTTGTGGAAAAAAAACCCCATAAATCACAAAATTATATTTTTCTCACTTTAGCTGAGAATCTCTACTTTTTATCAGTGAGATTAATTCAATGTGATTTGTAAACAAGTGTTTGTCCTTTTTTTTTACTAGGATATATTTGGCCTTTCCAGATGTGGTTGATAATATGTTTTGACAAAATCCCAACCATTTCCCCCTTATCTGGGTACTTGAAGTATTTATTTATATAGCTATCCATTGCTGTGGTACTTTATAAAATATAAAAGGACAAGTTTCTGCCTCAGAGGCCTAATAGTTTAGAAGCTGATACGAGGGAGCAAAAGGGGAGAACAGTGGAAGAATATGCTGGGTTTTATTTTTTTAGTTATACCACTTACTGCAAGTCATCCAGTTATGTCTTTGGCAACCTGATCTCTTCCATATGTTGGAAGTTACACTTCAACCTACCTGGAGAGCACTAGCTTTGTGAGATGCTGCAGAATGGTATGGGAACAGGTAGCTGAGCAGGTAGCTTCATGGGAAAGATGAGTTTTGAAGAGGAATCTGACGGAAGCAAGAAAGATGGCACTATATCCTGAGAAGCAAATCCAAGCACCAGGGATAGAAAAAAGAGAAAAGGTGGAGTTGTTTGAGAGGGCATTTGGAGGCTTTTGAATAGCTGCTGGTGGAGATAGACAGGCAGAGGTCACAGGCAAGCATGTGTTGTTACAGTGGAGGGATGGAGTAGGTGGCAAGACTTTGAAGGTAAGGATGGGAAGTTCATCTATCACCTTGAATGTTGTACTTTAAAATGTGCCCTTTACCTGGAAATACAAAATGTTGTACAAGATACGTGGCCATTACATATGTGTTTATTTGGAAGGTCATCCCATTGAAGTCTGGCAGGACTTACTTCTGAGTGAATGTACATAGGAAGGAGTTTTCACATATGTTTAATATCTTTACCATATCCAATATTTTCTTACAGTAATGGCACTGACCAAACAAGAGGAATATACCTACATATACAAAGATCACTCTCATCCTGTGGAGTTCTTGGAAGCATTTAGAACATTCTATCTTGAAGGCTTATTCACTGATATTATTCTACAGTGTGCAACGGGTGTGACTTTCCAATGCCATAAAGCTGTGCTAGCTGCCTGCAGCAACTATTTCAAAGCTATGTTCACCTCTGATATGAAAGAAAAGTCTAAAAACCAGATCAAACTTTCTGGGCTCAGCCCCACAGTACTGGAATCCTTGGTGTTTTATACGTATACGTCAGAGATCCAAATAACGAAGAAAAACGTTCAAAGCCTCCTCGAAGCTGCCGATCTCCTACAGTTTACCTCAGTTAAAAAAGCCTGTGAGCAGTTTCTGATAAGGCACTTAGACATTGACAACTGCCTAGGGATGCACTCCTTTGCAGAATACCATGTCTGCCCAGAACTAGAGAAGGAATCTCGAAGGCTATTATTATCTAGATTTGATGACGTGTGGAAGCAGGAAGAATTTCTGGAAATAAGCAGCGAGAAACTCCAGTTTATTCTTTCTAGAAGGAATCTTTGCATTTGGAAAGAAGAAGCAGCAATAGAACCCATTATTAAGTGGATAGCCTATGATGTGGATAATAGAACTGAGTATATTTATGAACTCCTACGATGTTTTGAAACAGCTTTAGATGAAATGTATTTGAGGTCAGCCTTAAGCTTGCACAAGAAATGTCGATTAAATGAAAGTAAGATCAGGTCTCTAATACGTAAAGCATTAAGTCCCAATCCAAAAGTAGTTCCTACACGGTCTACAACTGTTATGTATGTAATCGGGGGGTATTATTGGCATCCTTTATCGGAGGTGCATGTTTGGGATCCAGCAACTGACGCTTGGATTCAGGGAGCAGATATGCCAGACCATGCAAGGGAAAGTTATGCGGTCGCTAATCTGGGACCCAACATCTATGTGACGGGGGGATATAGAACTGACAATATTGAAGCACTTGATATAATGTGGATATACAACTGTGACACTGATGAATGGACTGAAGGCTGCCCTATGCTTAATGCAAGGTATTACCACTGTGCAGTTACCTTGAATGGTTGTATCTACGCTTTAGGTGGTTACAGAAAAGGGGCTCCGGCTGAAGAAGCAGAATTATATGATCCTTTAAAAAAGAAATGGGTCCCTGTTGCAAATATGATTAAAGGTATGTGACAAAACTATCATTGTATCATTATGTTGAGTATTTTTGTATTTGCCTTCCAAAATGCCCAGGAATGATCTAAAGATTTCCCTCTCCATTCCTATTGTGCACAGTTTATTTTTCACCCCTCAGGCTTTAAAACATGGATAGGGAATGTGTGTCCCTCCCATTGTTAGACTGCATCTTTCACCATCCCTCAGTGTGGACCATGCTACCAAAGTCTGCAGGACACTGCAGTCCAGCATCTGGAGTTCCACATCTTTTCTTCTTCTCCTTCAGAATGCAGTATAGTTAACACATTACAAGCTCCTGCTAATGAAAATAAGTGTAGGGCATTTAAGTTAGACCATTTAGTGGAAAACTGGGTTTGCATCATGGAACAATATTCAGGCAAAATGCAATCCTAAACTTCGGTTGCTCATGGCACAGTCCTACACATAATGAATGTTTTTTTGTCTGAAGAGTTCACAGTATTCCTTGGGAGGCATGGCTGCCTGGGGCATCCTAGGAGTTTTAGGATGTTTTTCTGTCTAAATCGTCATAGGATTGCATCCTTAATCTACCCTTCATAAAAAGAGCTTTAGCTGTATATTTGTCAAAATTAGTTATATTTGACATATTTAAGGGTTTAGGATATTATGTCATGAATATACCTGGAAAAGAAAGATATTTCAGTAAGTGAGGAAATAAAATCACTTTCAGCTATCCCATTGTCTTCAGCAAAAATATGAGAATTGCAAACTTTTGCACTTTTAACATGAGTAAATCAGCAAAAAATCTTGCCATACCTATTGTGTTTCTTTAAGCATGACAAAATTAGAGCTATATAATCATATATAAACAATACACAAATCTTGAAAGTTCTTAACATAAAACAGAAAAATAGACATTTACTGTGTTAGTGCGGTTAAATTGACATGGCAAGATGTCTGCAGTGTGTGCTTTATTATGAATATATTTAAAATCTCAAATATTTTGTATTTGTTTTAGTTATACCTATATTTTACTAATTAGTTACTAATTTATTATAAATACAGCTCTCTCTTTATCTGTGTGTATGTGTATATATTTAGTGGTTTTAGTAACCTGTTGATGGAAATTATGTTGCATATAATTCATCCATTTTTGGAAACCTATCACAAAGTTAGTATAATTAAACAGGGGTTGGAAATGCTACAGCCTGTGTCCTGAAGGAAGTAATCTATGTCACCGGAGGTCACTATGGCTATCGGGGAAGCTGCACTTATGACAAAGTTCAAAGTTATCACTCTGATATTAATGAATGGAGCATAATCACCACCAGTCCATACCCAGGTAAGTTTTAATTATACTTACACAGTTAAAGTCAGAAGTTTGATAGAGAACATCAGACACAACCATTTGTCTGGCGTTCTCTGTCAAAAAAATCTCTAATACCACTTTGCTGATTTGCACCAGTATGTCATGTCATCATTCCAGAGCGCACGGTCTGTTAACAACACTCAGGGATGGGCAGTGCCTGGGGCCTGCCAAGGTTCACACCAAAGCAACATGGCCACTGCCAGCTCCGTGAGCCTCTGGCGCTGCTGCTGCTGCTCCTTGCTTGTGCTGCCCGTTCATCGGCGAAGAGCAGCACACAGTGACAGGAGGTTCCGCCCCAGCTGCCCACCCCTGCTTTACAATGATTAAGTTTGAAGAGATAAAGGAAAAGATGGCACATCCCTTCCACTATCTGATATCCTCAGTAATTTACCCATTTGAACTTGAAGCCAATGGAACTGTGTGAGATATGCTTTATAGCAGAAGCGTATAGGAAATTGCAGCTCAAGGGAGTGTGGATTAAATTTGGACACCAGCTGAACATGGTAGATGCCTGAAGAACTGGAATACCCAGTGCTGAAACAGGTGTTGCATTTCAGTAAAATGGGATAGAGAAAGAGAACTAAAATAGTTGGCAAGTTTTTCTAAACCTGGCAGTAAGGAGTAATTCAGCAATTGAAATAGCTGAGAGGGACCCATCATACTTGGGTTTCCTATTCACATAAAAGTTTTAAGGACATACATTCTTGTAAAATAAAAATGTTTCCAAATTATCAATAATGTGCTATACCTCAGAAAAGCTTCACAAACCAGAATCCATTCCCAAACCCCCTAAGATCAGTTGATATACATTAATTCCATGCTTTGGTTATGTTTCCTAGTCCTCTTGTTATGTTATATTCCTATGAAAAGACAGATCCACTGTCACTTTTAAGTTCTTCAGAAGGGTAGTTACTATTAAGCTTTTTACCTGTTCTCCTTGTAGAATATGGATTGTGTTCTATTGCATTGGAAAATGAGCTATATCTTGTGGGTGGACAAACAACAATCACAGACTGCTATGATCCAGAGCAAAATGTATGGAAACACAAGGCTGACATGATAGAACGAAGGATGGAGTGTGGTGCAGTTGTCATGAATGGATGCATCTATGTAACTGGGGGCTATTCCTCTTCCAAAGGATCCTATTTGCAGAATATTGAGAAATATGACCCAGAATGCAATAAATGGGAAATTGTGGGCAGCCTTCCCAGTCCTATACGTTCACACGGCTGCGTCTGTGTGTACAATATTCAAGAGGAGAATGCCCCTCCTGGAGGAAGAAACTAATATACAAGGGAACACAGAACTGGGGAACAATGACCTGCTGCCTAAATGGGATTTTTCCTGTGTAAGAAGCATGTCCTCCAATAACTAGGACACACCATACAATTTGGCTTGTATTTACTCTGTACCAACTCTATGGTGTAAAATTAAGTTCCAGTGTAAGGAATATCACATTTTTGTTACTGCCTTACAAAGGACTTGTGTGTTCCAAATATTGCCAGAGCCAGATCAAAATAACTGCTGGGTTATTTTCAAAGTGAAAGCAGCCTGTTTGTTGGGCAGCGGTGCTGCCTAAAATCCTTTTTTTTTTTTTTTTTACCAAGTGTGGTCTAACCTAATTATACCATTTTTGTACCATTTGAAAATTATTGCAGATGCTAGACTTGAGGTTTGCATTATATGTGGACTGGAGTCAACATTATTTCATCTTTCCAGCTCTCCTAGGTGTGTGCATGTTTTTTCTTAATTTCTTTTGCTAAACATCCTGCCTGAAAATAGGTGAATGCAAAAGGCTAGCCATTACTTGTGACTTTTTTAGTTGATCCTAACAGAGTGATATTGCTACTGTTGGTTTTGAGTATTTTCCCCCAGTGACCCAACACAGCCGCCTGTATTTTTTATTTAAATGCAATATATATGCATGTATACTACAAGTTGCTCCCATATACGAATTTGTATTATTAGCGTATGTGAATAGCCCTATAATGTATAGATGTGAGCAGTTAAGGGCAAACAAAGTCTGGCAATACGCTTTCTTATTTCTGTGTTCTGCTGCATCATAACTGACCAAATGATGTACTGTAAACTTGAATAATGTGGCCTTCTTTGAGAAGTTGGACTTGAAAAGTATGGATTTTTTTCATATTTGTAAAATTTGCAGACCACATATTTGTTTCAGATTAACATTTATAAATGACTATTTAACAATGTATTTAACACTATTTAAGATTTTATTTAATGATTCAGTTGCAGTCAAGATCACTGAAAAGAACTATATGCTTACAGTATGTTATAGTGGTTTCTTTAGTGGTTTTTACACAGCACAATGGCAAATAGTTTTATCTGCTCTGAATGTATAGCAATCTGGGCTTTAGAGGGGAAAGCAAGTTGCTATTGTCTTACAAGGAAGCCTTGCAGTGCCACTTAGATGGTTAAAATTGACTTTGCATTCTGGAGGTCAAGGGAAGTGTAGAAGTGATTCCTGCCTCTGCCCTTTTCCTGTCCTGCACTGGCTGCCTGTAAGTCTCCGGGTTTGGATTGCACTGTTAGACCGAGTTGTGATCATCTAATTTGAATAATTCTGTTCTTTGCAGTACACTGTTTAATGTGCAAATATGTGAACACTTCGATACCACGGGAATAATGTCAGTGAGTAAATATTTCATGAAGTATTGTTTTTTTTAATTTAAAAAACTTTTTTAGTTTTAAATACTGGTACAGTAAGTAGTATATCCCTCTCCAACTGACACGCAAAATTTGTTTCCCGTTTTCATAAAGTTGTTTCACTAACACACACATAGAAGGAACATTAATCGTAACAGGTTTGCCAGTGTAGGATCATGACGACGGTGCTCACAGAGACACTGGTCTAAGTGTTTACAACCAGAGTGCAATTGTTCTAGTCATAACACCTTTGAATCTAGTGTTAGGAGTACACCATAAACATTTGTATTTATAAAAGTGAAAATGAAATAGGGAATTATCGAATGAAGCACTAAGTGTTGAAGTAAATTACATATGCTTGTGCAACTCCAATAGCATTTGCTGGCATGATAGGTCAATTGTAGAAACGCAATGAGATTTACATTAGTGCTAGTGCCAAATTAGATCCTGCCCTTGGAACAGAAGTATGTATAATTACTTTACAAACAACAGCTGCTGTACCTATTGCTGTTTAGACTTTAATTAGAATAAATGGGTGGTGCATTTGACAGTATTTATGTTAATGCTGATTTAATTTTTCTGGTGAACCTGTGCTTTAAAGTGTTATACTGTTTTCTAGATCTAAAGGAATGTTCTACAGGTGCACTTTTTTCAAAATATGCCTATTTGTGTTGAAAAATAAAGTTTAATTAAAATAATAGACTTGTAAATATAATTTTGGATCAAGATGAAAGAATGCTGTATCCTTAGAGTAAGCCTAATAATTTTTTCAATTGTCCCAACAATGATGTCCTTGTAGTAAGAGATCAATCATGTTTGCCTGATCCAAATAGGTATTGCTAACCTGTACCTGAACTACAGGGCTGTAAGAGTTGTGTTTAATCATTGGTCCATGTCAAGTGTTGCCACTTATCTACATATTCATTCATTCATTCTGTGTGTGTGCGCGCGCGCGCGAGTGAGCGCACGCACAACTAGATAATGTGCATATATAAAAGCACTGTGGATCTATGGGGTCCTATAACCAGAGATGTGTACTCTCAGGAGACTTATGTGCTACATACTTATTCAAACAGGAAATAGAATTTGTTGAGCTGAGGAAACTAGCTCAAACACACATTCTTCAAAAGCCTAAGCACATAGACTTTATTTTCTTACAACATTGTACTGAAAAACATGCACACTCATTACAAAACAAGATGCAGTGGACATCTTTGTGAGTGGATGCTTTAGTTACAGTTCAATGCTATGCATGTTCCAACTAGAAAAAAATCCAACAACCACCACCATTTTCCAGCTAGATATTAGATCTGTCATGGCACATTGTTAAGTGCTGGCTGCTGGCTGAAAATATTTGTGAAAATGGAATTACCAAGCCACCATTATTACATCAAGCGTGCAAGGAAACTGTTGATCTGGTACAATATGTGCAGTCTGTTCTAGAAAAGCATTTATGTTCCAATAGTTGCCTTCAACTTTTATTCCTGAGTGTGAAACAAGTAGCTAATGTAAGGAAATGACGTAAGTCGTAAGTTACTGAGTACAACATATAACTTTGTCCTTTTGGGACTAACAGCTGTAGCGAGACAGTAGGTAGCAATATTTATTTATTTATTAAAATATTTTTATGCCGCCCCATTCGCCGAAGCCTCGGGGCGGCTTACAACAATAAATAAAACCAATAAGTTAAAATATACATATAAATAACCATAATAATTTAAAACACACAATATAAAATAGGCCGCCCTGGCCAGATAAAATTCAGTGGTATTAACATTTAAAATGTTGCTTAAATAAAAAGGTCTTCGCCTGGCGCCGAAAAACAAATAACAACGGCGCCAGGCGGACCTCTCTGGGGAGCGCATTCCATAACTTAGGCGCCACCGCTGAGACTTCTGCTCAAGTCACCCACATATACAAAAGTATACAACTAGTTGTCTTCTGCTGGTGCAAAAAAGAAGTGTTGGAGCTAACCTGACCTCCAGAGAAAGGAATTTCATAGAAGTGGAGCTATTGCCTGACGTTTATTTATATGGCATTTTTATGCCACCCCCTGCTCCTAATGGAGTCTCTTCTGGTGGATTCCGGTTGGCTGCAGGTCATGTGGAACCATCCAAAGAGTATGACCACACACGGGTAAGGAAGAAGGCACCCTCTCAGGTATCCTGCTCCCTATTGTTTGGGCTTTGTACACTAGTACCATAACCTTTAATCAGGCCTGGAAATGAATAGACGGGTGGTGGAGCTTCAGCAAAAGAATTACATGTTGAAATCAGTGTCCAACATGAGTAAGGAAGAGGGTGAACAAACTGAAATTTAATCCAGAAAAGACTACTAGTTAGATAGCATTTTCAAGTGTCAGTGCTCATCTCCATAGCCATGCCTCAAAGGAACACCCAAAAATTCAGGCAACTGGGTTGATGTGTATGAATACACACATTCTAGCAGTTCTTATCTCCACTAGCTGTAGTTCTTTCTACAGTGCTTTGGGTGGAGGGGAAGGGAATGGAGAGGTCAGGATTCAAGGTCTTCAGCTGCCTTTCCTTTCCATTTGAAGCACTCTATCCAGGTGTGCAAATAGTTTCAACTGCCTCCTGTTCCATAAGCATCCTGTCAACACAGAATTGTGCTCTTAATTACCCGTCAGGACCAAGCCGCTGCAAAGTAGTTTCCTTTGCAACAGGAAACTTTTTGGTTGGAAAAAATGCTATGAGAATTGAAACTAAGCTTAGAGATGCAGGGATGTCTGAAGGGGGTAGCAGGTCAGGGTGGATTTGATTTAAATCAAATTGATTTAAATCACTTGTCAGTAAGTCTAGAATTAAATCGGTCTTCTACATAATTAACATCATGTCTACCTTACCTGTACTTCATTAAAATATTCCCAAACTGGGTCTCTCTGATGGCCTACTGCCATTATAGGTTTTCTTCTCCACTAAAATAATATGATAAAGCTTGGGCTATACACAAAAAGATCCAAAGACTTGTGGAGTATTCTGCTCAAAAGGTTTCACTTTCATTTTTACTGCTTGCTCCTCCCTCTTCACATGTAGCTTCTTGTGCAGATCTATTCCACTCCCAACACTCATCTTGCATTCATGGATTTTTTTTACATTTAGCACTTAAGAGGTAAAGGGTTACATAGATTTGCAATGAAACAATGGGATTAGGATATTTTTCTGAACACTGTATGTTTACTTTATAACATTTTTGGCTGTGAAGAAAAGGCATGTGATCTCTGCAGACACTCACATTTTTGAGAATTATAAAACTAAGGATCTTAGATAATACCTTCTAGATAGCAAAACTGCCCAATAATCTTACAGAAACCTCCGGAAGAGCATGACATTGTGAATCGATTAATGGAATTCATTTACAAAAAATTTAAACATTGTATGAATATATAGCCTTATGCTACATAATTAAAAACTAATCTTTATTTAATGATGAATAACCTTCCACCTATAATGTATCTTAAACAGGAAAGTATCTTTAGATATTTTCCCTCAAAAAGCATTTTATTAAAAAAAATCCAACTTAAATCCAAAAAATCCATTTTTTAAAAAAAGCATTGACTTTTACCCAGGTAGCAAGTGACATCAGTGTTCCTGAAAAATCAAAAAACGCTGGGACTGCATCCCTGTGATCCCCGATTCCACTAAATACTGGAGGAGATGGGCACTTGGTTAGTTGAAAGGCAGATCACGCAGTAGGGATACAACCTGTGCTTACTGGCGTTCACACTTCGAGAACTCAGATTCAGGTGGTGCCCAGATTTCAGCAGTGGTCCGGAGCGCATTTGCGCAGCCAAGGCTAGTGGATCAACTGCGCCTTTCGTTCTTAAATGTCTGATCCGACACGTGACACGCGCTTTGGTTACCTCCCGTTTGGTCTACTCTAACCGGCTCTGCATGGCCCCGTCTCCAAAGAGTGTTTGGGAACTTCAGTCGGTCCAAACTGCCATGGGCAGACGCCAAACCAGGGCTGCTTACAGACCAACTCCACTTTTTAACTGCTTTCCTATTCCAAGCTTTCACGATCTCAACCCAGCACCACAATTTCCGCATCCCCCCTTCCACAAAGAAAGAGGTGCGGGGTTCAAGTCTCCACTTCATGTCTGCAGCCTGGCCCGGTCAATGGTCAGACACTGGAGTCACACACCGACACGCTTGGACGTATCTATTTGTAGTCCCTTCACGCGTTCTCAGTTTCTCAGCCTAGTTTTGAAAACAGCTTCCGGGGCTGACGGCTTCCCCTTCCGCCAATGTCCCTCGAATTTTAAAGTTTGACCGCATTAAACCAACACAGCACCCTTATACCGAATTAATGCCTTAATGGATTGTACACAGAGGAACAGATCCCGATAAAATTGCAGGGCTACCCGCTTCCTGTTCGTTCTCCAAAAAATGCTAACTCTTTACCAAAGTTCCGGTGGTGGTGAGAAAGTCCTGCAAAAACCGGAGCTCTGGTTCGAGGAAGTTTTCCGGAACCCAAACTTGAAACCGGTTTTAGCATCACGGTAGCCGGAGGAAGCAGCGCTTCAGCGGGCTGGCAAGGAAGAGGAGGCGGTGACGAAGCGCAGCCCTCGTGGGTCGGGACGGGAAAGGGGTGCGGCTATTGCCGCACTGGATGCTGGGCTGGCCGGCGAGCAGAGATCGCAGCTAAAACGTAGGAGGAGGAGAAGCGGCCTGCAGGCTGGAGAAGCGTCTGTCGGGAAAGCGAGCGGCGGCGGAGCCTTTTTCCTGGGACGAAGGTTTGTCGGCTGCGGCGGCATCAGCAGCAGCAGCAGCAGCTGTGTCCAAAACCGAATCGAGGCTTGGTGAGCCCGCCGCTTTCGCTCCGTTGCCCGTGGTTGTGTCTGCGGGCTGCGCGTCTCCTTGCCCCACGTGTGTCGGGGGGTGCGGCGGTTCCTGCAGGCTCCCTGGGGAAGCGGGGCGGCTTGGATTGTAGGGCGTTGCAGCGCCCGAGGGCACGACTCCCTACGAGTCGAGCTGAAGTCTGCCTGCCACGGTTGATTCGCGCGGCCTGATCTCTTTGGGAGGGAAGGCGTTGCACAGGGGCCTGTACATGCAGGAATGGGAAATGCTCGCGGCAAAATCCCCGGAGGAGGTTGCTGGGCTTTGGCTCCCGGGAGCTTCTAGACCTCAAACCGAGCTTCTTGTATCTGTCTTGACGTAATCTGTGTTGTGCCCACGTGGAGAGCGAGGTGAGGTGGTAGAGTCTTGAATTGTAGAGTTGACTGTACCATTTCAAAGACCTCATGGGGTGATGAGGACTACCATTTAGCATGTTTTAGTCATGTGGTGGTTTCTTTGTTAAAAACCACATGTCCTAGTAAGCAGGCATATCACATCGTTCAAGGAGACGATGGGGCAAGCTTGCTGTAGGTAAAAAACGGAATTCAAAGAATTGTTTCCTCTTGCAATAAGCAGGTGAGGAAGAATTTCGGGCAATGTGGGATGTGCAGATCTAGACCACGTGGAGGAAGTGTGTAAGCGGTAGCTGAGCTGATAGCTTTTTTGCTGGCTGTGGGAAGAGAATGCTAATCCCAACTCCGGAGATCCTTCCTTTTCTCCTTCCTCTACATCACTTTGTTGCATGTTTGGCAATATTCTACAAGAGAGATTCCTGATTTTCCTCCATCACTTCCAGTAAAAGTGATCTCATCAGAACTGCATGACTCCTTTAAATAAAGAGCTATTTAAAGAGCTAAATGAATAAACCTGTTTATTTAAACCTAAATAAATAATAACGCTTTATTTAAAGCTCTCCTTTAAATAAAGAGCTTTTTAAACCTGTGTTCTTACACACAGCTTCTCTTGGCTTTGGCTGTCCTACAGTAAAAACAAACTTGCCATGTGTAATGAAAGTTCATTGCTGCTAGAGTCCAAAAGGCCTGTTCTGCCCAAGGCAGCTGAACCAGTGTAGTGTTCTGGAGAACAGTGGTAGCCAGGCTGCAAGTTAGGACAGAGAAAACACTTGCACCTAGGCTTGAGAGTGGAAGAGGTTCTAGGCCAGCCCTCTTCAACTTGGTACCCTGCAGATATTGTGGACTACAATGCCCTGAATTCCTTACTATTGGCCATTTTGCCTGGAGTTAATGGGAATTAAAGTGCAAAATCTGGCCAGGGCGGCTTATTTTATATTGTGTGTTTTAAATTATTATGATTATTTATATGTATATTTTAACTTACTGGTTTATTTATTGTTGTAAGCCGCCCCGAGGCTTCGGCGAATGGGGCGGCATAAAAATGTTTTAATAAATAAATAAATAAATATGGAGGGCACCAGGTTGGAAAAGGCTGTTCTAGAGCTTCCCTGTCTAGCATACTAATTTCATTTTATTTTTTCAAATTTAGGAAAGCTTTCAAAAAAGAGATTAGCTCATGTAACCTCTGAAATGCTTTGCACTATTTACCCTCTCCTTCTGTTCCATCCATATTTGTAGTGGAAACCCCCTCTTACTGGAAGGGGAAACGGTCATTGCTATCTGGTTCTAAAGCAAGGCAGTGGAGTTTTTGGAGGAAAATAAAGTGAGCCTTACCTACCTCATAGGATAGTTGTGCGGATGAAATGAAGAGGAGGTAAACCATGTATTTTGCTCTGGGCTCTTTGGAGGAAAGCCAGGATATAAATGGAATAAATAAGTAATATGTTAACAACCCAGTATTTTGGGACACATAATAGCACAGTTTTGTTCTGGGAAAGTTTTTAAAGGGCTAAGTCATCCTTATCACTGTCCCTGCAGATTCATAATCTATTACGTGAATATGATGCAACACATCTTTCAGATAGGACATGGGCATTTGCTAAATCCTGGCAGCCAAAAGCAACTGGTTGCTTTCTTTGGTACACTACTTGGTGTATGTATGCTTTGCTTAAATTTCCTGAAGCGGCAGACCTCTGTTAGAACTGTGGCAGCTACCACTATAGGGAGCTTTAACTATTGGGCACTTTAGAAATGAAATTAATTACAGTACAAGGGCATTTGTACTTGGATTTGGGAGCTCCCCCGGAGGACAGATCCTTCAGGAGAGCTCTAACATAAAATAGACCAGCATAGACCTTTGTTGGCATTGCCAAAGCACATGCCTTGGTTGCTGACAATCAGCCTAATTGCAATGAAATTTTCACCAGACCTGGGACAGTGGTAGCCAGGTGCAACCTCTGGTTCAAACAGTGGCTAGTTCATAATTACCTAAATATAATTTGGCACTTTCCTATTTCCTTTGGCTCTTTGGGAAGTGGGGTGGGCAGGCTGTTTGGAGATCTTCCTGGGGCATCCGATTGAGAGGGGAAGATAAAAAGGCCAGGTTAATTTGGGTTTGAAATTATATCTCCATGGGTGAACAGAGTCAGTAACAGAGACTGTGTTTCAAGATTTTAACTGAAATTGAAACAGCGGTCAATGCATGGAGAATATAGAAATAGTGATGGGACAACATAAGGAGAAGACCTATACACACATGATAAGGTGGCTAATAAAATAATTTGCTGAAATATCAAATAAGAAACAAACTAAGAATAAAATCAAGCCCTACATTCACTTTTCTGTAACAACTCTGAGTTATAAAAGTGATATTTTAAAGATGCAGTGCTGGTGGACAAGAAGGCTCGCTTCACAGCCACAGAATAGGATCAGTAATGAGTTCCCAAATGAGTCTGATCAGATTCAGCATGAGTTTTCTTCCAGCTGCGCTCTAGCTGTCTATCTACCTGCTTCATTGCCCACAGCTTAGTGTACCATGGACCCAATCAAGTTCTGCCTAGTAGTTGAGGGCATTCAGGTGCAATCATGTCACCTGCCTGGGTCACTTCTTTACTCCAAAATGCAGCCTGGGCCTCGACAGGAGTGCCAGCCATAGTGACTGGAAAATCCCCCAGATCCTTCTAGAAACCATTCGGATCCATTAGGCAGCAAGGGTGGACAGTCTTAATGGACCCCCTATTAAGAGGGAAAGAGAGGCTGCAAAACTAAACCGGACAAGGAAGTGATCTGACCATGACAAAGGGGTTATTGTTACACCCTCCACCTCCGGATCACCATCCTCCAGCCCAGTTGAAGAAAACCAGGTCAAGACTGTGTCCTTTTTCATGGGTGGTATGCAGAGACAGCCCCATGGTTGTTATGGTGGCCATGAAGTCCTGAGCTGCCCCAGATAGAATTGTCTCAGCAGGAATATTGAGATCGCCCAGAACAAACATCTTGGGAGTTTTCAATATCAAGCCAGAGATCAACTCTGACAACTCAGGCAGGGAGTTCATAGTGCAGCAAGTTGAGCAGTACACTAAAAGAGTTCCCAGTCTGTCCCTTTTGCCCAGCACCAAGGAAAAACACTCAAGACTGGTCTCCAAATAGACAGGAAACCTCATGAGGAAGAGCACTCCTAGAGATTACAGCCACTCACCCTTCCCCACCCTCAGGGCGATACTGATGCTGCACAGAATACCAAGGTGGGCATAATTGGGAAAGACTAGCATCTTCTGCCCCTCTCACCCAGGTTTCTGTAATATAGGCCAGGTCAGTCCTCTCATTCATAATCATACTATGGATGAGTGAGATTTTGTTTTCACCTGGCCTTGCTAGGCAGATTATTTTTGTGTGGTGGACCCTAATTTTAGAATGCATACTTGACAAACCTGTTCCCATTTTTATGCGATAGAATTCAGTAATGCTAGTGCACTGGAAAGGCATGTTTTCAATACAGAGATACTTTTAAAAAGGTAATAAACCATAATTAGCCATGGAAATTGCTAATTAGCAAGCCCAGTAGCAATATCAATTGGGCAACTGGGTACAATAATTTAAATTTACAGTATTGGTAAATGTTGGTCTGATTTACAGGGGCTGAAAATGGCAGAAAATGGAGATAGTGAAAATATGTCTCATCTGGAAAAGAAGGTCTGTCAGCAAATTGAGGTATGGCTCTTCTTTGAATACTTAACTATTTAGAATCTCCATGTGATGATTGCTGGAGATGAGGAGTGTTGTAGTCCAACAGATCTGGAAGCTATAAGGTTGGGCAATGCTGACTAGACTATAAACAGAAGACAGCTACATTTTGTTTGAGCGTGTAATGAAGATTGCCCCAGATTCCCCAGAACTGGATTTTGCTGTGAGATGATATGCACTAGCTGATTAAATGTTCCACTTCAACTCCTGCAAATCTTACTGGCCATGTTCATCTAGGAAGGAAACATCCATTGCGACTTTTCCCCACCTTGGATATGTGGGTTGTGTGCTCCCTTGTTTAATTACCTTCATGGGGGAGCAGGTTGCCATGGCATCCAGATCTGATGAAGTGAGTGGCAGGGATGTTTTCCAGACTGCCTCACAATGGTTTGTTCTAGGTTTCTAGGGTGGTGTGAAAGTTACTGTGATGCTCACCTTTGGTGGATCTGGATGACATGCAACCTATGCCATGGCACAGGTAATTATGTAAATGAAGTGGCACATGACCAGTACCCCTGTACATATAATCTTTCCTAATTGTGCAAGCCCAGTCACTATCTGCCCTGAGAGAACTGAGAATCTTGACTACAACTCAATGTCACAAACTTGTTTTTCAGTTTAACATGGTAGTGGAGCTAAATATTGTCATGTTTGCTACCTATTTACCAAGTCTCAGGTTTGGCAAACTGCATGACAATGAAGGCATTATCTTAAGAAAACCACACTATGACATTTCAAAATATTTAGCAGATGAAAGCCCAATAAATGTTTTAGCTGCTGTGAAATTGGAAACTGGATACTGGATAAGTGAAGTGGTGGATTGTTGCTGTTCTGGTTCTAATATTTGTGTTACTCTCACTATATAGTATTATTTCGGTGATTACAACCTACCACGAGACAAGTTTCTTAAGGAGAAGATAAAATTGGATAATGGCTGGGTGACTTTGGAAACATTAATCAAATTTAACAGGTAAATCCAAAGGTGGTTGTGCAAATTACAGGCTCCTAATTTTCTAGGAAGCATAGTCTTATTCATTCTTACAGTAAATCTACATTTCAGGCTAAGTTTTTCCCCTCAAATCTCCAAGAAGACCACTTTCCAATTCTGCTACTTAATGAACAAGCAAGCACATACCTAGTGGTTGCTATTACAATTAAAGTGTACATCATCTTTTGTATTACCTAGAAATATAATGCAAAACATCTGGATCATATATGAACCTCATCATCAGGTTGTGCATCCCCTGTGCTTTTTCCCCCCTACATAATTTTCTTAGGAGAGCAATCACAAAATCAAGGATTTGTGTTTTGGCTTCCTGTATAGACATGAGAACATTTACTCAAAACTTTATGTGTCAAGAATGTTTTATAAACAAGATCTAGTCACTGTTGGGCACAGCAATCTTTCCATAACATGAAAAGTAAATACCCAGGTTTGACAGTCTTAATTATGTGTTTGTACTACCCTAATGAATAAGTATGTCATATTTATTATGTTTGACCTGAAAAGAATACATTTATGCCACTGGTTTATTTACATAGAGAAATACGGTTTTCTAAATGAGGGCTGATGGGGAAAAGGGATACTTGCTTGATGTTGGATGATTCATGGATGCAGGGAATAAGCAGAAGAAACAGGAAACTTTCTTAACATTAACTTCTTTGACTTATTTTGGGATCTAAGGGTTAAGGGACCATGGTTTGTTACAAGGGACTGTACAAATTGCACAGTAAGCTTGCATTGCATTTTATGTCAGGCTGTATTTGGGGAACGCTTAATGCAACTGAGTTCTAAAAACTGCAAACAAATAATCTCTCTTCCTCCACTTTATCTTTGCAGGTTAAATCGCCTTACAAAAGACTTTGATGTAATAGTAAGGGCATTAGGAAAATCAAAGAGCGAACTTATGGAAGTTAGTGAAGACAAAACAAAAATCCGAAGATCTCCAAACAAACCTTTGCCTGAAGTAACTGAACAATACAGAAATTCAGTAAAAAGCAGATCTGTATATATTGTAAGTGCAAACAAAAGACCCTAATGTAATGGATTTCAAACTTTCCAACTTCAGGGAGCCTTGTTTCATATGGAAGTTTTCTGCCAAGGAGCCCTTGCATGTTGCAAAAGATTTTGGAGAACAAATCTGGTGCATGAGGAACTGGACCTCTTGGGTCTCACCATTGCTGTCTGTGAAGTGGGTAGGCACTCTGTTCCCACCCAATGCTATCCAGTTCTAGACTGCTGTTAACTACATTATAGCAAAGAATCTTAAGGACATAATCCTATGTATATTTAAACAGAGAAGTATCCTACAACTTCCTGCATTTCTCAGCCAGCATGGCCAAAGATCAGGGATGCTGGGAGCTGAATTCTCACAAATCTGGAGGTCCTCAGGTGGTGGGAGGGCAGTTTGTATTAATGGACATTTTGAAGTTGGTGTAGGGTATGTGTCTTTATGCAATCCCTTAAAGATGGAAACTATCTAGATCTTCATTTTTTTTTTTCCAGAAAGGCTTTCCACTAGATGCGACCCTTGATGATGTCATAGAATGGCTAGACAGTAAAGGCAAAGTAGAAAGTATTCAGATGAGGAAAACACTTCAGAAGATGTTTAAGGTAATGCTTTTAAATAGACCTATGCCAATTCTGAATGGTAAGAGAAGATTTTACTGAAGAATTAAATTCTACTTTTCTTAATCTAGGGATCAATATTTGCAATATTTGATAGTGCTGAATCTGCCAAGGAATTTGTAGAGACTCCAGACCAAAAGTACAATGACAAAGAGCTGATTGTGCTTTTCAAGTAAGTGTGACTTCATTACAGGTTTGTAAAGGTAAAGCTCTGGTAATGGACTTTGTCCAAGACTTGTAACTTTGGAGTAGAGTTGGTGACCTAGGAGAGCAGGGGTGAAGAATATTAGGCCTGGGGGTCAAACTGTCCCACCCCATGTCTCAGCCAGGTCCTCAGGGATGCCCCAGGTGGCCACAACTCTTTTCTCCAACCACTATTTGTCAGGTGGATTCCCAGATACTGGGTATTATCTCCCCCACCCCAATTCTAAAAGAGCAAAATTCCTCTTCCAGGGCTTAATATCTGACTGTAAGAGCTGCAAGTTGCAATATGTGGCACGTTTGGATTTGCCCCTTTGCCTTCAGCCACACTCACCACTGCACAACCTCCAATAAGTTCTCTGAGATGGAATTTGACCCTCAGGTTGAAATAGTTTCAGCACCTCTGTGCAGCTAGATGAATGCCACTTGTCATCTGATACATTCTTTATGTTGCAGAACTATTTGGGTTTTCTTCCATCTTCTCCAGGGAACTTGGGGCAACATACATCTCTTCTTTTCTCCTGAGCAATGCATCACAGGCAGAATTTAGGAGAAAACCATCAATGAGAGTAGGAAAGAAAACACTATCATGGAACACAAAGATAATCTCTGAACATCCTTCCAAAGAGACCTTCATGTGGTCCTTTACATAGAATATGTACAAGGACACCGTGTCTCAGAATATGTCATTCTTGCTCTTGCTACTGTATTAAATGAGCTGCTCTGATAAGGTGTTTGTACACACACAATCACACTATGCATTTATAGAGTTGACTGCAGCTGACGTCCACTGTAGCTATGTCCTATCTGGCTGTGACAAGCAAAAACAATATATATATCTTGCCATCTCTTTCCTCTAAGCAGGGGGAAAATTGAAAAATTCCTGGGCACAAGCAGGGTGTAACAAATGAATGGAGAAATTGCCCTGTTTATCTGCAAAAAGGGAGAATAGCTTGGTGGATGCCTCAGCCAGGCTTTGTGGGTTGGGCGGCACTGGTCAACACCACACTGGGAACCCAGCTCTAAAATAGATGCTTTAGTCTTGGCTGGAGATGTGAAAGTCTGGAAACATGGCATTGTGGGGTATTTCCAGGGACTTCTTGGAAACTTGGAAAGAGGAGTTGTTTTCAAATTTTTCTGTTTTGTCTCCCACCTCAGTCCTTCACATCTGAAATCCTGGCAGCAGTCCTATCAGCAGACTGCAGTGGATAGCTCTCTTGGCAGAAACTGTTCTCGGATGTGCTTCTCTTTAGCTCAGATCTGGCCTAGCATTCCTTGTGTTTTCTTCTTGTTCAGCCTGCCTGTCCTTAAACACCAGCCCTGATAAGAGATAAGAAAGTTAGTGATTTTTTTGTAGGCCGAGGAATGGAGAGTTCAGTGCACTGAGGAGATGAGCTGAATCACGCACTGGGGGTAGGGGGTGGGCAGGCAGCCTCTCTTAAGTAAAGCTTTTTTGTTTTGCTCACTAAGATTAGTTGTTCAACACCAACTGGTAACCTCTCCCTGACAGAGCTACTGTTGAGTATTGGCAGTGATTATTGGACTATATCAAAGAGCAGGCAGACCAAAGGATAGCTACCATGTTCTTCTATTTTAAATAGCAGCTGTAAATGGAATTGCTTAATTTGATTATACCCTGTGCAGGGATGATTACTTTGCAAAGAAGAAGGAAGAGAGAAAACAGAAAAGTTTGGAAGTCAAAGCCAAAGCCAAACAGTAAGTTGTGACTAGAACTTTGAAGTTAATACCAGTGTTTGTTTTGCTGAGAGGTGCTTGCCTGACTTTCCTGTCTTGTTGTAACAGGGAGAAAGAGGAGAAACAGAAACAGGCGGAAGATGCTGAAATGGTATATTCTCCTTGATTTCATTGACTTTGTAATCTTTTATAATAATAGCCTTGTTTGGCTCTACCGCTGTTGTGTATAATTAGAAGGATATGGTGGCAGAATAAAGACTTGAAAAGCAATTAGCTAAGACTAACTTTAGTCTGCTCTCCTGGACCTAGAAGAACAAGATAAATTGGAAAGCCTCAGCTTGATACTCCAAAATCGAAATCACTTAGTACTTGTGAACCTGCATGCTGCAGACACTAAAGCTGAGCAAGTTAAGAGGAAAGTGCCCCAGAATTGCTTCAGGGTATATATACCTCCTCGTGTGGAGTAACTGTGGAGAACCCTCACAGATCAGAGATTTACAAATGGACATCAATCTTGGTGTTTCTTTTTTAGAAATGTATGTACTGGGTGCTTAGCTTATAAGCACATTTAACTGGTACTTGTTATAAACATGCTGGGGATATATAAGAAAGGAACAAAAATCATTTCTTCCTCCTCAGTTTCATTAGGCTGTGCTAACAGAGGTGGAAGGGAGTCTTTGGAGATTTCATTAGGCTTTGGAGTCTAGATAATCTGGAGATCCAAGACTGGGAGCTGCTGCTGTATTAATGCTTAGTATCATTATGGCCACATGATTGGTGTTCTGAATTTGGAATTCACAGAGCATTGAGTTCATTGGATCTGCATTAAAACTGTTGCATGTTGCAGGAAGGTGTAATCTGAGGTACTCCCATCTTAGTTGAAGCCGCATTTCTGAAGCATGTTTAAAATGGAGCCTTTATCAATCCCATGTGGATGGAAGCATGTGCAACTCAAATGGGATGGCTATTACCAACCAAACTTGTGGTCTTGTAGGAAAGGTATTGCTTAATGGTGCTGGGCACCGGCTTTCTTCAGATGTTCATTTTCACATGAGCATCATTGGGTGCTAGCTCCATCCCTGTTGTCTTCAGACCTGCCCTCTCACAATCCAAGAATTATGGGGCATGCCTGAAGAGGGAGCCTGGTCGGTGTGCATGGTCTGCCTGTTGTAACATGAAGCTCAAGGATCTGTACTGCAAGAGCTCTGAGCACGTGAAGTGAACTTCCCCCTTCAGACCCTTCTTTCTCCTGTGATGCTTGGATGGGTTGGAGAATGAGGATGCAACAGGTGTTCTCTTGCACAAGAACATTATCATGGGGAGGAAGAGAGTGGCGCTATACCCAGTGGCTCTGCACTATACCAAGCATTGGGGAAGGAGGTCTGAAAATGGCAAGCAGTTCTACATGGGTTTCCATGGCAAAGGAGAGAGCAGGAATGCTCAGGCACAGCATCTTCAGAACGAGACCCACAACATCACCATGGGTGAGAGACAGGGACAGCCAGTGAGTCTGGCCTTGTTCTCTTTCTCTACATGATCACACTTATGTGGTGGGGAATGGGGGCTAGGAAAAGGTTTGGTGACAGAGCGCACAAACTCAACAGTACACTGGAACTCAGAGGACTGGGAAGCTCTTAGACTATCAATGAAATCCAATGCATCCTTTCGGGTATAAATGTTTGACGTGTCTAATAGAATCTTTCTTCTCACCTCTTGTGAATAAAAGAAATCTCTGGAGGAGAAGCAGGGGTGCTTGCTGAAATTCTCTGGAGATCTAGAAGATCAGACATGCCGAGAAGACCTCCATGCAATTTTCTCTAACCATGGTGAAATCAAATGGATAGACTTTGTCAGAGGTGCAAAAGAGGTCTGGATTACTGCAGTATTTGTAACTGATGAAATCTTAAGCAACTGGGCAGCAGCTTCAGGGTTTAGTGGATTGGTGAATGGATGGGTGGAGTTGCTTAATAATTGTCATATTTTTACATATGTTCATACTGATAATCCTAACAAAACAATCAGACTTGTAACTTAACACCTCCTAACTGCATGACCCTCAATAAAATGTAGAATGTAAATGTCATTCTAGCTTGCTAGAGTAAACCCTGAGATTTTTGCCTTGTCCATCTTATCCCAGAGCTGGGGAACATGTGGCTCTCCAGATGTTGGGCTAGAATTCCCACAATCCCTCACTATTGTCTGTATTGGCTGGGGTTGATGAGATGTGCAGTCCAACAACAGCTGGAGGGTTACACATTTTCAGTTCCTGTTCCAAATTTACCTATTGTAATGATCAGAACTTGTACTGTAGTAAATGATCAGTCATCCATGAAACTGATTGGGGAAAGGTTTAGGCCAGACTAGTAGTAGTACCTCTTCACAAGATATAGTTGAACAATGGAATTTGCTGCCATGGAAAGTACTGGTGGGCACCAATTTGGATGGCATTAAAAAGGGATTTGACAGATTCATGAGCGGGGAGGCTGTCAGTGGCTACTAGCCTTCCTGGCTATGTGCTTCCTTCTTCACCAGAGGTGGTATGCCTGCATGCCCTAGTTGCTGAGGAGCTTGGGTCTTGTACCCATCCTGCTTGAGCACTCCTGTGGGCAGCTTGTTTGCCACCATGTGCATGCAGTGCTTGTGGCTTATCTAATGTTCTTGGTGAAAAGCTAAGAAATCTTCAGCATCCAGATAGACGGCATGATCAGTGGTCCACAGTACAGACTGAGCCTAAAATTAGCAGGAGCCCTGTTTGGCAGTTGCCATTGTCCCTTTAGCAACCTAGTTTGTGGATGTCTGTTTATTCCTGTTGGGTAGTGGAAGTACTAAACTCCTCTCAATGGCCTGTGAAGCCAGGTGTTTATTCCTCAAAGCAGTATGAGCAATGTGTGGTCTTTCACTTGTCTTGGGCTGCAGCTTCCATCATCCTCCAGTATTAGCTATGTTGTCTAGGGCTGATGAGAGTTGTAGCCCTCTAGTTGTTTTATCCTAGGAGTTTACAACCCTTGCCTCAAGGGACTGGGAAAATGGCAAGGGACACTATCATATGTTGTGCTGCTTCCTTCAGGTCATGCCTTTGTTCCAAGGCATAGGCCTCCAATGGAAGCAACAAAGGGAATATGAAGGTGGTGGATTGCCTTAGGAAGGACTATAAGAGCTACCTGCCATGGCCTCCATTGAGCACTGTCCAGTACAGGGCACAAATGCATTTGGGTGAGGGTCGGAAGAGGGCTCATGGCATTTCTTGGTCTGTGCTGCCTTAACTCTCACATCTGGGATGGCTGAGCGGCAGCTTTTAGGAGAGACCCTTGATAAGTGAAAGGGAGCTGGGCCATTCCTGCATTGATTCAAATTGTATTTCTGTGTATAGGGAATCATCCTGTTCAAGAGTAGCGCAAAAGAAGCCCTGGATAAAGCCAAAGAAGCAAATCAAGGGAGTTTGCAGCTGCGAGGCAAAGATGTTACATGGGAGGTGATTGAAGGAGAAGTGGCAAGGGAAGCACTGAAGAAAATCATGGAAGGGCAGCAGGAATTGTTAAATAAAAAGAAAGGAAAAGGTGACTTTTCCCTTTAAGAATTTTAAGTACCAGTTTTAGCACTCTTGCAACCTAGGTTATATATTTAATTATTTGAAGTTTTTATATGCTGTCCCCTTGCTACGTAGCCTCGGGACGGCTCACATATATTGGGGATTGATGCTGGCAAAGAAATAGGTTGCTTTCCCCAATGAGTTGGGGTCCCAGTCTGGGCAGACTCATCCTTAAAGGAACAAGAAGCATCTCCAGACTCTTCAGTGGCTTATGGAAGGGCCAGAACCCCTATATGGCTGGTTCAGTCTGGCAGTAGTTGCCTGCCCTGGTGGTGACGGAGAGCTGAAGGTCAGCACTGGAAGAGCAGCACTTACTGCAAGTGGGATGAGTGGAGTTGCAAAATGGTAACAAAGAAGGTGCCTTGATGTGGAACTGGCTCTATACAGAATGTGCTAGGCTGTGGCAGGATGACCAGAAGATTTGGTTGTAGGACAGAAGAGGGCATGGTAGGACTCTCAGAACTACTTCAGTGTGCACTTCCTGATTTCTTGCTGTTTGCAGTCAAACGGTCCACTTTATTTTGAGCTGCCAGCAAAGTTCTTGTAGGATTTGGTCTGTGATGAGTCACAGACTTGTACAATTATCCACTGTATGCTTGAGCAGAAGCTTAGCAGTAGAGCATATGCTTTGCCTGCAGAAGGTTCTGGATTCAATCTCTGGCTTCTTTGGGTAGAGATAGAAAAGAGACATGTTAAAATCTCCAGAGAGCTGCTGCCAGTTCATATAAATAATAGTGAGTTGGACTAATCCTGTACAAGTTTGCTTCCTATAATTGTGAGACACACTGCAATAAATCCTTAAAACTGATTGTTAGTATTCTAAGGTGTGTATTTCCCACCTGACAGGTCGCAAAGGTAAAGGAAAAGGTGGTAAGGGACCTCAAGGTGCACAGGACAGAAAAGTGAAATTCCAAGGCAAAAAAACAAAATTTGAGAGTGATGATGAAGAGGAAGGTGAAGACAATAGTTCAACAGGTGAGCCATCTGTTTTGGAATAACCCTCCAAGTGCATGTATAAGGTAGTGTCCTGAAAACTGTCCCCTAAGTGTGACGTCTTTTAACAGTATTGTTGGATTTCTCTGGCCTTGGATGCCACTTCCTAATAAAGAACAATAAAAGGGTGCAGTTAATACTCCACATTGTAGCATGATTATCTAGATGAGAAACTGGCAGAAATTTAGCTTTGTTCTACAGCTTGCACTAGTTTAATTTCCATATGGGAAACAGTATAGGTGCTAGAGTCCAGAGTTTGGAGCAGATCATGCTGTTTTCCACTTTCAAAGTGGCTGGTTTAAAAAGTACTTATCAAGGCTTGCAGCTGCCACGCCTATAAACAACCTTGAAAACTAGAGGCCCTCCCTTAGAGCCAAATTTTCCCTTTAAACCAGAATTGTCTCTGCATCAGTGGGGTTCACCTTCAGTAGCTAGATTCCAAAGGGGAAGGGGGCCTTCTGATGCCTGAAGAGACCCTTAGGAGTGGCCTCAGACTGCTCTGCCATCCATCCATATTCATGGCAGATGGAGCACCAACAGACCATGTACTGAAGCTTCAGTAGGACATGCTTTATTTGTATAGCTGTATGTTTGTTGTAGATCATAATACTGGATGTGATCTCAATTCTGCAGGGCCAGTAAGTCCCAAGAAAAGACCACTGGAAGAGTCTGAGCAAGAAGAGTCTACACCCAAAAAACTAAAAACAGAAAATGGAGATGGGGAAGGGGAATAGTACTTCAAAAAACATTTTAATTTTTTAAAATGAGTTTTATGTCATTCCTCCATTCATCTTTTTTTCACAACAGAATCTAATAAAATCAACTTCAATGTCCACCTGCAAAGGACAAAGAAACAAAATTACACTTGAGATTCTTTCCTTAGAATGCTTGCTTATTTTAACATGCTATTTTTTACTAGCTTTAGAATCAGGCTAAAAGGAAAGGCTCAAATGGAACCACTCCAATTCAACTGTGTACAAAAGTTATATTTAGTGTATACCAAATAAACTTGAGTATCTTGGGTGTTAGAATTCAATGAACTACTGTGTTGAATTACAAAAGTGGAATTATAGCTGTGTCAAATTGTATCACTGCCCTGAGTTCCATGAAACAAGGGTGAGCTATAAATGAAATAAAGCAACTGTTCACATAAATCTATCCTAATCATATAATTCAGGTTTGAATTGCTCTCCAGTGCTTTCGCAGAATGTCCTCAAATCTTTCTTTTTCCTTTGTATGATGACAGAAGATGTCTGTGGCTGTACTGGCTTTCCCTGATCTGCTGACATCAAGATGGTTGGAAACTCCCATGCTGATTAAGGGATGCTTGCAATTGTAATCCTACACAACTGGAGGGCACCAGGTTGTAGAAGGCTGGTCTATGAAGAGCTTGTGTTTTTTCACTAGTAAAGGGGCTTAAGGCATAATCCTGTGGCCTCCCAATATTATCTGGGAGGCCATAGGGTTATTTGGAGTCCAAGATCCTGGAGTCTTGGAGCCGGAATTCCAAAGGCCAAGCCCCTGTTCTGCCCCCAAACAGCCAGTGTGGAAAGAACCATGCCAGCTGCCCTTCACCCTAGGTTGCAACTGGGCCTTGGGGCAAAAAAAAAGGCGTGCTGGAGGCAGGACAAGGCAGAGGCTGGGGCCAAGGGCTTCTGCCAAATGCCCATTGGGGCCCTAGCGTTTTTCTCCCACCCCTCCCCAGCATTTTTAAGCTATCGAGACAAGTACATGGTATGTACTTGTGTGGAGACATCTCCATGCCATGTTCCTTGTGCAGGATACATGTAAGCCCCCAGTGAGGGCACGGGATGCTGGACTCCACCCTTTGCATTACTGAAAAGGGTAGTTCATAGAATAGAGTTAGAAGGGGCCATGAGGGGCCTAGCTTCCTTAGGACTTCCTTTCATGTATACATGCTCTTTGTATGATAAGGTCTAAAATGCTGGAATAGTTATATGTGATGAAGAACTGATGGATGTGCAGCAGTGCTTTGGGGTGGCCATTCTCTTTATACACCTAAACATGACTGCCCTGCCCACAGTTGCTGCTTTACACGCTACAGCAGTAGGCTTGGAATCCGGACAGTGAGTAAACAATAACTTTCCCTGTTATAAAGGTGACACTACTGATACAGAGCACACCCCTCAGTACCTGCTGTGGGGGAACACAAGCAGGAGGCTGCTGCTGCATTCCTGCCCTGCCTGAAAGCTTCCCACAGGAAACTGGTTGGCCTCTATGGGAACAGGATTCTGGACTAAATGGGCCTTTTACACCCATCCAGCACAGCACGTATCTCCTTGCACACATGATTTGCAAGGTACAACAATGACAGATGTTCCTGGTCTATATCCAGAGACATACATAAGGACATCCAGTTTTCATGGAGAAGACTGGATATCAATGGCTACTAGTTACCATGGCCATATAATAGCTCTGCTACTAAATGCAACATGCCAGTTGCTGAGAAACAGGAGCAAGAGGGTGCTGATGCCTCCCATGAGCACCTTTCTATGTCTGAACAAAATGCTAAACTTTGTTAATGGCCCAGAGAGCCTTGGCTATTGGACAGTATACAAATGAAATAAACTTGCTGTGATCCAGCAGTGCATTGCCTGACTTCTGTGCAAGTCCATGATTCTTGACACAAGACTCAAGAGGACTAACCCCTCACTGTATTTCAAGTCTGTCCCCTTAGAAACTTGGGCCTGATTTTTCTTTAAAAACCTGAAGGATGATGATCAGAATCCTGATCTTAATTACAATTTGTGTGTTTGGGCAGGGCAATCGAAGAACTAATAGAGCTCTCGCTGAAACGCTTCTATAGGTCATTAGCATATGGCTCAGTTGTTAGGCCACAATTCAATTTTTTTGCTTTGAAGTAAATGTTAATACTTACTGATTTTTTCTTGTGAAATTTGTATGATGCTGGAAGATCATATCTCAGTTCTAAAAATAAAATGAATAAAATATGTTAAATTGGGGTTGATGCATGGTACCACTGATGTGCATATCAGGCAATTTGGTTCAAAGTATGCTGTTAATGCAGCATAGAACAAAACAGGATAGTTGGAAATGCAAGGCTCGAGAAGGTGTAACAAATCAACACATTTTGTATATGGGAATAATTATATTGTGTTACTGGAAACTGGGCATGGTATTTGTCTACAGTTTAGGGTAGAAGTGTCTTGAAGCAACTAAAATACAAATTTCAAAATATGTAATATTGTCTGTTCAAGGCTTTAGGTCAGGGGTCTCAAACTCAACTTACCTGGGGGCCGCTGGAAGTAGAGTCTGGGTGAGGCTGGGCCGCATCAAGTACTCCACCACCGTGGTGGTGGTGGGCCGCTCATCCCATGTCGCTCCCGGAGGCCGGCCCGGGCGCTGCCGGTGCTTTGCAGGCTGCAGGGCCCCTCCCCCGTGCCCCCCCATCCTGGCAATTGGCCTGCGGGCTGCGAGTTTGAGACCCCTGCTTTAGGTAATCAAGTTAACAGCTAGGTAACTCAGCTTTCCCAAAATAGTGTCTGTTGCATGGTTTGGACTACAAATCCCAGCATCCCTAACCATGGGCTAGGCTAGCTGAGGCTGAAAGGAGAGGAAGTTCCAAACTTTTTCAGGGCACCAGCCTGGGGAAGGCTGACATAGCTGTTGCTAAAAGACATTAAGAATGGCTCTGTGGTTGAGATTTTCAAAGGCTCAAGAAAACATTTGCCTAACCTGTTTTCAGGGAAGACCATATATGACAGTGGTTTTGCTCACTACAGTCATACATTCTTTTTCAGCATGCTTCCCTTGCAACCTCCCATCCAGGCAGCTTACAGGGCCAATCTTAGGGGAATCATATAATGTGCCTTCAGGCTGACATGAACTTTATCAGCTGGTTCTCACCTGCTAAAACTTCCATCTTCACATTCCATTCATCTGCTTTCTTCTGAATATGCTGAGCATGGAAGAAGTGCAAAGTATTCAGAAGTCATATTAACACTGGAAAATTTGTGCCTCATCTCTTTGGAATTGAAGCAATAGTTGATACAAAAGCAGGGAATGGGGAGCTATATTAAGTCTGTTTCCATCTTTACAAAGAGGCAATACACTTTCAGACTACTCCAGCACAGCTGAATGTGACACCATGTTCCAAGGTTGTGATCCTCACATGTGGGTTACCCATGAGTTCTGACCCTATTGCTCCCTTTAATAAGATGTAAAAGCACAAACTTGCTAGAGACGTACTTGTCGGGTTGATGTTTTGTGTAAGGAATATACAGCTGTTCTTGCCATCTGCAGTGCTGTGTTGAGAAAAGCCATATCCATGCCTGTAAAAATAAAGACTGTTATAGTTTGAAACCTCTTTTACTTTTTCAGTAATCTTATAGTGCCTATTGCCTTATCTGAAATGGGTAAGTTAATTGTGCTTTTGTAACTATTCTGGTCTAGTGTAATGCTTCTAATAATTACCTTAAAGAATTGAGTACATCTTTCTGTGGCAGGTGATCTTGGTGATAAGGTGAAATAGCTGGAGTGATATACCTACATTTCACTAAAGTTTTTGACACTCCCTGATGATTTAATCTTCCACAAACAGGACATATTTTTAATAATTGTTAAATGAATGTAAAGTGGTTAGATCAAAGCATTTCAGCATCTTTTATTCATTTATTCTATTAGCACACTTGTGTCAGATGTTTTGTCCTCCTTGCAGGGAAACCAAGAGAAAATGAGAGGACTACCCTATAATCTATTTTAACAACAACCCTGTGAAGTAAGTTAGGTTGAGAGTCAGTAGATGGGTCAAAGTCACTCAGTGTGCTTCATGAATGAGCAGGGACTAGAAGGCAAGGGTCTTCCTAGTCCCAGTCCAGTACTCTAACCACTATACCACAGTGGCTCTCATATGCTGGGACTGATTTAGAAGTATATTTGTCCTAACCTAGTGCAAGTAACTTGGTGAGATCAGAAAACTGACTCTGTCACAGACACCAAACTGGAAAAGAACATTTTTGGAGACAATGAAATTGTGTTCTTAAAGTGGGCTTACTAAACTCTATCTTGTTTATTTTTTCCAAAGTTATTTCATTAACAAAACAAAAGGCATCCTGTTACATAGGAAATGTGTCTGATAATGGTATGTATGGAAAAGGAAATTATGGTCAGTTAATTGTATATTAGCTGTGTAATTAACATGAAAGCAAACAACCTAGTCTGTAACATCTGTTAGTGGAATAAGACACATACCCTTGAATGCATGAGACTCTTGGCTTAACTGCTTCTTTTATTTCTGGATCCCCCCACTTCAGAAAACAAAAACTCAAAAGAATCTGAAGCAGAACATTCTTCGAATGAGAAGTATAGAGAATGCCAGGTACAGAGAAGTTTGATTGGACAAACAGCTGGTTGAATGATTTCTGATAGCTTCAGACTGTAGTGTGGAGCACTGCCTGAAGAATATTTTTAAGATCCTTTAACTGCCCTACCTACTCTCCACCAAACTGTCCTATCACTTGCTTAATTATCTTCTAAATGGGATAGATTTTGGAAGGGCTCTTATGAAAAACCTTCCTATTCCATGAAATGACTACTAACCTTTATTGTGCTTCGTTCCAAATGGAGGATTCATAATAACTGTATCAACTGTTTTTGGCATTTTGTCAGACAAAGAACAGACATTGCACTGAACCAAGTCAATATTTGGGAGCTCAAATTCTTCAGCATTCCTGTTAAATACTTCTAGTGCATCAGCATCTATGTCAAATCCAATGCATAACCTGGAAAGAGGAAAAATTTAAAAAACTATAGTAATGAGTCTATATTTTCAAAAAAATATCCTGGTCCCAAGCACTTTGATAGCTATAGTATGAAAAAGGCAACTGCACACCCACTTGGTAATATAACAGATGCCGGCAGTTTCCACCTCAGCAAGTCTTACATGCATGCAAACCTTTGTATGCACAGAACATCTTAGCCAGACCTGGAGATAACCTCATTAAACAATTTCTAAAATTTCATTATTGCACGTTTACAGTTTGACTGGCTTCATTAAGTTACAACTTTTGTTAATCATTTGATGGAAACAGTACCTACAAACAAGAATAACATACAAATAAGAAACCTACCCTGCTCCTAGCATAGCACTGCCAATACTCAGCATGCCACAACCACATCCAAGATCTGCAATAATCTTATCTTCAATATCATCAAAAGTATGGTGAATGGTATAAAGCATACATGCTGGAGGATAAAGAAATTTAGGGCAAGAGGTTCAGGGCAAATACAGAATTGTGCTGGAACAAAACAAAGGTCATCTAAATCTCTCCCTGCCCTCCCCTCAATAACTAAAGCAGTATCCTACATCTACAAGCCTCCCTGACATAACAGCCAATTAACTAATAAAATGAAATACAACTGTAGGACAAAAAAAAAAAAAAAACAAGCAAATAATACCAAAGCAACAGTGTAGTTGTATTTAGCATTAAACTACCTGGGTATCAGCAGATTAAAAACAAACATGACTTCTAGAAATGTTTTAAGCATATTCATGACACAACGTGGGATAAAATATTGAAATTTACCTGCAATATGTGGCCTTGTTGGATATTGTTCCAGCATCAGTTTTGGATTTTCGAAATCATCAACTTGTTGAAGATTGCTTTCAAGTTCTTTAAGCTTTAATTTCTTCATGCTTATTTTTTAAACTTGAAAACATAAGTTTCTAATCAGTTATGCAAACGAATTAAACATAGTTTTTTTTTTCTTGCACAAAATCCAAATGCATAGTTCCTATTTTGTTTGTCTTCCTTCCCCATTTTTCCTGTATTTATTATAGTTTAATGAGAATTCTGGAAAAACCTCTGCTACTTTGAATACATGAAAAGCAAACCATGAGAAAAAGTGTTCCCACACGACAAAGTAATAAGGCTTCTTCTGAAATTCTTACACTTACAATAGGGTGGTGGTCGACTCAAGACATGTGAACAAAGCAGGTCATGAAACCTCAACAATTGAAAAGATAAGAGAGTACAATCGCTATTTGAGACCAATTAGCAGTGACCCCTCTTCTGGATGAACGCTAAGACGTAAGAGGAGAAAAAGATAGGCAGGTTGAAACACCAAAGATTGCAATCCAATGGAACACTATTAATCGCCTGCAGTCTTAGCAGGTATCGGACTGCATCCTTACAGGAAAGAAAACCAGTCTCTCCCAGTATTTTATCCGCATTCTTCCTAACGTACCACTACAAATAATTGCAAGACCTTTTGAAAACGGAAATTGTACTCAAAACCATCTCTCTAAGCATTCTAAAATCTAAAATGAAACCAGCACTTTAGCTACCTTTTCTGTAGGTTCTCAGAAGCTCACACTTCCGCCTTGTACAGCGTCTTAAACGGTCCCCTGCACACAGAAGGAAACACAGCTGCTCGCTTTTAGTTCCTAAAAGGTGGTAAATTCCGCTCAGGAGTCCGTACTTGCCCCCTCTTCTGGAAACAGGAAAAACGGGAGAAAACCAACGGAGATGGTAACTCTCAGTTTGGATAGATACGCTGTGGGGTGGAACAGCTTGGACTGAAGAAATCCGGTTTAACAAGATTGTGAATCGAAATGTTGCTAAGTCTGTAATCCTTCACAAAAACGCAATAAGGAAATAAGCTGATTTAGTAGATTTTACTTCTGAGTAAAGATGCATCGATTCGCAAGGTGGAGCTAGGCGCGCCTAAACCCATTGAAATGTATATTTAACACCGCTATCATCTGCACAAGACTGCAGTTTTATTGTGTAATCCTTATTCTATTCAAATCATGGCTATTCAGAAGTAAGCGCCATTGAATTCAATGGCATTCAAATAGTGTTCACCCCCATCGGGATGTATTTTGTATCTCCACTTTCCATTTTGTTACTTCTGTACTGGACTGTGTAGAAGCCCAGACCGGTGCCCTCCAGATGTGTTGGACTACAATTCGCAACGTACTGAGTGGGAAATGCTGGGAGTTGCAGGACCTTTTTCTATCTAATCAGGCACCTTAAATAATTTATTTTAAACATTAGTAGCTGCAATGAAGAATGGCTGTAGCTCACTGATAAGATTCCATCCTTTACGTGCAAAACTCCCCAGATTTCAATCCCTGGCATCCCTTGGTAAAGCCAGGAGACACCCCTGCCTGACCTGCAAGTGTTGTTGCCAGCCAGGGTGTATAGACTGAGTCAGATAATTTTGAACTAGGGGGATCGAGTATTCGACTTGTGGTTACGGAGCACCTTATGTTTCTAATAGATCCCCCACAAAGGGCAGGGGGCGATGAGAAGTGAAATAAGTGGCTCAGCTTATAATTTGAAACGCTTAAACTCCTTGTTCTTTATCCTTGTGAAAAATAAAGGCCATGTTTTATAGCCAGATTGATTACTACAGGTCGCTTCATCGGATTGTCTTGTCTTGTTTCGAATTCTTCTGCTTAGGACTGGCTGGACTCCTGCGCCTTCAGAGGAAATTGAATGGGTGAAGCCTTTTCTGGCACGGAGACAAATGCTGGGAAAAGCTTCAAGCCAGGACGATCTTCGAATAAAATCTACCAAACATTCGTCTCTCAGGCTGCTGTTAAAAGGACGCATTTACACCCTAGCTGGATTAGACGGACCCCACAGGTCCATGTGGTTTAGTGTCATCTTTCCTACAGGGGGTGACCAGCCAGATGCCTCTGAGACGCCTACAAGGAAAGCATGAAGATAGTAAGTCGCCAGCCAGCCTTTACCCTCCGACGGCGCCCAGTCGCTTACTTAACTGCCTCGCTCATCATGGAAGTGTGCAGAAGTCCTTTCGTCGATGATTTGTTTTTGTCCAGCCCCGCTTTAAAGTATCTCAGCTCGTGGGTGTAGCGAATCAATTCAAAACCTTAGCAATGGGGCAGCCTTACAGAAAAAGATGCAGCTCGTCTCGATCACAGCAATTCTTACCCATGAGAGTTAAATCAATAAAAAGGACGTTTTACTCCCGAGTTAGTTCAGACTGTGCGGTTATAGGGTCGTTTAACAAGAAGCATAGTTTAAAACACCTGTTTGGTCCTTTAGGTAGTCTTTCCCATAAGCTGGTGCCCGCCTTTTGGATTACAACTCCCATTATTCTGGACCATTGGCCATGCTGGCTGAGGCTGAAGGAAGGTGCACTCCAAAACATCTCGAAAGCAGCAGCTTAGGGAGGGCTGTCTTAGAAGGCCTTGAGTAGGTATATAAGAGTGCGTTTTATGCTCTTCCGTGAGTGTGCTCGCTCGCGCGCGCGCACATAAACACAGAGGCAGCGGCTGTAGCGCCTTTGCACGGCAGAGAGGGGTTGAGGTTGCTTCAAGCCGCGAGTCCCGGGAGGAGGGCGAGGGCGGGGAGAAGCGAGCGGCCAAGAGCCAGCCAGGCGCGGGGGCAGAAGCCCTGGAGGGCCGCGAGGAATAGGCGGCTTGAGACGGGCAGGGTGCCGGCTTTCCCGGCTATCGCGAGAGGCGCCGCTAGGAGAGGAAGGGAGGGGAAGGCTGGGTTGAGAGAGAGGGAGAGGGATTGAGCAGAGGCTGGCGAGGAAGGGAGTTCAGTAAGGGCCGGCAGATTCCGCTGCCACTAGCAGCTGCTGTTGCTGCGGGAGTCGCAGGTGGCCGTCATGGCGGGCGCCGGAGCCGGAGCGAGCACCCAGGAGAAGCGGGCCACGGCGGCGCGCCTGAAAGCGGCCCTCAGTGTCAGCGCTGCCGAGGAGACCGAGGCTGCCGGGGAGCTGCAAGCGCTCCTGGAGCGGGTGCTGTGCCCGGCGGCGGGCGGCGGCGGCGAGGCGGTGTCCGAAGCGCTGGCATGGTGCCGCTGCCTGCTGGCGGGCGGCGAGCCTTGGGACAGCTTCGTGCAGGCGGTGAGGGCCTACGACCCGGCCACGCTCTGCGGCCTGGTGTGGACGGCCAACTTCGTGGCCTACCGCTGCCGGACTTGCGGCATCTCGCCTTGCATGAGCCTGTGCGCCGAGTGTTTTCACCAAGGCGAGCACGCCGGACACGACTACAATATGTTCCGCAGCCAGGCGGGGGGCGCCTGTGACTGCGGCGACGGCAACGTCATGCGGGAGGCCGGGTGAGTGCTGTGTGTGTTTTTCTGTGCGCGTGTGTACGCGTGTGAGTGGGGGGTAGTGTCACCTGCAGTCTGGCTGACGGGTAGTCGGAAGGAGGACCCTGTGTGCAGCTGTGCTTAAAAGGACGAGGTGAATCTGCTGCTTACATTATCACTCACTACTTGGCTAGGCGTGTGTAAAAATAATAGTCCCTGACTCTGATCTGGGAGAACCGGTAAGTGTGGACCTGTCTAAAGATTCAAGCCTTCCATAGCATGGTGCCCTCCAAAAGCTTTGGACTTCCAGCAGCTTCAAATGGTCAGGAATGTTTGGAGTTGTTGACCAAAGTATCTGAAGGGTACCAGTTAGGGAAGGCTGACCTACTGCATCACATTCATTCATCTGGAATAAATAGTTGCCTTTGGTTCTGCATTCATGTTCCTTAAGTTTAGGTGGTAACAAACAAAATAATTTTTGATCTTTTATAGATATGTGTTATAACCCTATACATGTTTTTTAAGAAGTAATTACACTCCTTAAATTCAGTGGGATTCTAAAGCACTATGCCACTGATGGTGTTCTAGGGAAAGTGAAGAAGGCAGATTTTAGGATTTTGTGGTTTTTGCTGCAACTCTGGGATCCACTAACTTGATCCAGGTTTTCAGTAGTGGCTCAGGAATGCAAATACGCAACCCAGGGATCTGTTTGCAGTACCAGAACAGGAGCTCAAACACAACTACTCTTCCATACACATCAGGTTCTGTATTCCCCTAAGCTTTCTTGCTGTAAGCGGCTTGATTCAGGAGAGAGTGGAAAGGCTATTTGTTGTTCAGTCAGTGGGAGTTTGAATTGTAGGTGATTCCTAGAGAACTACAGATCATTGGATTTGGCCTCTTGTCTTGAGATTCTGTACCTATGATTCAAACATGCGTTTAGTGGTTTGGTAAGTGCATCCTTTGTGCATGTTATGATGGTGCGTGTGTATTTGTGTGAAATCACTAAGGATGATAGAAAATCATCCAAAGGGTAGAAAGTGGTATGTATTAATATTATTTGGTATTGCACTTTCAGGTATTGAAAATAGTTTAGATATATTAGTCAAAGTCCTTGCAACAACTCTGTAAGGTATAATTATTCACCGTATTGCGAATGTGTGAACTGAGAATGAGAGAGTAAATACTCAAGGCCAACTAGTGAATCAGTGCAGAAGCATAGTCCACACTGGCAACTTCCTGGTTTGTAGTTTTAAGGTGCAGTTCTATCCATGTTTAGACAGAAGGAAAGCCCTATAACTCCCAACATCCTTCCAGGCAGCCATGCTGGCTGAGGCATGCTGGGAATTGTAGGACTTTTTCTATTTGAACTGGTGTAGGATTGTGCCAGTAGGAGGGGAAAATGAATGTGGGAAAAGATTAATGATTACACACTTCCTCTGTATTAATGAATCTAGGGTGGCAGCAAAACCACAGTTTTATGTTTTTAATGAAACTTTTAACCTACATCAGTATAATGCTCATTTTATGTACAAAGGTATGATAACAAGTTAATAAGAGTTCTTCAGTTTGTGCCTTCAACTCACAAAATTAATATAACAACATTGTCCTACATTATGCTTTGTAGTTTTAGTTATTTTCATTTTTTACATATCTAATCCACCTAGTAGACAATACTGTGTTAATGTATGTGTTCTGGAATGAGTCATATAAACCACAGGAGTAATACTGTCAGACTGTTTTACACCTGTTAACCTTTCCTCTTGATACGTAAAATATGCCATGGTCAAATGCTTTTTTCTGTAGTTCTCTGTGGTCACACTTGCTTGACATGCTAAGTCACTGTGTGAATGCAACATGTGGGTTGTTCTTCCTGCTCCTCTTGCCCCCTCAGTCTTCCAGCCCATATCCCAATGTCCTTTACTGGTGCATTTCAATTGACAACATGGCAATGGGTCCTTTTGTACAAATATGTATTTTTGCCTTATTAGTTTCCATATCTTTTACCTATTCCACTTGGCTGCTCTGTTTTACAACTGAGAGAGAAGGAAATTGGCTAAGCAAGACTGCATATATTTGACTGCCATTGAAGCTCACTTGCAAAATGTGACAAAAGAAGTAAAGATTCCCAACACAATTGTGCAATTTTTGGGAGGCTGAAATTTAGTTTTAAAAGAATGGCAAACCAGTGATGGTTGCTCCAAAGTATCACTTGAACTTCAGTAGAGGGGCTGTCATTGGCAGCAGCATGAACAAGATTGTGAAGAGTGGCAGATGTTTTTGCTGCTTGTGCTGTGCAGCACACTAGCTGGTCTCCACAATCTACAGTGTGATTGCTATCGCAGCTTTGAACAACACAACCATTGAACAATTCTGAGAAGAACCTATAGGTTGATAGGGTGGCCTTTTGCTGAAAAACAAATTCATAACAGTTTATGATAAATCCAGGTGAGCCAGTGGCTGTTCTGAACCAGTGGCTTGGATCAGTTATGGACTGGATGAAGGCTAATAAGCTGAACATTAATCCAGACAAGATGGAGGTACTGTTGGTGGGCAGTCCATCCATCCAACTGGGAAATTTTTAACCTATCCCAGGTGGGGTTGCACTCCCCCTAAAGGTTAAAGTCGGTAGCTTGGGACTGCTCCTGAACCCCAAGTTGTCACTTGTCTTGCAGGTGACCTTGGTGACCAGGAGCACCTTCAATTAGCTTAGCCTGATTTTTCAGCTGTGTTCCTATTTGGATGAGCAGAGCCTTGATTACCGTAATGCACTCTGCTCAGGGATGCCTTTGAAGACGTTCCAGGCACTTCAGTTAATGCAAAACAGAGTAGCATGGCTACTAACAAGGACCAATCCCAGAGAGCACATCAGGCCAGTCCTCTGCCAGCTCCATTGGCTGCCTGTTATTGCCTGGGCCCAGTTCAGAGTGCTCATATTAACATACAAGGAACACTTGTCTCCATTTATCTCTACCAGACTACTAAGATCTTCAATGGAGGCCCTCCTTTGTGAGCCTCCCTGCAAATTAGGTGAGTGGGGGGTGCGGGGTGGAACTGGCAAAAAAGGGGCCTTTTCTGTTATCTCACCTCAGTTTTGGAATTCTCTCCATAAAGAGGTGCTACTGGCACCCTCATTATTTTGCTTTCACTGCCAAGTAAGGAGTTTTTAATTTAGTGCTAAGTCAATTATGTTTTTAGAATAAACATAGTTTTATCACGCTATTTCTCTGTTTGGCTTTATTGCTGGTTTTTTTGTTTTCCTGTTTTGTATTTTATATTAACTGAGTTTTATGTCACTTCAGATGTTATAGTTTTAATCTTATGGTTTTATGGCTATGTTGTTGTACATTTCTTGTGAGCTGCCCAGAGAGCCCCTAAGCTATGGGGAGGCATACAAATACAATAAAATTAATAAATTCTACTGGCTTTATCAAGTAATCTTTATAGATCATTTTAATTATCAGCCAGCATCACTGCATCATCTACATATCAATTCTCCATTAACAATGATATTTTCTTGTGAATCAGCAAGTGCTTCTTTAAAGATGTTTTCAGAGTAAAAATTTAAAAGCAAAAGTATACATCCATGTTGTACTCCTCTTCATATTTCTAAATCTTCTGTTATCTTCATCTTCCATACAGCTTTTGGTGGCCAATACAAGTGTTTGATTATATGATACCTCTAAGAATCAAGAACAGTCTTGATTCATTAAGTATTTGTGTAATCAGAAAGCTGTATTAGCAGCATTTGCTAACAGGATAGATTCTTCCTCATCTCTGACTTCCAAATCCATAGGCTTGGGGATCCTCTGGACAAGATTTTGGGGTGGGGGATGGGAAAGTACCATTGCATGAGCAGAAGTGAAGTCCATTGAATGTAGGCCATTGTGTATGTTCATGTACATTAAAAGAATTTGGTTCTCTTATATATATGTCTGTATCATATAGCATAATGTCTTGGATTCATACAAGCACAGTCTGACTATAGAACAGGCACAAAGGTGTTGCTTTGTTGTTATTGCTGGAGTGTTAACTTAGGATGTTGTGACTCTGGTCTGATGTTACTTTGTCCAGAATTTAATCCAAGATTAGACTGGGAAAAGTCTTGCATGTGTTCTCCCTTTTTCTCCTCAGTTCAGGTAGGTAGTAACTCATAAACTAGGAGACCCCTGGTGTGAGGAATCACCTTGAGATGTGCTACCATGCTATTTCAAAGCAATGGAACCTTGTGTTGTGTGTCTTCTTGTGATACTCGTAACAGTTTAAGAAACTGACCCATGACAGGAGCTGACTATGTATTTATTTTTCATGCCAGTGAATATCAGAGTAAACATATTGATGACCCCTTCCACATGGCTTCTTACGTTACTGGAGTAGAATGTAAGGAACTACAGAGCTGTTGAGGCCCAGTAGGATCTGGCTTACTGTTCTCTTCGTACTTCTGAGGACTGGGAAAATCCCATTTTCAAAGAAGTTCTTTAGTACCTAGAGTGAGGAATGTGGGAAAAAGTACTTAACTTCAAGGCTTACTGTTGATCTCATGCCTAGTGGACTTCCAGGGCAAAGTAACACCTGAACAAAGCATGTTAGTAAATGCCCTGGATATAATATAGGAGAGCAAAAACAGAGTTACAGTATTATCTTTTGAAAGGTGTATCATGTACTTAAGTTTTGTAGAAGCATTGGAGGCAAAAATACCTGCTTTTTCTGGCATAATAGACAGATGTAAATCAGTGAAGGCATAATTTCAGCTTCACAGTAGCACTTTTTTGGCAGGACAGAATGATCAAGTGCTGCCAAATTATGACAGGAGCAATTTGCTGTCATAGTGTAAGCATGTGATAGCTGGAGTCATCCTATCCCCTGCCCCCAATTTAGTAAGGACTGATGTGTGAATGCTGAATATATGCCAGTATGTAAACAGTTCTCAAATATTGTCTGCTCAGTGTGATGGACATTGCCTATTGTTGGTATGAATGCTGGAGAGAAAAGGAAAAGACAACTGTAGAACTCAGTCATTTTTATTTTCATACACAAATGCTGTCTCATCTCTCTAGGCAGCTCTGCCTTATAAATTGAAGGAGGAAAAGAAACAACTAAGTTGTCCTAGTTTTTTTTTAAACAATGCTGCTTGTTACATTTGCTAAATGCTCATGAGCAAACATTCTTCTCCCCCTTTTTTCTGACATTATTGACTTGATATGTATTTGAATTTTTCTATTATATGCAATATTATTTCTAAATATTAATAATGAAATGGGGGTGGAGAGAACATTTCTCAAATGTAGTTGTGGTGTGGGGGCAAACTGAATTTCTGTTTTTAGGTGTGTTCTGTGTGCTTCTGGGTTAGATGTCTGTTTTGGCAAGTCCAGTATCACATTATGGAAGGAAATGTGGCAGATGTCCATAGGGATGTTTCTTTGCAAATTAAAACTGCTGGGTTATTTTAGGGGTTAAACAATCCAGCAGTTAGCTCATGTTTACTATTGTGTTAACTGCTGGGTTGTTTTGCCTGTAACTTATGGTCCATGTTTGCATGCTACTCTCACAAGCAACAGTCGGGCTGTCTGAAGTTTTCTTTATAGAAAAGTGGAAATGACTTGCTTGTATTGTGCATCTTGGCAACTAGTGGCTTAATTGATTAACTTAAAGTTTGTTGCCATGACATCAACTCTGCCCTGTGAAAAAATCCTAGAAACTATTACTGCATGTATGCTCTCAACAAATCATTGAGAGTACCTGTAGCTTTTCTTGTTGTGTTGGTATGATTAGCAGCTGCAAGAATAGCCCTTCTCCTTTTTTAGTAGGACCAAGACAGCACACACTTTTCTTACATTGATCTCCAGGTTGTTTGGTTTCATTTCATGTTGAACTTGTGTTGTTTTGGGAGAATCAACCTTGTACTTTCATTCTGATAAAAACATTACGCAAGCACCATGAGTCTCACTTTCTATTTCACTCGTAAAGCTGTACTTCTACTTCTGTTGAGTAATTTGCTATTGCAAATGAACCTGCAGTTGGGTGTTTCAGTACATTTTAAACAAAAGAGTCTAATGAATACTGCAAGATCCAGCAGTACTTTATTCTCTTGGCGCTGGAACTGTTGCAAGTGGTTCTCTGTGTAAATAGTTGGTAGGTATAAGGAGGAAATCAAGGAAAAACCAGATCTAATAGCTTTTTCAAGCACACAGCACCTTTGTTAAGACCACAGGCTTGGCTTCTAGTGTTCAGGCTTTGTAGAGCTTGAGCTAACACGTGATAGCTGTAACTGGCAGGTTTTCTGATGATTGCTTGTCTCTTATTTTTAAAAAGGAAAAGTGTTAATTTCAGTGAAAAACTAACTACAAAGTGAAAAATACAAATAAGTCATTAATTGAGTGGATGTGTACAAATGAATAGGTATGCACCTGTATGTACAGAATAGTTTACTTTTAAGTACACCAGGACAAGGTTTCAGTACAGCCTTTTCCTTTCCCCCTCTGTTCATCAGTGAGAATGATTCTGTCAGTCTTCAAAATTATCTTGGTTGACAGTTTCTTAACTACCCTTTTCCCTGTTGATGGAATACAGGCAGGAACACTAAATTCAAAACCAAGGGGTATGGGCTGCGTTCTAGATTTAAAGTGCAACTGAGTATGCCTGACATAACTTTGCCAACTCTTGCTGCACTAGGCTTTTGGGGGGGAGGGGAACATGGCAATTTTTAATATGCTGGTCAGAATTTCACCAAATTAATAAAAGGCATACCTCCTCGTCAAGGCTGAATAAGGCACTTCAGTAGTTTCCTCCAGAATCTGCAAGAAATACTTAATATTCCAAGCCATGGGTTGGAGTGAAAAGCAGAAATGTGTCACCTTTTGGCACACTTAAACTTGCTGTATTCGTGGCAACTTATATTGGATCACTTTGATATTTTGTGCTATAGTATACATTATGGTTGCTACATTTAAAATGATCAACTGACCAGGTAAAATTATTAACTTAGAATTTAGAAGGTTATAATGCTAGAAGCTTCTTTGTGATTCACCTTAGCTAAAGGGGCTTTGCTATGTCACTTCAGTGGTATTTGAGTTCTTTATGACATCTGTGACCTGTTTAAGGGAACAATGGATGAAAATAGTTTTCATCATTCAGTAAGTTAGCATAAATTAGTTTTGAATTGTAGGAATACTATAACTATCAATAGCTTTGGAATACCCTCCCTGGGAGGTCCACATTGTACTTTCACTTGGATTATTTTCCTGCAGCAGGATAAGATCTTTTATTCTCTCAGGCTTTTAATTTTTAGCATTCTGTTTGTTTTACTCCTCATGATATGATAATTAGCAGTATTTATATACCAGTTCTCATTGAATAAACTCTGAATGTTTTAAAGCTCAATTTTAAAATTGCCCCTCTTTATGTTTACATAGTCTTATTTTTAACTGCCTTGATGCTTATTTTTTAAAAATATTTTTGATGCTGCATTCAGTTTCTTTTATTTGTAGATGGTTTTACTGGCTTTTAAAAATACATTTTCTTGTGTTTATTGTTGTTATCTATATCACCATGAAAGCTGTGCCTATAGGGCAACTCATATCTGTAATGAATGAATGAATGAATACAAATTTCTGTAAGATATAGATGAGGAGGAAGATGAGAGCTATGTTTTGTTAAAGTAACTGTGCAATAAACTAAACTCATTTTGAACATATAAGCTTACATTTATATATGTACCTGTAAGTACAGATTAATTAGTACCTTTATCTTTTGTATTATTTGGTGTCTGGTAGTGTTTAATTTTGAATATATTTGCTTTACAGGTTTTGCAAAAGGCATCGGATAAAATCAAGTTCAGAAGTTCCATCTGTTCCAAAAGATCTCCTGATAATGTCAGAACTAGTTCTTCCACAATTCTTTTTTTCTCTTATTCAGTACTTAAGGGAAGGTTACAGTGAGCCAGGTATGTTTACATTTTTGGATAGTCTTACAGGACAAATTCCTAACACTGCTACTAAGCTTCATTTTGTTTACTGTAGATGAATGATAATTGCCTACCGACAGTGACACATGCATTGGTTACTTCCCGATTGGATTTCTGTAACGCACTCTTTGTGGGGCTGCCCTTGAAGACAGTCCGGATATTTCAGATGGTGCAAAATAGAGCAGCCAGGTTGCTGAAGGGGGCTGGGCATTATTCTCACATAACCCCAGTCCTCTACCAGCTTCACTGGCTCCCCATCGAAGACTGGGCTCAATTCAAGGTGCTGGTTATCACCTATAAAGCCCTTAACGGCTTGGGACCTGGATACCTAAAGGAACGCCTTCTTCCATATTTGCCCTCCCGCCCCCTGAGATTGGCAGTAGAGGCCCTCCTCCGGGAACCCTCTGTGAAAGACATTAGGAGGCTCAGTACCCGGAGGAAGGCCTTCTCTGCGGTGGCTCCCCACCTATGGAATGTGCTCCCCAGAGAGGTCCGCCTGGCGCTGTCGTTATTTGTTTTTCAGTGCCAGGCCAAGACCTTTTTATTTAAACAATATTTTAACAATTTTTAATATCATCTATAGGTTTTAGTTTGCAGCCAGGGTGAATCTGGATTTTATTTGCATTATTTGTATTATGTTTGTTTATTGTATGTAAGCCGTCCTGAGGCTCATGCGATGGGATGGCATTCAAAAATTCTAAATAAAGAAATAAATGATAATCTATTTAGTTATAGCATTTAGCAAATTGCAAATGAATGTTATTTTAAGAAAATATTATATGAGCATAATTAATGACCTGGACAATCAACACCATTGCTACTAAGTGTCCTCTCCCATCAGGTAGAGCCCGCTTGGCACCATGGTCCACACCTGAACCGTGGGCGATGAAGCAGGCTGGGAGACGACTAGAGCATAGGCAGAGGAAATCCTGGGACGAATCTGGCCATTCACAACTTAGAGCTCATTATTGAGCCTATGCTGTGGTGGTGACGGCGGCGAAGAAGGAATTCTTCTCCACTTTCATTGCATCATCACAGTGCCATCCAGCTCAGCATTTTCGGGTGGTGCATGGCTTACTGCATTCTGGCCCTAAAAAGGATCCTGTTGCACCATCCATAGCTCACTGTGACGAGTTTGCCCGGCATTTTAAGGATAAAATCACTCAGATTCACCATGGGGTAGACTCCACAGTTGATACGGTCCTAGAACAGGGAGCATCTACAGTGCCAGCTGGTCCACCTTTATTGGACGAGTTTCTATTGTTGCAGCCTGAGGATGTGGACAAGGTGCTTGGACTGGTCTGACCCACCACCTGTCTACTCAACCCTTGCCTCTCGTGGCTGCTCAGCAAAGCCAAAAATGTGATAAGCACCTGGGTCCAGGAGGTCATCAGCACCTCCAAGGGAGGGCCAGGTTCCCACCCCTTTGAAGGAAGCGGTGATCAGGTCTGTTCTGAAGAAGGTGTCTCTGGACCCAGAGATGGCTGCCATCTATAGGCTGGTGACCAATATCCCGTTTTTGGGCAAGGTGCTCAAGTGGATGGTGGCAGGACAACTTCAGGTGCTATTGGAGGAAACTGATCATCTTGACCCATTTCATTCTGGCTTCAGACCTGGGTATGGAACTGAAACCGCCTTGGTTGCCCTATAGAATGACCTGTGCATGGAGATGGACAGGGGGAGTGCATCCCTGTTGGTTCTCCTGGACCTCTCAGCAGCTTTCAGTACCATTGACCATGGTATCCTTCTGGATAGGCTGACTGGGTTGGGAGTTGGTGGCACTGCTGTGCAGTGGTTCTACTCCTACTTGTCTGGCTGATTCCAGAAGGTGGTGCTGGGGGATTGTGGCTCTGCGCCCTGGCAACTTTGCAGGGTTCTGCATTTTATCCCCCTTGCGTTTTAACATCTACATGAAACTTCTGGGAGAAGTCATTTGGCAGTTTGGGCTGCGGAGTCATCAGTACGCTGATGACACCCAGCCCTACCTCTCTTTTACATCTAGTCCAGGTGAGGCACTGGCTGTCCTTATCCGGTGCCTGGCCAAGGTAATGGGCTGGATGAGGGCCAATAAAGTGAGGCTAAATCCAGATACGACAGAGGACCTGTTGGTACGCGGTTCAGCCTTCCAGGCAAGTGATTTTAGCTCTGTCCTGGATGGGGTTGCACTCCCCCTAAAGGATAGGGTTTGCAGTTTGGGAGTGCTCCTCGACCCAGAGCTGTTTCTGGAGTCCCAAGTGGCAGCAGTGGCGAGGAGCACTTTCCTTCAGCGTTGGCTGATCCTTCAACTGTGTCCTTAACTGCATAAGCATTGCCTTGCAACAGTGGCCCATGCTCTGGTAACTCCCTGGTTGGATTACTGTAACATACTCTGCGTGGGGCTGCCCTTGAAGATGGTCCGAATACTTTAATTGGTTCAGAATAGAACTGCCAGGATGTTAATGGGGACTGGCTGGTTTTCACATATAACACCGGTCCTCTACCAGTTACACTGGCTACCAGATGAAGTCCGGGCCCAATTTAAGGTGCTGGTTATGACCTATAAAGCCCTAAACAGCTTGAGTCCAGGATACTTGAAGGAGCTCCTTCTTCCCTATGTGCCCTCCTACCCCTTGAGAAATGAGGTAGAGGTCCTGTTCCGGGAGCTGTCCCTGAGAGAGATCTGGAGGGAGAGTACCTGGAGGAGGGCCTTCTCTGTGGTGGGAGATAGTATAGAACAGGGAGGGTCATAGTGAGATTGGTATATCAGCCCAGTTGACTAATGACAGGTTGAAAGAGCTGACCGATTAATATTCAGAGTTTCTGCCATTTGGCTGACAAACACTGTGAACCTTTCTGAAGGTGGAGATAACTCTGTTTGGTAGCGAAAGGAGGAGGGGGGGGTCAGTTTAGAATCAGCTTGTACCATAGGCGGAACTTAATTCAGAATAAGGTGGCTTGTTAACTTGATGGATGCTTCCTACTAACAACCTTTACATTACCCATTTTGTACCATAAAGCCAATCCTGACTGGTCAGCTTTAATGTAATTGAAGACTATAGTTAGAAGCCTCTGGTTCTGAACTAATGTGTAGGGAAAAGAGGAGAGCTTGTTGCTGCAGAACATGAGCAGGCGGGCACCATTTATTTATTTATATTGATCTCCCACCCATTTTCTTCTAAGAGAGCATACATTATCCTATTCTCTCCATTTTATCCTGTGAGGTAAAATAGACTTTTGAGTTGCCTGGGCTGGAGGCAAAAGCTTTTCGGGATTCCAAGGAAGGAATATGCAAGCTCCAGGTTTACTTACAAAGAGAAATTTATTTGTGCACACAGCTAGCTAGCTAGCATTTCCAAAACGTTTAACAGCAAGTCACTTATGCAGTAACCACTGCATAGTAGGCCTCAATCAGCTGGAATGGACAGGATCAGTGGCGCCTCCTTGGACAGTCTGAACAAGAGCACAAGGGCAAGCTTATATAGATTACATGTTTACCACAGCACAGTATACAGCATGCAGCCAGCGAAGTCTATTGGAGAGAGAAGAGGTAGCAGGGACATGGATTGTTTACACAGCTGCCAGGGAACAATGAAGGGCAGGGAGCCAGTAGGAAGGCACAATAACTGAGAAGGGTCCCTGCCTGGCTGGTCAAGGTCCCTTGGTGGAGGCCTCCCCTTCTCCGGGATGCCAAGACATTGGGGTGTCTGGCTTCAGAGCATAAGTTCATCGACTTATGTGAGTGCAGAGAGATACTGGCAGGGCCAATAAGGCGTTGGTTCAGGGATGCAAACAGAGGGGTGGTCGTCCTTTGATCCATTTTATCAGGCCTCAAGAGTGTCCGTCATTGTGAAGGCATTGAGGTGGGGCCAGGAAGAGATAACAAAGGTGCTACATCATTATTAAGAGAAACGGCACCCAGGCCTAGCAAGGCCTACATCCTTGGGAGCCAGAGACTCGTGCTTTAACTTGGAATGCAGACCTGCTGTAGTTGTGTACCAGTGACTGGCCCAAAGGCACCCACTGAGCTTCGTAGCCGAATAGCGATTAGAAAGTGGATGCACTGAGTTTCAGTCCAGCTCTCTAACCACTGTGACACACTAGCTTTATGTGGCCTTTGTGTCCTGTTTGTGACTTTTCTATGGGCAATTGAATGGCCACTGTATGAACAGGATGCTGGATTAGATAGCTCTTTGGTCTGATCCAGCTTGGCTCTTCTTAAGACTACAAGCCTTGAGTACCAAGATACCATAGCAACCTAAAAGCATTCCAAAATCAACAGTAGAGTAGGAGCAAGGGTTAAAATTGACATCTTAAGTATTGACCAACAGGAGATGTAAGCAGTGAGCTCTTTGGAGCCTTTTTTAAATCAGTCAACAAGACAACCAAATGTATTTCCTGTGATAGGGAATTCCATAATCATCTGGTTCTGTCTCTTGTGCCCCAAAAGTAATAGTCAGGAATATATGACTGTAAGCAGGATGTGAATGACTGGGGCTTCAGATAGGTAGCTGGCAAAACAACAAAAGTTGATAAAAGGTGCTTCTGGTCACTGACATGACTTGCACTTCAGAGAGTTCATTATAACTTACAAAGCGTTGCACTGGGTCCATCAGAAAGGTACCACCCCATTCATTGGTAGGTGTATAGTTTCATTCAGCTCAGTAGATTTCCCTTTCCACAGCACCTCTACCTTATCAGGATTCTGTCTGTGTACTTGCACTCATGGATCTCAGAAGTGCTTCCTGGCACAAATTGAGTCGTTTACAGCATCTGAGGGACTAGTAGATAGAAGTGAAGTAGAACTTCATTTTAGCTCAAACTCCTAGATGATTTCTCTCAATAGTTTAATTTAAATATTGGAAAGCATGGGGGCAGGATTAAAACAGTGTACTCAAAAGGCCATGGGTTACTAGTCCCACAGCACCATCTTCTGGGTTCACCTCGAGTACTGTAGTTGATGGTATCAAAAGCCTTGGAGGTTCAAGAGATTGAGATGATATACCATACCACCAAGATGACCAAAGCTATTTGTACCTGAAAGTGGGTTAGAACCAATCCACAATATCCATGTCAGCCAAGACCAATTTACAGATGTGACCAGGCTTAATCACATACATGGCCTAATCAGGTGTGCAGTGTGAGGTTTTAGTTGTAGGAATGGGACAGCGTGTTCGGTATGTGAGCTGTCCAGAGGCGCAGAGTGATTGGACAAGCTAGAAATATCCCAAATAAATAAATAATAAATAAAAATGTGCAGCTAATCGTATGCTTGTTGCTCTTCCCTTACCCTCAGTTCTTGATCTACCATCAGAAAAAGACCTCCAAAAAGTCCTTCAGATATTGGAACCCCACATTTCATTTTTGGAAGATCTGACAAAAATGGGAGGAGCAATGCGTTCAGTCCTTACTCAGGTTTTGACAAATCAGCAATTCTATAAAGATCTCAGCTCTGGTGAGTTAATGTTTTATCTTGTCTGGAGGAATTCTTAGTGTTATCCATTTGTTCTGCACTTTTAATATCAGCCTTTCCTGCTTGTTGATTGTTTTAGGAGAAGGAACAGTGGTGAGCTTGTACATATGCCCCCCATAGGCCTTAAAAACTGGAATAAAAGCATTGGAGTAATAAAATTCTTATAGAAATTAAGACTGTCCTAACTTTTGAGTGAATGATCCTCAAGGCTGCATACAATATATTGTAATGCACACATGAACAGACACCTCAGTAGTCCTTTTCCCTTGGCTGATGAAGTTCAACTGTGCTTTTCTGTCACTTCTGCTTTCCCAGAATCCTTATGACATTACACCATTCTTTCTGGTGCTGGAACTGTCAGAACAGCCGGACTATCTGCCTGACAGTTTCAGTGTTAAGTGTCCAAGAGGACATCAATAGGCATAGTGATGGTATTGTGGAACTGAGCATGTAGTTAGTGGAGGATGGAGGGACAGGTACAACTTCATCTCATGTACTTTTATGTGGGTAATTATTATCCAGCTGAGCAGACAAGTGGCAAACTTGATGAAAAAGGCCTTTTTTCGCAGATCTGGTAGCTGAAGAATATGGCAGTTCAAACTTTAATGAAGACATAAAATGTCATCTTTTGAGTTTATCCCTCTATGTAGAACTTCAGTATTTTGTACAGTTCCTTTTCTTCCCACATCTACCTTTAGTACATAATTATATAAAGCATTTCTAGGTTATCAGAATGTTCCCAACTGCATTCAAAGATGGTTCTAAGACTAACTTAAGAAGAATCCAAAAGATAAGAATAGGTATGCAGCCTTCAGAAAACCAAGTTGAATAAATGAAGAGTCGAGAAATGCCAAAGCTTTTGGTATATTAGAAGATCCAGCCTTGCTGATATTCTTCTTTTGGTGTCAAGGGTCAAATTAGCATTCCTAATTACTTTGGTAGGATGCTCAGCCTTCAAGAATTAACCCCCCCAACCCCCCCCCCCCCACACACACAACACAAAACAGAAACAGTGCAGACATGGGAAAGGGTTGTGTGGGGGGGATTGTTAGTCCTGACATAGTCACAGGCTTAGAGAAGTCTGCTACATGTGACCACAGTTACACAATCTGCTCAGGGTAGTTGTGGGTATGCTACCTACAGAGGAGTTATTTTTTCTGTAAAACAAGGCATTGCAGTTTTCTGGAAAATATAATATTTACAGGTGGAAAGAACTATGTGAAGGAAAACAAATAGATCTTGTGCTTCAAATGAGTAATGGTGCATTTATTTAGTGGAAATGCTATATAATTTCTTTCATACCATATCATTTATTGTATAAACTGTTACTCTAAGAGTTTGTTCCTTAGACTGAAAGTTTATTTTTGAAATATATTTAAGGTGGTGGAGAAAATGCTTGTGCAAGGAAAAGTCATGAAAAATACCTTGTAGCTCTAAAAGGTTCTGGACTTACATTTCCAGAAGATAAGCTCGCATGTGGAGTACAGGAACAAGCGGCTGGAAGCAGCACTCCCGTAAATCAAGGTTTGTTCCAAACATATCTGGAGTGCGTGTGCGTATGTGTGTCTGCATCTGTCTGTATCTCTGTCTGTTTATATTTGAATGTTGTTAAAATTATGCCAAAACACTCCAGCATGAATTTACTCAGCATGTTAAAACATAGAATGTAGTTGAACCTGCATAAACACTGGAAACAAAAATATATCAGAACCTTTATCTGGTTTCCAAAATTTGAGAGTATCTGCATTCTTATATAGTAGAATTAAATTATTGTAGACATATTAGGTTTCTGGCTTCTGTTTATTAGCAAATAGGATATTTTGAATGACCACACAATAACTGTGGCTCAGATAGCATTTCAACAACAAGCATTTCTGTACTATTCTAGGTTTTGGGTACTATCCAGTTGGCCCTAGTGCTAATGTAAATGATCTAGTACTAGTATAAGTACCTTGTAGTGTAATGTTAGCATTGTTACTGTGTGCAGTGGATTTTCTGGGGACTCAGAGGTCCCCTATGCTAGCACCATATAAATTACATTAGGTCTCACACATCTGATTGGATACAGTCCATAGAAAAATCACAAGCAGCACCTTCTCAAGGGTTTAGCATTTTCTTGTTACATTTGATTTGCAGACACCTTTAGGTACCCCTTGATTGAATGATTAACCCAGAGTTAAATGTGGATTTAATTTTTAGAATAAAAGTTTCAAATTTATTCATTTGTCCAGTTACGAGTGAATTATAAAGGATATTTTAATTTTTAATTTCACAAGGTTTTGCAGGTGCTACACCAGCTTCAGGGCAAGGTGACTCTTCAGATGAGGTGAGATTCCTTTAGAAGTAAAATAAAATCTATAACCTTATTTGATATAAATTAAAATACCTGAGCCTTATTTTGCTTGCATTTGCTAACAAGTAGATTATTTATTTAATTTTTATACTGCCCAACAGTGGAAGCTCTCTGGGCAGTTCACAAATTGATTGTTTCAAAGCTATAATCCATAAGGTTGAAAATATCTCTCTTCTATATTTGCAGCTTTCTCATGCTAGGAGGGTTGTTGCTAATACCGCTTTCGTTGAACTAATTTTAGCAACACTGGGAATCACAGTGTAGATAGCAACTTCTGGAAATATGCTAACTCATTATCATGCCATTTTCACTTCTGCTGAACAAGTTTTAACTAGTGTTATGCCAAAAAGGCTATGTATATCTTTCTAGTTATGTTATTAAGGGCAATAATGAATTTTTTCTCTGATAGGTTCCTTGTTGAAACTTCATTGGAAAGGAATATTTGCTTGTAACAGGGCAATTCTGATCTTGTTTATTCAGAAATAAGCTCCATTAAATTCAGTATGGGCTTACTCCAAGTTAAATGATTATAGAATTGCCATTTACTTCTGTATGTGTGTAAAATAAATATTTGCATTTTAAGGTAATTTTCCCCTTAAAATATGTAGTGAAGTTACTACATTGTAACATTTATTTTTAAAAGTGGCAAAAACATTAAATGTTGTCCTTTTTCTTTTGATAAAATTTTGACTGTTAAAGGAAAATACAAAATAAGGGTTTACAAACCTACAGATAAATCTACAAATATTTCTAAAGGTTTAAAACCAGAACAATTTCCTACCAAAGTAGATGATTTACCATAACCAGTAGAACCAGTAGAAGAAACAAATTAGCCCTAGTAAAGATTGTTCTGTGCCTTGAACTTTATCATAACAACACTCCATTAATGACTCCACCTCTCAATACTTTGGTATTTTTTCTACCTTCTTTCCCTTACTTATATCAGTAGGCTTTGTCACATAGGTTGATTGTTTTCCCCTGAACCTTTAACAGTGTGACATAAAGCTGCTCAGAGAGTGATCTTGTGACCTCTAGATTTTGTCGGAGGGACCATAGGATTTTTCAGTTTCTCAGAGGTTGAAGACAGTGCTTTGACCTTGTAGCTGGAAATCTGAGTTGTGTCTGCCCACTTGCAACCTACATGGAAAGGACCACAGTGGCTACTCTCCAAATCGGGAAAGCAAGCTTGGAAAAGGGTAGAAGAGGGTGGGAAGAGAAAGAGACTTCACTTGCCTCAATATGAGGTATTTTGAAGATGCTCCAGGCTCTCCCCCCACATGCTTCAACTAAATGGGTAAAAAGCCCTGTTTAGCAAAAATTCAGAGCTCGAGGATGAGGAGGGGACGACGGCTTCCGCTGCTACCATTGCTCTGCACTGGGTGCCTGTAAGCCTCCAAGTTCAGATTGCACTCTGAGTCAATGAAACTTTTCCTGGTATTGTGATTAGTATTGGGAAAGGCTTTACTAGGTAAATTTCTACATATCAGGTTTTCATAAAAGTTGCTAGTGTAGAGCTGATTAAAAGAGATGACTCTGTTTAGAAACCATTTACAGTATTTCAAATTTTAGTTCAGCTTCAGAAAATAAATGCCCAGATGGCTACTTCACACTAGATTCCAGTTGAGATTACAGAACACAAACAATTGAAGACTTGTAACATCTGCAAAAGATTTCTGGTTCCTGCCAAACTGTACTTGAAAAAGTATGACAGGAAAATTATTATTTATATATGCCCACATAATTAGATGTATATTGTCCTCTGAATTGCAGATTCTGCTTTCAGCAATGGCATTGAGGGGTTGACTGTTTTTCAAAGTACTGCATTTCTACTTTCTTCTTCTTGAAAGGAAAGATTTAAAATAAATTTAACTGAAGGTGAAATCTATTTTCTTCACCAAAATTAATTCCAAATGATGTCCCAAGTATTTTGACCTTGTACAGTTTATTAAGTAAGGCTTATGCAGTGAACTTTCTGGGTGGAGGTGAGAATGTGCAGCATGGGATATTGTTTATGGTGTTGGAAAGGAGTGATGCAGGATCATTTCAGTTCAAGATGTACAGCTAGAAGTTTTAAAGAAAGGAGCTTGAGTACATTGGGAAGAGGGACATTTTAAGTGCTTCATGCTTTCTCATGACCAGATTACTTCATTTGCTTTTCTGATCACTCAATAATAAATTCACCCATTTTTGTATGTACCTTTCTTAAATAGAGAAAAATACATATTATAGACATACTTGTTACCCAAAAGAACCCCCATGGCTAGTTGAGATCAGAGTTATGATCTCTTGATTAAACCATTGCAATCTTATCCAGAGACAATGAGTTATCATTTAAATGTCTAGTTCAAGGCTATCGTGTGCATATAATCTAAAAGCTATGGTTTATGTTAAACATGTTTTGTTGTTTAAGCCGTGACTAGGCTTGCAGACAAGCAAACGAATTGTTTTCTTTAGTTCTGGTTCTCCTATTTTACTATCATGCATACCAGTTTCATTTTCAAACTTTTATTGCTGGATGCCTTTTAGAGTTTATTTTCTACTATTTATATACCACTAAATATTTTTAAAAACTAATAAATATAAATATTACAATAATAATTAAATCACATTTAAAATACAATTTTAAGAACAATATAACACAATACAATTATGATAATAATACAAGAGTGGTGACAGTATGGCTAATTTAATTACAAATAATGGAAAGCCTGAGCAGACAGGTGTATTTTTAGGAGGTGTTTGAAAGATGCCAAATTTTCTGCCTCCTAAATGGCATCAGAGAGGATTTTTTTCCCCATAGGGTGAGTACCATCACCAAGAGGGCTTGCCATCAAGGTATTACATGGTGACATTCCAATAATCTTGTGATGTTCAGAAAGGCTTCCTCAGATGATTGGATGAATGGTATTACTATTAAGTTCTGTACTAGGAAGAAGGGGGAATTGATTTTGATTATAGAACAGCTATAGCTGCATCCCTTTTTAAAGCTATGTGAACCAGCAAGGGAAGCATTTCACTGTACATTTCATGTAAGAATGGTGAACGAATAGTGAAAATTCAGCAGATTGCTAGGAAAGCACCCTAATAAGGTTATCTAAACCTGTTAACACATTGGTGGGGGAACATATTGTCTGCTAGAAACATAGAAACAAAGCGAGCCAGAAGGGGCCTCCTGGGCCATCTAGTCTGAACTCTGGGTACAGCTGGCTCTGCTCGTGTAATCCACAACATGTGGTTGTGCAGTCTAGCTCCTTAAATGTTGAAATATTTTAGGATCATTTTCCTAAAATGTTATTTTGGTTCTCTAAGTGAACATGTTTCTTATTAAGTGCCACTGAAACTAACAGTACTTGCTTCTAAGTAAATACTAATAGTATTGGAGTGACTTCGATATAAAGCCTTACATTTACATTACATTTATTAGAAAGTGCCATGTTATTGGTATTATGCTTTTTATTTTAATTTTAGCCGTAAAAGGTATTTGAAGAAAATTTATGTAGAATCGGTTTCCTAAATGATGAGACCAAAACCGATAGTTTAAATGGTGTAGTTATAAAGGGTATTAGTAGCAGCAAAAGCAAATTTAACAAGCTTTATGAGGATCTTTCTGATGAAGAATATGCTAATAATGTGAGTGTTGTTTTTTTAAGTGTTTTTGGAATATGGAGCCGCTATTAAATGCTTCCAGAGCACTCTGCTTCCATCTTACTTTTCTCTCAGAAGCATAATTATAGAGCTTAAGTTCTCTGACATTAAGTTGTTTTATGTTTATTCACTTTTAAATGCTTCTCTTGTCTCAGGAGGACCAGGACGGTAGCCAAGGTGTGGGAAAGCGCAAGAGGGTGAAACTAAGCAGCAGCACCAAAGGTACATGCAGATTGCTTGTTGTATACATTGTGTTTTGTGTCTGATATGGTCCCCTGTTGACAAATATGAAAAAAATAATGGATAAATATGCTGATGTGAAATGCTTCTACCAACAAGTTCCTGCTAGCTTCATTGCCTTCTGTTAACTGTGTCTGTGTCCTTTAGCTGTGCAGTACATTTCTGACATGTAAGCTGAGCTTTGAGCAAACTTAATACAGAGTTTCCTGATATTTTTGAATAGACTTACATGAAAATGCACCATAAGATTTGAAGAGGGTAAGAATTTATAGAAGTAGAAAAATATACATAAATCTCTTTTGGTAAGGCACTTTGGATGCTTTGTTAGCACTAGTAAATTCCTAGTTGAATATTCTAATAGTGATACAACGGTTTTACTTGGCTCCAACATTTATCTGTCAAAGACTGTGTAATTGGGAAACAAGTTTTCTTGTTCTGAGTGGGAGGGAGAAAGAAGAATGTCCTAGCCTGTGGTCTTTTGTTTTTCTTGCTGAAACTTATTTATAGCAGTAGCAGAGGTTAATTAGGCACTTTCTGTTATTTAAGAAAAAGGTTGATTGCATGAAAAGATGGCGGTCTGACTGACAGGGGTTCTCTTGGCAAGGGCTGAACATGAAAGTGAAACATAGGGTCTTGGAGGATGGATTGATTTGAAGAGGAAACCATAGAAATATTGTTTTACTTGCTGAGCTAAGTCTGGGAAGTAGAAAAGTAGAATTTTATTATCAGGAGGCATTGAAAAGGACATGTGGTTCTTTATCTGTACTGCAGAAGATAATACAGTTGTCTGCTAATAGGAAAGAAGTGATGGTTTTGAGAAATTGTGCAGAGGAAGGAACTGTACACCTGTAAAGCTGAAGTCTAATAGATTTAGTTCTGAGAAAAGCAGATGTCTTTCAGGATCATTTCATCATTAATGCTCTGTGTAAAAAAAATAAAGTGGAATCAATTTAGATCCTAGAATTTTAAAGTACAGATTTTCACATTGTCAGGGGCATTAGTGGGGCATGGGGAAGGAAGGTGCTAGGTAGCAATTTGATGCCTATTTAGCTGAAGTAAGTAAGTCGGACTTTCGTTTGGGTAGACATGAACATGATTGCAGCTTTAAAATTATTAGGCAAGCAGGGAGCTGTGTTTCTGTAGCACTCTTTGTCCATTGAGTTCCACATTTGCGTTCCCCTTTTTCTCCCCCATGTTTTAACACTGTTAATTTTATTGACCTGATTCAGACATAATACTAACTGACAGGTTTGTTGTATTCTGGATTTTCATATATGTATCCCAAGTATAGAAACTATCCATGGCTTGTTGACCATAAAAAACACAGCAAGAAGACCTGTGATTGGCTGAATGTGGAATGCTGGGGTGTTGTAGGACTTTATTTTTCTGTGCTAAGTGATGAAGGCATCTGTTATCAAAACACCCTTACAATGCCTTGAGAACCCTTAAATCATTTTGAAGTAGAACTGGCTTCCAGGCCTGTATTTCTGTAGTTAATTGATTATGGTGATGGCACTTTCAAGAAAGAATGGGCTGTAGAAGGGAGATACTTAACTCTTGTCTCTTTCACCAGTTTCGCTCATGTAGTGCCTACCTTTCTGGCCATGCCTTTTTACCCAGCTTGCTCTTGGTCTTTGAATCCATCTAGGAAAGAAAAATGCGTGGAAGCAACCTGGAGGAAATGGTTGAGGAGGAGAGTGTGTATAATATTTTCCAGTCCTTTCCTCTAATTCCCTCCCTACAAACCCCCCTTTCTGCTTGGGAATTGGCAATAGGAGGGAAACATGAATTTCCTAGATTTGCATTTGCCTGATATAATAATTCCAACCACATTTTCACTTTGCAGCTAAGAAAGTAGAAACTAATTTTCCCAAGCTAGAACTTTGGGAACAAGATCAATTAGACTTTGATTAGGGATGCTTCATTTTAGAAGGAATGCATTTTTTTCCGGTACATGAAAATTAGATCATTGACAGTAAGAAGAGACTGGGGGGCTGTGAATCCATTCAAAAGTTACTAAACAGCCCTCCACCCTTTTAGGATTTTACTCTTCCTTCTCTGAGGTTACTTATCATCAGTGCTGTTGTCAATGTTAGGGTGCTCTGAAGGAAACCCAGAGGAAGGAGACTGCTTGTAGGGGAAAATAAGTCTCTGTCCTTAAGAATAATTTTCTTAAGTTCTCAGTGGCTATATTTTATTACTTGCATGGTACAAAATAAAGTGTTCCAAGTGAATTTTATAAATCAATGTATCAAGATGGATTTTGGCTCTGTAAATAAGTATACTCTTTGAAACAATGTAACATTCTTTCACAGTGTATTAGGTAGGACACAGTTCTACGAATGACAGACAGAAAAAGGGAATTCCTGGTTGGAATTGGCATGACTGGTTGGAATTTGTAGGACCGAGAATTCTGGGAGTTGTAGGACTTCCTTCTGTGTAAACATGCATAGGATTTCACCTTAATTGGATATGTTTTTGGCAGTGAAAACTGACTTTTTGTACTATAGTGTGAATAGTTTTGTCTTACAGAAATCTCAGCCAATTATTCTAGCAGCGAATTATCCTCTTGTTCTTTTTCAAACTTAGAACTCTAGCTAGTTCTAAGATTGCTGTGTGTTCCAGTCAATTTCTGAATGAACAACTCAGAAATTGGTCATGATATTCAGACTGGGCCACTACATAAGATCTGCATGCATGGAAGGTTTGGACTGAAATCCTATTTGCACAGATGTCTAAAAACATAGCACTTTGGCCCGCAATACATTAGGTTAGTCCAGTGCAGTTTTTCTTCTGAGCATTAACAAAAATTCAGCAATAAACCCTAGATCCATAGTATATTACATTTTTTATATGTGGAAATACCATTATTATTATTCTATTAATATAATTATTATTGTATTCTGTTTCCATCGCATGTCCTCCAATTTTATTATATTTGTACAGATCAATCTATCATGGATATTTTGAAGCATAAATGTTTTCTAGAAGAATTATTATTTTGGACAATAAAATATGAATTTCCACAGAAAATGGTAACATTCTTACTCAACATGCTTCCAGACCAAGATTATAAGGTATTTGTGTGTTTCTTCTTTTTCCTAGCTAAAAGTTTCCCACTGTAGTTTATATGGAGTAATATGCAGTGGTTTAGGGAAATTATTATGGAAGAAGTCTAGTATTTCTTACTGTTGCAGGGTTGCTGATAGAAAACCACAAAGAAGATAATAAAAATAGAAACTAAGTTAAACTTGGAACAATGATTATTAGATACATCTGGGCTGAAAGACTACCAAAAACATTGCTAGAGTTTTCTCCTGACTGACCATGAAATAGCTTACATTTACTGTTCTTTGTCTTTCACATCTGACAATGGGAATTAGCAGCACCACTGTTTCTCTGATTTTCAGAGAAAATTTAAATTACTTGTAGAACTCAAAACACAAGATTTCTGCAGTCTTAATGGCTGGGTGCTTTTGAAAGGCCCTACTAACAAGTTAGGTTAGTTATGGTGAATATAGCCTCCAGGTGACATTTACCTAGCCATTTGTTCCTCATTTGCAAGCCTTTAAAATACAGTTGTTAGAAGACCTGTAGCCTGATCCTATGCAGTGTGAGTAAACCCTTTGAAATCAGCAGATTGGGCTTCAGCCTGAATACTCCACAAGCATATTTTACCTTTCTTTGCCTGCCATACTTTCTTACCTGCACCAATACATTCCACCAAGTAGCCTGACATACCTTTTCACTGAACAAAGGCCACTTTTAAAAATAGTTCAGAAATTTCAAGCAGTTCAAAATGAGGCACGATCCGATGACTTCACAATGTTGCCCCTGCCCCATCCCCACTTGCAGTTGGCCTGGAGAGAACCATGCTGACTGCTTCCTCCTTGAGGTAACAATTGGGCTTTGGAGAGTGCGAAATGGGTGTGTGTGTGAGAAGGCTGAGGTGTAGACCACTTCCTTTCAGTTCCCCAGCCTCCTTCCCCCTATTCCTTGGTGCTTTATTTAGATGGCTAGAGGTGGCCATCTAGATAACATACATACCATGATTGTCCAAGAGCAGTAGAGATGCTGCACATTGTTTCATGCATAGGATGCAAATAAGCACCTGAATTTGGAGGCTTGCATGCAGTGAGGGCAAGGGGATATAGAATTGTACCCTAAGACTCTGAAGCAGGACTGGATGGTATGCTCATATCACACCCAAGTTTTGTGATCTGCACTGGCTTTTAGTTAATTTCTTGGCTCAAGTCAAAGTCCTGGCTTTACTCTTCATTGATCTGAATGGCTTGAACCATGTCATACTAGATGTACCTATTTAAACCTTATGACCATTTTGTGAGTCCCTTCTGTGGGTGCCTCCGCCATATGAATTGAGGCCAAGGGGTAGTAGAGAGGGGGCTTGCCCTGGTTCATATGTGGTGCTCTTTTCAGTAGCAGTTGAAGAACTTTTTATTTTTTTAGGTTTTGTGTTCTTTGAAACCTTTCACCGTTGCTATCTTATGATCACAATTTTACTTTGGTTTTATTCTGTAACTCTTTTAATCTTTCCAAGATTTAACATTGTTTTATTATTTTGGTTTTTTTTACAGCCTAAAGAGTTTGGGCTTTTAGGAGTTTTATAAATATATAGTTTATGTAAGTAAGTATTGAAACTTGTAGTAATTGCTTTTTGCATGCATTTGTTTTCTACCTTGCAGATTGCTTTTACTAAAACATTTGTGCAGCATTACGCATTTATTATGAAAACACTGAAGAAAAGCCATGAATCTGATACCATGTCTAATAGAATTGTACACATTAGTGTCCAGCTGTTCAGCAATGAGGAGCTAGCACGTCAAGTGACAGAAGAATGCCAATTACTTGATATTATGGTCACTGTCCTGCTATATATGATGGAGAGTTGCCTTATTAAAAGTGAGCTACAAGGTAAGTTGAATTCAGGTTATTCAAGAGGCTTATGTGGAATAATTTTGATTAAGGTGCCCCATCTGTAGGTTTTCTGTTTTAGAGTGCTTCTTTGTATCAGGGAGTGAAGGTCCATACGATTTTGATTTTGATTTTGATTTTTTCTTTTAGATGAGGAAAACAGTTTACATGTCGTAGTAAACTGTGGGGAAGCACTGCTGAAGAACAATACCTACTGGCCACTTGTCAGTGACTTTATTAATATCCTTTCACATCAGAGTGTGGCTAAGAAATTCTTGGAGGATCACAGGCTGTTAGTAACATGGATGAATTTTGTATCATTTTTTCAAGGTATGTGATACTTTCATTAACTATGTAAATTAACATTGGCTGGGCAAAGACAATTGATAAAAACCTTTAAATTCTTGCAGATGACCTAATATTTGTTTTGCAGTAATGATATATTAAATATTTTTAATAAACGCTGTGATTTACTACCAGATATCATTTCTTTTTTGTTATTTTTCTGGGGCATGGATTATTTCAAAACAGATTCTCTTTACTATTAAACAGGTAAATTTTAAGACATTGAATATTATTAAAACACAAAACTGTAGTTATTGACACACTGTTTCAAAAATACTCTAATTTTAAACAGTTTTAAAATATTTAAATAGAAGTTGCTGCATGTGCAAATGCTTGATGTGTGTAATAAAAAATACGGCTTTGCCCTTGAGAATATGCCATTTAATCGAAGGACCTGTAGTCCTAGTCACATTTATCTGGGGGAAAGTCCTGTTGAATTTAACTGGACTTATCTCTGCATGGGCAAGTCAAGGATTGTGCGAGTCTCCTAAGTTTAGATACTGGAAAGAGATCCTGTCACTGTACCCTTGCTCCAACCTCATGGCACTTTAAGTGCTTAACTAGAATTGATGCTAATGATGGTTAAAACAAACCAAGTCCCCCTCTTAAGTATGGTTCTCCAGGGCCTAAATCAGAAACCTAATGTACTTAGGCCGAGTTATTTGGGTCCAAGACTGTCTCTAAGAAGACAATAGAAGATTCCAATATCAGTCCCTGTGACTGGCAAACCGTATTAAGCCACTGAACATCTGTATTGACCCAGGAGACCGTCATTCAGGCTTGAGTAGTTTCTTGGCATAAATGCTGTCAGTGCCAGCTGTGGCTCAGACCTTGGTAACCCAGGCAGCATTTCTACCGCTACTGGTGGCTATAGCTCCTCCTTTGCAAAACTGCAGCTGTGTCACTTATTCCTCCCCTTGGCTAGGATCACCTGGTGGCAGGTGAACAGCTTAGGTGAGAAATGAAAAACAGCTCAGCTTTTATTGGCACAGGGAGTCTGCCATCCAAAAGATAAGATTGCTGGCTGATTGGAGCTGAGTGGCTCCAATGTTCTCATCCAGAAGTGTCATTGGATGAGCATGTCCACAGCAGCTGGGTGACTGACTGGTGGCTTTATGGCTGTAGCCTCACCAGGACACCCAACTTGTAGCAGATGCCAATAGTGGTTTTCTCTTTGCTATTTTTGTAGATGACTAACCATAGATAGATTGTGTTCATGTAACAAAGTTAGAGTGCTGTTTAGTTATAATGTCATACAACTCTGTCTCAATCTTTTAAGGCATGAATTTAAACAAGAGAGAACTTAATGAGCACGTTGAATTTGAATCCCAGACTTACTATGCTGCTTTTGCTGCTGAGCTTGAGGCCTGTGCCCAGCCCATGTGGGGGCTATTATCACACTGCAAAGTCAGGGTAAGTTAAACACCTTCTTCCTTTCAGTACTCTTCCATGATTGAATATTTTTAGAAGTAATATTCATTTAGTAAATTGGCTAATAAGGAACAAGTACCATCAGATGCATTTCCTAAGGACACTTGGGACAACACGTTATGTTGCATTGTTTGACTTACACTGTTCAGTTGGACTGAGAATTTAGACAAAAAGGAGGCAATCACCCATAAGATGCAGCTGTAAGAACAAGTCAGGTTGAAATGGAAATTGTAGAGTAGCTAATCCCCAGTGTAAATGAAGGACATAACCAAAACCTTCTCGACTAACACATAACCTTATTTACTTACTGTCCTTTTATTTATGTCTGTTACTTCATTTATTTATAAATGTCTGTATATATTTTCAATACTTACATACTTCCTGGTAACAAACATTCTCTTGGAAGCTTAAAAGTGAACATAAATTTTCCAGAAATTGCTGATTTTACAGGATATTGTGATTGCACATGAGGTCTGTTGCTGCTGTAAGCACCACCATACATAGCAACCTTGGATGAGGTTATGAGTGGATTCAAGCTAATCTATTTCCTTTCCTTTTATCCTTACCATGTGTAGAAAGAAAAACTAGATTTGAAGATCTCACCTCTATTGTAATGCAGGGGTTACCTTTAGCTAACATTATTTGATGTGATATTTCCAAGGTATACTGGGTTGAATGTGGAGTTTTTCCAAATAGAAGGGGTTCTTCAGGTCACAGAATGGACTTAGATCTGGTGGGGACTCCCACTTGAAGAAGGAAGAGGGGACATTTTTGCTGATTATCCTTTCCCTGCAGTTCCCCATGTTACTGTGTTGAAAGGTCTCTAAACCCTCCAGAGCAGCTTTTTAGTGATCTGCTGGAGGGATGAAGAATTGGTAAAGATTTTCACCTCAGACTTCATCCACTGGGAACTCTCGATCCATTGAGCATTAATTTAAACCATGGATATGGGCATGTACATGGGTTCTGTATGAAAGAGCCTATGAAAACTAAGAAACCTGTTAAAAGACAATTGTGTTTCACTTCTAAGAGTCTCCTACTGTGTCATAAGATGACCTCTTCTTCTTCAGCTGCATTCTTAGTTAAATTTTCTAATGGGAAATGGGATGGAATAAAATGGGTTCTTTTATTTCCCAGGAGCTATCTTGAAAGAGGAATATAAATCCCTTGAGAAAAAACCCATAATTTTTACCATGATTGTTAGGCCAACAAGGCTGCTGTCTATGAGGATTTTAGGCTATTAATAGTGCTAGGAATCTGTTTATGTGTTTCTTCCAGTGTAATGAGCCAAGTATCTCAAACTGGAGGTGCTTCCTTTGTTCTCCTTTGTTCACAAATCCCTTTGTGGATTTGTTGGGGTCCACAAAATGGGGTCCACTTCAAAGTAAGCCAGTAAAAATGACATCACCCTCTTTTATGATAGATGCTACTATTATCTTTTGGCTTGCACTGATGTCTCTTGTTGTTTAAAAGATGTTGAGTATTAGAGGCATATGGTGAAATCCCCTGCATTTTATTTTGAGAATGGCTATTGGGTGTTTTTACATTAAAATTTTGTGCTTTTTAAATTTAGCTTCCTTAAAAAATAAAGTATATTTGTCCTGGTGAGAAATAAAATTAATTTGTGTATATGTGGGGAAACAAGCTACTTTCTATTACTGATCAGTATTTTCAGGTGCTTGATAGTTGTATAAGTAGCATGCTTTCTTGTTTTTAGCAAAAGTCCTAACACAAAATCTATTCTTCTGTCCATCATATATAAAAATACTAATGTTGCTACCCTGAACATCCATGGTTTGTGATAGGGAAGTTTAGGGTGCCTTGTTCACCAGATGGCTTGTTGTGACATCTGAATCTGGTAGAGTCATTTCACTGTGGGTTGTCTAAAATGCCAAGAGAGTTACCTGGCAAGAGTGCTGGCTGTTCATCATGAGCTTGCTAATGATATCTCTGCTTTGTTGCATTTTGGAATTATGCTAGTTGATACTAGCAACACTGGAGTTTTTTCCACTTTGGAGAGATTTGCACAAAAATTGGTTATCTTTTAGGGACATTTGTGCATATCTGCCCAAAGGTGAAAAGAAAATTCTACAAAAAAACAATATTCAACTAATGAGCCCTCTACTTATTAGTGGGGTAGACTGATGAGGTTGTTTTGCAGCAGCCCACGGGATACGTACTGGGAGTGTGTAGAAGAAACAGACTGACAAACTGTAGGGCACCTGATTGTCTGCCAGGAGTAATGTGGATTAGTGAGTGAAGAATCAACCCAGTGTAGATTATTTTTATGTGGTTCACTAGAACATAGGAACTTGCCCACTACTTTCCAAAGGGTGAAGCATGCAAGCCTGGAGTGCCCTCTTAAGTTATTATTGTAGGAGACAAGGAACAAACCAACAGGCAGACTGGCTTGGTAGGGCATATTTAACCATTTGCCCATCTGGATGGCTAATTGCCTCTGAGAGATCCTCTAGTTCGACCATAGTTTCTCTCTTATAATCATTGCTTGCAATATGCAATTCTGTCCCAGATTGTATCTGAGAAAAAGGATAAATGTGGGCATCTCTGGCCCTCAAATTTATCGTGCTGCTGCTTTAAACATCTGAGAAAGTTGCTTTGTGACAAATTTTTATTCTATTTCAGGAGACACAAGAGTATACACGAAATGTTGTCAGATACTGCCTTGAAGCACTTCAGGATTGGTTTGATGCAATCAATTTTGTGGATGAGGTATGTGAATCCTCCATATTTAACTTGCTATTGTGAAATAAGATCAATATTAAAAGAATGGAAGTTTCTTCCTTTTGCCTTTTTTTAAAATTTTTTTGCCTGCAAATGCCTGATATCGCACTTTTACCTGAAGCTCAGAAATGCTGAATTAATACTTTATTTGGAAGTTTTCTTCTTTTGCAAAGGCTGGGCATGTGAGAAATGGGCTTTGCTCTGGCAGCCACATTCAGGATGCATTTGTTTAGCTTTGCCTTGTGCTGAATGCCTAAATCCACTGTCCTTAACTGTGAAGTCCAAAAGACTTTATTTTAATGGGAAGCAGAGAATCTTGGGGTTCTGATAAACTAGTGAAAAATTCAACAGTATTCTGGGTGGTGTATTTATGCAGAAAGTACTTCATGTTTCATGGAGCCTTTTGGAGGATCTGTGTGAGACAACAAGAATGATCATAAAACTGCTTGTATATTTTGTTATTTTAAAATTGTATTTTGCCTTTAATCAAAATTGAAAAAAATTACGTGCATCTTCAGGTTTTCTTTTCCGGTTCGAAGTATTTTTGCTGTATCAGAAGCTGCTTCTGACAAGGCAGAAGCTTTTTGGCTTGTGTATTTAAGTGTACTTCAGAGTAGTTGTGATAGAATGAAGTGATCTCAGAAGCCATGGCATTCAAAGAAAAAATTATATGCTCAAGTATAAGTTCTGCCTAAGATACTCTGGATCCTTTCCCAAGCCCAGAGGAAATAGGAATTGGTTTAATTGTGCATAAAATGAATTGCTTAAAAGAACAGTGGAATGACCTTTTGCTACTGCTGTTGTTGTTGCAGCCTTCTCCAAATCAAGTCACTTTTCATCTGCCACTGCATCGTTACTATGCAATGTTTTTGAGTAAGGTAGGTTGATATGTTTTTTTTTAAATTTTGCATGGATAAAAGGGACATTCTTTATTTAGATTTACAGTTTATATCTGGATAAAAAATTACTTATATCTGCCTGTAGGCTGTTAAATGCCAAGAACTAGATTTGGATTCCCTTCTTCCCGACCAGGAGATGTTAATGAAGCTAATGGTTCACCCACTTCAGATTCAGGTACACTTGGCAATTTTTTTTTCTTTAAGTATACTGTAAACTTTAATAGTATGTAAAATAGCCATCTGTGTTAAAACACCAGAGACAGAGACCAGGTTTAGACAAAACGTTGCCGCTTGATGACCCGTGGCACCTGCAGACTCTAGGTTGCATATTGAATCTTTACTTGAGGCATTATCATGTTGTACAAATATAGCCAGCGTGGGTTATGTGAGGATTAATCATGGTCTATTTTAGGCTTAACTGTTTAATTCATAGTTTAACATTCCATGACCCACAAGTTCATGTGGCATAGATTAGTATCACATACCAGGGTTTTTGTGACACTTCAATTCCCGAATGGGGGTTATAATGACAGCTACATGGGTCCCACACTTATTCCAGTATCACTGTGGGTTAAATAACCCATGGTGGACTATTGTAGTGTTTAACAGCCCCAGAGTTTACAAATTGCTTGGCATTTATAGCAGGCAATTGCTTTGCAGTTGAATGTGTGACTAAGCAATGAACACATGCATGTGTCGATCTGTGGAAATTCTAGCTATACAAGTCATTCCAGTCTTGTGTAAAATGTAGTGTGAGTTATTCCTACTTCATTGTCATTTTGAAGGGTCTTCAGTAAAATGAAGGCGAAATTCAGAAAAAGCTAAGCAGCAGACATTCAATCCTGAGGGGCTGCTTCTAGAATCTTACGACGTGGTTTTTTTTGTTTTGGTTTGCATGTAAGTCACTCTGGGAGCCTTTTGGTTGAGGTACAGGGTAAGAAACTTCGAATAGATAAATGCTGTCTATGCTTGCACTGAAAAAACAGGCTCAGGTCCTTTGGTATACTCAGGGTTGATTGATTTAAATCAAATTGATAAATCAGTAGTCAGTAAGACTAGATTTAAATCATGGTTTTCTACATAATTTGCATGGATGTCTGTCTTACCTGTAGGTAGAGGAACTTTATTAAAATATTCCCAGACTGGTTCTCTTTTAGAGCCTGCTACCCTTATAGCTTTTGTCATCCAGGGAAAGAATATAAAGCTCAGGCTATACACACAAGATCAAGACTTGTGGAGTATTCTGCTCAAAATGTTTCACTTTCATTTGTATTGCTGCTCCTTCCTCCTCACACATAGCTTCTTGTGCAGATCTATTGCATTTCCAACAATCTTCTATTAATTGAATTTTTTGAAACTTAGCACTTAAAAGGTAAGGGGTTAATTCTGTGTACATAGATTTGCAAAGGAACAATGATATTAGGGTCTTTTTCTCGACTCTGTTTATTTTATAACATTTTTGCTGTGAAGAAGAGGCATGTGATCTCTGCAGACACCAATTCAGTTTTGAGAAATGTAAAACCAAGCATCTGTGATAATAGCTTCTAGATAGCAAAATTGCCCAATATTCTTACAGAAACCTCTGTAAGACCATGGCATTGTGCATGGATTAATAGAATTCATTTACCAAAAATGTAAATATTGCATGAATATACAACCTCATGCTACATAATTAAAAACTAATCCTTATTTCATGATGAATAATCTTTGGACTATAATGTATCTTAAATAGAATGCTATCTTTAGATAGATTTTTCCGCAAGCATTTTATTTTAAAAAATCTAATTTAAATAAAATGATTTAATTTTTTTAATCTGATTTTTAAAATTTTATCCACCCTGAGTAAGCCTGATATTTCTCTGGATTCCACACTTTCTAATATTTTGTGAATATTGGAATGCAGAACTAATGTCTTGTTTTGTGTGCAGGTTTAGCAGTGACTCAGAAGTTTGATATATAAGCACTGAGTGACATATTTCACAGAAACTGCATGATTATTCACTGCAAAATGTATTTTCAAATTTTCCTTATTTTAAAACAAGGGAAATAATAATATGACTAAGGAAGACATTGTGAGTTTCTCTGTTACTCCTCAAAGCAGAAACTAAAAAAACTAAATTTAATTTCCATTTGCTTCTTCTGGTAGGCAAGCCTCTCTGAAATCCATAGTAATATGTGGGTAAGGAATGGCCTTCAGATTAAAGGACAAGCCATGACATATGTGCAGTCTCACTTCTGTAATTCTATGATTGATCCTGACATTTATCTGTTACAGGTAGGTCAGTGCTTTCTGTGACCTTATCTGCTCTGTGCTAGTAGACATCTGAAAAGTGATGATATCATACACATGTTTTGTTGGTTTTCCTCCCTTTTTTTTCTTTTTTGGAAAACAGGTCTGCGCTTCCAGACTTGACCCAGATTATTTTATTTCCTCAGTTTTTGAAAGGTAAGATACTGCATAAGTATTTTTGTTTTTCTAAAAATGTAAGCCAACTATGTATGAGGAATATTGTGGTAGAATATTTTGGCAATTGCCCCTGTGATTTACATGTACCACAGTAGCAGCAAATGTTCTTAATTCTCTCTCTCTCTCTCTCGCTCTCTCTCTCGCTCTCGCTCTCGCTCTCGCTTTTGCTTTTGCTTTTGCTTTTGCTTTTGGAGCAAGGTTATATTACATATTATAGTTCCATTTTTGTCCTGATACCTTAAATATCCTTTTAGTTGGACTAGGTTTTTGTTGCAAGTTACATGTAGTACAAGGACCAGCACTGGGTTTTCTGGTGGGGTAGGGTGGGAATGGCTTCAGGCTAGTGTGGCATTGTGGTGAGAATGCTATATGGGACTTGTAAGATCTGTTCCTCACTTGGCCATGAAACTCACCGGGTGACTGGGCCAGTAACTGATTCTCAGCCTAACCTACCTCACCTGGTTATTATTGTGATGATAGAATGGAGAGGAGGAGGACTATGTAAACTGCCTTGGATTTCTTGCAGGAAGGAGAAGACAGGAAGTAAACTAGAGAACTGTTCCTTGATAATAAAAAAAGAGTCACAATTTCATATTTGTATTTAGTTGTTTTGATTATTTCAATTTCTGTGGTTGATGTAGTATCTGAGTGGTAACAATTTAAGTAAAAGCCACAGTCTATTTAATACTGATCAGTAATAATTTCTTGAAGTTTAAGAAGAGCTATGTAAGTTTTGGTTTGTCTGGGTATTGGCTACCCTTGGCCTGTTTCTATTATAGTGCTTTTGAAGTTTCAAATGAGCACTTGTGCCATCACCTTTAACTGCTTTAAGACCAGAAGGGATAACCCTGAGGCTGTGGTGACTGTGTGCCTATTTGCATGTGCATAACAGCTCCCTTCTGCTCTTGAGTACCCTGAGAAATGTGCTTTTGTTTCTCTCCCACCAAGGGGGGGGGGGAGAGAGAGCGGGAGCGAGCCAGCCAGCTCACAACATTTTCCATGGGGTTAGACGAGGAATGAAGAATAGTGGATCTGAGGGTGGCAGACACCTAAAGGCAAGCATAGCACAAATTGGGTCATTACTCTTAAAATTGGAAAATTAAGTTAAAGGTGTGTGTGGGGGGGTGATACTTGTTATATGCCCAGATAATTTTATAAGCACATACAAAGCGGTTGTGTTATTCTCTGCCTGGACCTTTCCTGTAGAGCCCTAGCACCTCTCACACTGTTAACAACAGAGCTTGTAAGTTTGACTTTCTCCCCACTCTTCTGTAGGTTCAAGGTGGTTGACCTATTAACAATGGCTTCACAGCATCAGAATACAGTGCTGGATTCAGAGCATGAAAGATCAATGCTAGAAGGCGCCTTAACATTTCTTGTTATTCTTTTAAGTCTCCGTTTACACTTGGGTAAGATTTGTAGTCTTACATTTTAATTCTGTTAATTTCTTTGGGCCTGTATGATTATATGTACTTACCTGAATCTTGCATGTCCAGTGCAGTGTTTAGGGAGGAAGGATGATGGAAGGTCAACTAAAATGACTTGCTAACCCTTAATTTCACTCACAACAGCCTTTCCCAACCTTTTTACCTTGGAGGAACCCTTGAAATACCATGTCTCAGGGAAGCCTCCGGCTGTCCTCTGAGTAGGGGAAGAAGGTGGATCACCAGGAATGGCGCCTGGTGTACCGCTCAGAGTGCTGCTCTTCTGTGTCCTACAGCTGATGTTTGGGCAGCTGTACCTGGTGGGGTGCCAGTTGTGCAACCAAGGCTCTGTGAACATTCATAGACTTCCTCTTGGCTTTGCTAGATTTGCAGGACCTGGCAGGGCATGAGAGGAAGTCTGCAGATGCTGGAGGGATGGATTCCAGAAGGGTTGTTCCTAATCCTGTTCACCTCTTTGCCTTAGTGGCCAGTGCCTCTCTGTAAATTATGTGTGTGATGTAAGGAGGATGTGATTGCTGGTCGTTTAGTTTCTGGCTCATGGAATTGGTGCTGCACCGCGCCCCACAAGCCTGAGATGGGCTTCCCTTGTGGGCACGGACTCACCCTGGGCCCTCCTCCATTTTCTGGGGCACAGGGTGAGTCCACAATTGGGGGCTGTGTTTGGGTACTCAGGCAATAATGTGTGTGTTTGTTTATATTATAATATACTATATTACGAACACACATGCATGGAATGTGAAAACGTCATGTTTATATTTTTTCCTCCATGATCTCTTTTGTGGAGCCCTGGTGTGCTGGGGCATGTTGGTTGAGAGAAAGATGGATAATGTCCTGTCAGTTTCCTCCGCTATGGAAACAGCCAGACCAACATTGTTCTCAACCTTCCTTTCTAGCTTTCGGAGCACAGTGCGTCTGTGGGGACAAGACAAACATAAGAAGCTGTTCTGTACTAAGTCAGACCGCTGGTTCCTCTAGCCCCAGCTATTACTCCTAAATAAGTCTGCATATGATTGCAGTGTTTTACAAATGAAGGCTGCAGTGGTTAAAAGAATGCACATAAGACATCTGTTTTGTGTTTGTTCAATATGTTAAAAATTGGGAAAGAGTTCCTTAGGGTTGTCTTCAGTAAGTTCTTTTCTAAAAAAGTGGGCACCAAATGAGACATTAACATCTCAAAAGCCTAATATACTAAATTCTTGTAGGTGTTCTGTGAATTGACAGTCCAAATTCACACACACACACACACATTTATGATGCATGTAAAATATTTTATAACATGTAGCTAAATGAATTTCTCATTAGAAATAGCTGTACTTTTGGCTTAAGAGCAAGGGACTGGGACTCAGGTGATCCGGGTTCGAGTCCCCACTCAGCCATGGAGCCAACTGGGTGACTTTGGGCCAGTCACAGACTCTCAGCTCAACTTACCTCACAGGGTTGTTGTTGTGGGGATCAGATGGAGGAGGAGAATGATGTAAGCTGCCTTGAGCCCTTTGTAGGAAAAAGGCAGGATATAAATCGATAAATAAATAAATAAATAAATAAATTGTATATTATTTTTTCAATTGAATTAAATTTCTGTACTTCCCAACAGCAGAAGCTCTCTGGGTGGGTCATTGCAGTATATTTAAAGACAATATAAAATATACCAATTAAAACATATTATATTAACATATAATAGTATTTAAGATACAACATGGTTATGTTAATTTCACTTTCAATTATTTTAGGAATGACTGATGATGAGATTCTGAGAGCAGAGATGGTAGCTCAGCTTTGCATGAATGACAGGACCCACAGCTCACTACTGGATCTCATATCCTTGCAGTGTATTACGTCCGTTTTGATGTATGATAAATTGGTGTATTGTGCTTTTCCTTAGGCTTCTGTTTATAGCAGTATTGGACTCCCGGAAGATATATCAGTGATAGCAATATTTGGCACTCTTAACCCTTTAAGGACATAAGAACAGCCATGTTGGATCAGACCATTTAGTCCAGCCTTCTCTTCATACAGCAACAAACCAGCTGCCCACAGGACCCTGCCAGAAGGACATGAATGTGATAGCACCCTCCTGCCCAAGTTTCCCAGCAGCTGGGATACACAGGCACACTGCCTCAGTGTTCGTAGAATATCATGCTGTTCTAAGCTGTCCTCCTTACCCCACAATCCTGCCAACTGCTGAGGCTCCGAGATATACATTATTACTTTTCTTCTGCTCTCCCCCATTCAGTCACATTCTATTTCTAAAAGAAGGAGCTTAGATTTAAAACTGTGTTTCTTTTTCCATTGAAGCAAACTTCCTGACCCTGACTGGGTCTTTGCATTCTTTGAATAATGTTCTAGGACCAAAAAAAAAGGGGGGGCGGGGAGTTAAATAAGTTTTGTGTTAGTTGGTTGCTCAAAATCCATCTATAAATGTATTCAAAAATGGTAATATATGCAAAGACCCAGAAGGGTACAGGCTTGCATTCTTCTTCTGATATGATCTTTCATACTCAAATATGGAATGAATTTTCTTCCTTTAATTCCAAGAAAAAAGTGAATTCTGAAACTAGCATAGACCACAGAGTGGGTAGAAAGCTTTGCTTTCATGTTTTTACACATGAGGACCTACAAGAGAGATATGGATTTGTAACGCCACTAAGTGCAGTATTTATGAAGTGTGTCCAATTTTGTATGATGGGCTTTTTTGAAAAATGATGGTGGTGGGGTTGTTAAATTGGCCAACACCATAAAGGAATATATGACCATGGATAAATATTTAATCAATTTTATAATCAGGCTCCTAGTTTCAGTTGTATGATTAAAAGAGAAATGAACCATCCATAGGAATTTAAGTGCCACCTCCAAGAAAATATTTTGCAGTAAAACTTAAAATGATCGAGTGACCATAGTTCATTAGACAATGTAGACCTCTTGTGGTGAAATTAAGCTGTTGCAGAAATCTTACTTTCTAGAAGTAACTGTGCTGTTTCTTCTAGGAAAAAAAGAGTTAAATATAGCTCTTGCAGGAAAATCTTGGTCTTGAAAAGATTCTAATACTGCTTGCTATTAATCTTAACACAAGGATTACATTCCAGAAAATCCTAATCCGAAAAGTGGCATTATTCCTGGCAGTTTAAGCTTTGAATCAATGTTGTCAGCTGTGGCTGATTTTAAGGCACCTGTGTTTGAGCCTGGGGGTTCTATGCAGCAAGGGATGTATACACCAAAAGGTATGTTCAGTTTTTATATGTGTGACAGTTTGCATGTACAACCTGAATGAGCCAGTGTTAATTACAAGTTAAAAAATGCTTCTGTTTGATTTGAACGTTATCACATGCCCTTCAGTTTTGGTGCTTGCCTGTCTGGAGTCTCCTTCCCCAGTTTTAAGCAAATATGGTAAAGTTCAAGATGTTTCAAAAATGCTAAATACTAAAATACAAAGTACAAAAATAGTTAGTTGATTCTGAACAATGTTAATTTTAATTAGGTTCCCTGCAGAAAATGTTGTAATAACAGTGATATATCTGTAAGAAAGTAAGCACAAACTAAAGGCCATTGCTGCTGTTGAAAACCTAGATATAACAAAAATATTATCAAATGTTTTACATTAAACATGGAATATATTTCAGAACTTAATGACAAACTTGCTCTGTCTCTTTTAACAATAGCTGAAGTCTGGGAAAAGGAGTTTGATCCAGTCATGGTAATTCTTCGAACTGTTTACCGTAGGGATGTGCAGTCTGCGATGGATAGATATACAGCATTGTAAGTTGGATATGTTCTGAATCATAAAAAGTTACTATTGTGTTATATAATATATGTTGTTGTTATGTGTTGTCAAGTTGTCGCTGACTTATGGTGACCCTATGAATGAAAACGCTCCAAAATGTCATGTCCGTGACAACTCCATTCCACTCTTCCAAGGTCAAGACTACCTTATGGATTCAGTCCATCTCATATATGGCCTTCCCTTTCATCTTCTGCCTTTGATTTTCCCTATGTAGCCAGCATGCATTTGCAATATGATTTCTAGTACATCTTCCTTTTCAGAATCCAATTTGGACATCCAGCATTTCTCACTTCATATAGGGTAGTATTCTTCATCTCAAAACTTTGAGCATCACTTTGTTATGTGGGAGATTAATGGTCCTGTGGTTGTTGCACTCTTTTGCATCCCCTTTCTTTGAGATTGAACATCTCCAGTCTGTGGGCCATTATTTTGTTTTGATTATTTGTTGACATATATTTGTTATGATTTGGACTGATTTGTTTTCTGCAACTTGGAATAGTTCTTCTGGTAATCCTATCTACTCCAGGTGCTTTATGCTTTGCAAGTACTTTCAGAGCAGTTTTCACTTTGCTTTCTAATATTGAAAGCTCTTCTTGTAGGATTCTGCTTCAGAACAGTCTTCCTTTCTGTATAGTTCTTCTCTGTATTCTTTCCACCTTTTCTCTTTATTTTCTCCTGGTCAAACAGTATATTTCCTTTTTGTCCTTTAGCTTTCCTAATCTAGTTTTGAATTTCTAGTTGATTTCTTGGAACTTCTGGAAGAGGTTGCTTATTTTTCCTCTTGTATTACTCTTTTATTTCTTTGCACTTATCATTGTTACAGTTCTTTGTCTCTTCATGATAGGTGCTGAAAAGTTGCATTTAGGTTTCTGTCCCTATTTCTGTCTTTTCCTTTTTATTCCTGCCTGTCCTTTGCAAGTATAAGTGTTTCTTCTGTCATCTATACAGGCCTTTTCTTTCTTGTTGCCTCAGAAATTTTCTTTTGGCATTCCTCTCTGATAATGGCTCTGGTTTCAGTCCACAGTTCTTCTGGCTCATGGTCAATTATGCTGAACAATACAGATCTGTTTTTTATGTAGAGTTTAAATTCTGCAGGAATGCCACTTAAGTTATATTTTGGCACTGTGTTTCTGTTGGTGACCTTTTTAGCTTGACTCTTGATTTTCAGTGAACTGATGGTCCCTACCACAGTCCGCTCCTGGTCATGTTTTGGCAACAATAATACAGTTTTTCCACCTTCTACCTCCAATTAGATAAACTACTCAATTTCTGTATTGGGAATCAGGTGAAGTCTCTGTATACAGTCATCTGAAAAGTTGCTTGAAGTATGTGTTTGCAGTGAAGAGGTTGTTAGCTTTACAAAATTGTACGAGTCGTTCTCCAGCTTCATTTCTTACCCAGAGGCCAAATTTTCCTACTGCATTTGATTTTGCCTTCCTTGTTTCCTGCTGTTACATGCCAGTCACCTAGGCTTAGCATCATGTCTTGTTGAGGTGTATTATCAATTTCCTCTTGAACACCTGCATGGAAGTTTTCAGTTTCTTCTTCTTCTGCGTCTGTCACTGGAACATAGACTTGAATGATGCTTATGTTGTTAGCTTTTTCAATAATTCTAATTTACATTATTTGGTTGGATTTTGTATTATATACTCTTACTGCCTGTGCTATGTCTTGCCTCAGTATTAGAGCTACTTCCATTTCTTCTGAGTTTGTCATTTTGAGAGTAAAATACTGTCCCATTCCCATCCACTTTAGTTTGTGCACACCATTTACGATTCTCAGTTTGCCTTGATTCATTCTTCTCCCATTCCATGTCCCAGTTGCATGTGTTGTGCAGCCTCAGACTTTCCTTTCATCTTTCTGCTGGGGTCATAATCTTAGAGCAGATGCTTACTGCTGAGCAGATATATAGGGGGAAACTATTGTATTTTGATGCTTAATTTAGGAGAAAATATCTCCTTTCCTGTAATCAAACCAGCATGTAAAACAGTAATCAATGAATCCGTGCAAGATCTACTCCAAATTAAATCAGAATTTTTCTAAGACATAGCATGGGAAACTGTTGGAGTGCATATCCCTTAAAAGTAGATGAATACTCAAGTTATTGCCTCAATTAGCCAGGGAAATTATTACATCTTATGTCAAGTCAGTCACTTGAAATGAATTATTATTAATCATGCCTTTGGTGTGTGTAAGGCAAAATCTGTGAAACTTGTAATTTTAAGTGTCTTCCCCTCCTTCCATTTGGTTTCTTGAAGTGTCATGTCAAAATGATGTATTGCCTGCCATTGTTAACCTTTTCATTTTTAGTGAATTGAATAATGTGTTCCTTGAGGCCACGTAAAAACAAATTGGAAGTCAATCTTTCATGTTCCTTCTCTTCTCCTTATTCTTTCCTTTTCTTCTTCATCAATTCTTGCATCCTTAACCATTCAAGAACTACTAACAACTGGGAGTATTTGTTTTCATCATTTCAGCAGTATAAATTGGGTGGGTAGGACTCATTTTGTTGCTGTAATTTTGTTAGGTTGAAGTCAGAAATCCTTGCTAGTATAGTACAAATCACCTAGAGATATATCAGTAGAGAGTGATCTACTGGCCTACCTCTGAATTAAAGGCTTGGTTTAGAATGAAATTGTTTGGGCGGAATCTTTGGAAACATTGGCTTATGTAGTGGACACTTCCATTAGGAGCATGGTCTGTTGCTTGCACAGAACTCTTCCTTCCTCACTACTCTTGGACAAAGGCCCAATAAAGTCAGTCTGCTGCTGATGAGACACAGGCAAACAAACTCCAGGCTTCCATACATCCATGGGCATTCATGCCTTCTCCTTTCCCATGCTGGTATAACCAGGGTTTAACACAACATCTATACAAGGTTAATGCCAATTATGAAATCAGGTTTTGAAGCTGCTTTGTAAACCCCAACTAAAGTTAAGCATTGTAGCATTGTTACATACACCTGTCCCTACAGTGTGGCTAACACTGGCAAAGAAACTGCATGATTGAGATGTACAAATTATGTGTGTTACGGAAAACTAAATAGGGAGATGTTTTTCACCATGTGAGCAGAGTGCTAGACTGGGTAGACCATTGGTCTGATCCAGCATGGCTCAACTTATGTTCTCACTGTGTGAACAGAATGCTGATTCAGAATGGCTCTTTCTGAGCTGATATGTAGTGGGGAAATTCTGCAGGAGTGAGAGAGTATACTGTCTGCTTCCAAATTTTAAAGATGCAATCCTAAACTTACCTAGTAGGAAGAAAATCCTGTTGCACTTAGGATCTGCTTCTGATCCTAAGTATGCTCAGGAATTATGCTGTTAGTTCTTGTTAAGAGTTTGGCAGTGTGATATCTACACTTGACCATTGGAATTTTAAACCATAATCATCCTAAGGAAGCACTGAACAGTCTGACAATTGAGTTGTGTTAGTTAAGTCTCTAAATAGCCTACCAGCACAATGCTGCCTGTGACGTAATACAAATGTAGATGATGGCCACCTCTCCTTCTGTGCAGTAAGAGAAACTTTCCATCTTTACCATGCTACTGAAAGAGCTCCTGACTCTGGAATTGGATTTAGAATAGCTGTTTTTTCATTAGCTCATTTTTGAGCGGTAAGGACCAAGGAAGGATGTTGCTTTAGCAACTTCTTGTTTAAGAACACACTTATTTACAATAGAATGCATTGTATACAGATTTTAACTCCTCCCCCGATAGCATAGCCAGTTCATTGCAGGTACAGCTGTCATTTTTCAAAGCCTGGCTGTTCTAATTAAATATATTGGCCTGGTTCTCATCATTCATTGTAGGCTAAAACCATCCATGGTAGGTTGTTTAAGTGCACATGATGGATACAATTTATGTAATTGCCAGTCTGCACTTATTATCCGAACCAAGGCTAGTTAGAAGTAAAAATAATCCTCCGATAGCCCATGGGTGAGATCCAAATGTCCCACATCGCTCTCTCACACAAACACACACAACAGAAAAGCCTATCTGCTTGTATATTTGGCGCGGGGAGAGCAGAATTCCTACAATTATTGCCACCTTGCCAGTTTTGTCACAGAAATTCAGCTGCTAAAAGGGTTATTTTCCTTTAAAATTGTTTGCAGCTGTTAGTATGCCACCAAATTTCAGCAGCTTTTTGGATCGATGCTGTTCTACTGACATTTATTGAACGGACAGTGGCACTGCAAAAAAGTCTGGTGGTGTGTGCAACCCAAATCTCATGTGTTCCTGTACCTCCTTTATATGGTGTCACTCCAAAAATATGGTAATTTGCTAGAGAGTAGTAATACTTCTTTCTAAAATAATTCCAAGTTGAGATGCTACTAAATCTCATTAAGGCTAGTACTGTGAATGAGATTTTGGGTTCAGTTATGCTCATGTCAAAGGAGAGGCAAACACTGGAAGCCCTGAATTCTCTGATTTATGTTCCAAGATTGCCTGGAGAAGACTTCCTGGCTTTCAGATCTTCTTTGAAGAACTGTCTTTAGGGAAAATTAGGTGTTTCTTGTATTTGTAGAAATAGCTTAGGTTATTCCCAAACCAGGGGAGAGGTAGTAAGAAAGTTTTTCTAGCTAACACCTGTTATGAAATGGAATAGAGTGGATTGTAAAATGGACTAGATCAAACTGTAGGATGATATCCGGTTGTGAAAGTGACTACACGTGGAGACTGGGTTTTCATAAACAAAATTGTTGTGTTAAACCCCAGTTCATAACTTTTTTATTTGGAAGTCATGTTAGTGCAGTCTTTTTGCCTTGTTTTGCAAGCACTTCTTTTTAAAACTACTGCTTTAAAAAGTTGTGACTGTACTTCTTCAAAACTTGTACAAACACATACAGAAACCTATACACTAAACAGGATGGTAAAATGTCACTAACAAGCAGCCTCATCATAATGCCTGCCAACTCTAGGAAAGCACATATGGAATCAGAGCAGACAAAGCATCACCTATCCTTTATGATTAAAACATAGATTGTGTGTGCATTTAGATTGTGCATCCTGTGATGTGATTGTGGTAACATTAGCACTGATACTAAACCACAGTTAATACAAATCAGCGGTTGTGACTGACCCAGGACGCAGATATTCCTGTGCATTTCCAGAGGAAATTTTTTCTTATTAGGAGTGGGTTCTTGGGATCATGGCCAGTGATTTTCAAGTAATACCTGCATAGAGTAAGACGATCAGGGATCGCATCTCATTCCACCTTGGGATTTTTGTAACATAATGTACTTCTTTCCATCCTGGCCTTATACTGAAAGACATTTTGCTAGTTCATGAATAACTGACTTTCAAAATGTTCAATATTAGTGGTAGAAATGCTAAAAGGGCATGAAGTGGCATGCAGCTAAGTGTATATTTGTAATGGTCACAGTTCTGTCTACCTTGGCATTTAACTTTTTAAAAAATTATATCTGCAGTTTAAAACAGAGTGGGAAAGTTCATGGGAACCCTTGGCCTCCATACAAGAAACGAACTCATTTGCACCCAAGCTATAGAGGACTCATGAGGCTTTTGCACTGCAAAACTTTACACATTGTATTGTTCACTCTACTCTACAAGGTACTGCTAACTAAACTTTTGATCTGATTCGCTGCAGCTATAGTGGTTTATTTAAGCCATGGTGCGTTGTAGTGTTTGCTATTGCATGCTGGGTGGCTTTTGAATATTTGAGCTGTAGTGTGGCTTACGTTGTCTCAGCCCAGCAGGAATGGGTTGTATAACTTTAGGGTGATTCAAAGGTTGTTTAAGCCACGTACAACCCCCATTGGGTTCAGATGACACAAGATATGGTTCTGGCTTGAATATTGCACACAACACAGTCCACCATGGCTTGTTTGACACTCAGTCTGTTTGTATGAATAAACCTTTTAAAAACGTTGAAATGTAAAGATCCTTCCAACTTCACTTAATATTGGACTTGTGAAAAATGTTGGTTTATACTCATTATGAAACAGTAGTGTGTTCTTGTTTGTTTTAAGTAGGCTGAGAAATTTCCCCTCTTTGGGAGTGGGCAAGGGGAGAAACAAAGGTGATATCCAGGCTCACCTGGCATGGTGGAAAAGGATAAGGGGCAGCATTTTGTGTACTCTTTTTCCTGTTTCCATTGCTGCCCACCTTCCAAGTTTCCTTTAATTGATGGGAGGAAATAAATCTACACCAGCACTAGGACTGACCTAGATTTTTATCAGCTTTGGAAGCATGAAGGGATCCTGAATATCCAAGCCTTCCCCTGGTGTTCCTCCATACACACCTGGAACATCCTTCCTACTTCTTCCAATGCTCCATCTCCCCTTCTAAGAGAGGGCCTCTTGAGCCATCCCTGGAAAAAGATATCCCAAACACTGCATGTTCCATGTGATACCCTCCCACAGATCACAGGATTGCAGTCTAAACCAGGTACCATATTCCCTAATTTTTATTTTTCTTCTGAGGAGAAATGGCACATGAATGCATGCATTTAAGTGCACGTGATGGGAGAAAATACTGTTGTAAATCCCTGTTTAATTCTGTTCTGCCTTGTTATTTATTATTATTTATTTATTAAAACATTTTTATGCCGCCCCATTTGCCGAAGCCTCGGGGCGGCTTACAACAATAAATTAACATAATTATAATCTTAAATTAAAAAAATATAAACATTAGATTAAAAATACAAAAATGCAATATAAAATAAGCCTCCCTGTTAGATAAGCATTCTATTGCTTTTTCAGCTTTACAGGCTGAAATTAAAGTAGCTAGACAGGATAGAATTTTTAAAACTTGATATTAGATGTTATGAAGCCATGTTTTGTGTAATTTAACTCTTTAAAAGTGAATAGTTGCATATTCCTAACACATGGTTTTCTAGCTGTCTAGGTATGTGTCTATCTGTTGAATTCTGAATAAGAAGTTACTTTTCCCACACTTCTTAACAAAGCTGATAGAGGTGCCTTTCTCTGAGACATTTTTCCTTTAGTTTGGATGATGTGGAAATAATGTAGACAAACATTATTTCCTTCCTTATTTTGTTTTTCTGAAGTGTAAAATGGAAACCTTTGGAGGGAAAAATGGAAAGTAATGTTGACTTTTGATTTAGATATTAATGGACCATCAAAACCTGTCAGAACATGTCCTTTGCATGGTTTTATATTTGATTGAACTGGGGCTTGAGAACTCACCTGAGCAAGAATGTGATGAAGAAGTAAGTGCTAATATTGTAATACCCTTTGATGTATTTTGTATATTCTTCCTTATCTCTCACTGCCCACCAGCCAGTCATTTAGCTTGCCTGCACTGGCAGGTTTTTTTAAATGTTTCACACTAAATAAGAACTTAGTGAAATAACTCTTTTCTTTGCTTCTAACTTTTGGGTGGGGTAGGTGGATTGTCCCAGTTGTGTTTTGTTTTCCTGTGTTTTGCTTTCTCTGTCCATGTATGTGTGTAGCCACTCTGTTCTATTTTCCCCACTCACTTGGTTTTCTACCCATTCAGTCTGCAAACATTGAATTATTGTGGGCAGTTTGGTGGTAATGGAGTATTACACCTCCTTTGGGTTTTTCTTTAAGTTCTTTTTTGTATGTATCATCAAATCCTGGGGTTACCTCCAACTAATTCTTCTCTTGTGTATCGTGTGGTTTTGGCTCCTGTTCTATAAGTACTTGGAAGATTTGAGTTGGAAGGTAGTATATATGATGATACTATATCATCCTTTGAGAGCTTTATTTTGATTTGTAAGCTTCCCTGGCTGGGTAAAGATAGACACAACATAATGATTTTGCTAGAGAGCTAATGTAGTGTGGTACCTACAAAATGAGCTGTGAACCAGAAAATCTCAAGTTTCTTATGAATATATTCAGTGGCTTTAGGCAAACTCTCTCAGCCACCACTCACCAAGTGTAATATAGGGGTAGCAATATTTTACAGGTTCCTATTGAAGGGATTGCTGAGAGAATTATAAGTTGCATAGATAGCCACCTATTTTTATGGAATACTTTCTCCAAGTACTTAGAGAACACTATAAATTTCAAATCAATATGAATAAACTTGGGCTGTAATTTTTACTGTTACAACTATGTCTAAAGGGAGAATCTATTTTTTCTGCACATTGAAATAGACATATTAATATTTCCTACTGCATTTAGACAAGTTCAGCTGTGTTCTGAATGCAGCATCGTTTATGTGGATTGCAATAACCATATTATGCTATGTTGATGATTTGTTTTTATTTTTCTGCCATGTTAATGTATCAGGATTCTATGGGAGGACAAGAACGCTGCCATGATAGTTGGTTTCCAGGGAATAATTTGGTTTCAAACATGCGCCACTTTATTAACTATGTGCGTGTAAGAGTGCCAGAAACGGCTCCAGAGGTGAAAAGAGAACCACCTGCAAGTACAAGCTCTGATGGTTTAGCATCTTCTCAGGTAAGGGTGAAGTCTTCTATTGTGTATTATTATAATGGGTCAAGGACTCTTATGTCATAGTTATCATTAAACCCTTCCACCTTTTTAGGGTTGAATTAGGTTTTTTCTAAAGGAATATTTGTCCATATCTGATACTACATGTCTAGTATATACTCCTGTGTTTCTTAGGGTTTTTAATACCCTCCTTTTCCCTCCCAACTCACCAGAATCCAAGGCGGTCTAAAGGACTTCAGAGAGAGGTAGATTTGTCTGTATCTTGTATTCTAATGGCAATATGGCTTTCACTGTGCTGACCCTAACATTACTGCAGTTCCACAGTCTTTTAATGATTATGATTGAGAAATGGCAATCTTTGCAAATTTCTCATGATTATGTTAAAAGGTATATTGCCTAGAATCTGATAATACTGTATTTACTTCCAAATTCCTTGTGCCATCTACCAGAGATAATATTCTCTCTTTCAGTTGCTAGCCAATTGATGGAATAAGCACTGGCTTGCTTTGTTGGAATGTGTGTGAATTTCTGCTTCAGTTATTGCTAACATTTAATAAAGTTATTCTTAGCTATACCATTCTCAATAAGCTTAGCCCTTCAATCTTGTTTAAAAAATTGGAGTGATAAATGGCTGCTAGATTCATCTCTGTGAACACACAATTAACTTGCTTAAATGATTTATAGCTAATTTATAATGGGGCTGCCAACCTTCTTGGGTGGAGAAATGAGGAAGTGCCTACCATGACTCATTTTCACATAAGAAATTGAGTACACACTGCTAAGTATTTCATTGGTACAGAAGCTATGCAAAAAGAAAATTCCAAATGAAAGGAAAGTACCCTAGTATACTTGTTTACTTTTTAAAACCACATGACAGTAAAACATTCATAATGGTGTAGTATTTGTAGTTGTCATATAAGGCATATAAGGCATAAAATAAAACTTTCATATTCAAGTAATTGCCACAAGATTTGTTATTCTTTACAAATGTTTTGAAACATCAGGCATGCACTTTTGTAAGTATTTGCTTTTTACCAAATGAAACATGCAAGATACTCTTTACATCTGAATATACCAGAGGCAGAATCCAGTGGAGTCCAGGTGTGAGGGGTCTTTGGGCAAGTGTCCTCTTATGGATCTTTGTTTCATTGATGGATCCTGGTAAGCTTACCAGAGAGGGGTAATGGGTAGCAGCAGCAGCAACACTCAGAGCAGAACTGGGTGGCTGGCTCTACGAGGCTGCTGCCATTTACTTTTCCCACAATGTCCTAGCGTACGGCTAGATAGGGGGAAATTAAATGATTGCTAGACCCAGCCACCAGATGGCAACAGTGGGCCCTGCAAATTGTCCAAGGAAGCCAGGAACTGATACTCACCCTCACCATAGTTAACCTTTATGCCTGCACTGACACTGTCCTTAACTTTAGTTATGGTTAAGGCTAGCTATAGGGCAGCTTTGTTAGACATAGCAAGTAATAGTGGCTCAGTGCTAAACAATGGTTTGTTCAGCTTAACTTTGGCTTAATTGTGTGTCCAAAGCCGGCTCCCTGAACTGACTATTTTCACTAACCTTAGGAGAGACAACGTGAAGTTCTTTTTTAGTATGGAAGTACTCTTTGTACCACTTGTACATTTAATTTTGTTTTACACAGGTGCACAGGAAATAATGTAATTTGTTTGGGAGGGTACTTCAGAAACTTTTTGCATAACTGTGTTAATATAGTTACTATCATGTATTTTTCTTATTTTTTTTTCTTCAGAATTCAGGGACAGCACAAGTGTTCAGTTTAGTTGCAGAACGTAGAAAGAAATTTCAGGAAATCATTAATCGCAATACTACTGAAGCCAGTCAGGCAGTTCGACCCAAGACTTCAATGAAATGGTCTGCTCCGGGTGCAGCTCCTCAGCTAACAACAGCCATCTTGGAAATCAAGGAAAGCATATTGTCTTTGCTGGTTAAGCTTCATCATAAACTGTCAGGAAAGCAAAACTCTTATTATCCTCCATGGCTGGATGACATGGAAACTCTAATTCAACATGAAAACCCTAAGTATTTTCATGGGGATGGCATGACAGCTGTAGAAAGAATTTTATTGAAAGCAGCACTTCAGAGCCGATTAAACAAACGAATAATTGAGGAAATCTGTAAAAAAGTCACTCCACCTGTACCACCAAAAAAGATTAGTCCAGCAGAGAAGAAAACTTTGGACAAAGAGGAAAGGTAATTTATTCAGTGCTGAGGAAGAATTACCTCAGTACTTGATGTTATAGGAAAAGTCAGTTATATTCAGTGTTCAATGAAAGCGTCTGGTTCACTTATTTTACTTGTGGATTCTGTACACATTTGGAACCTATATAGATTTAGGGCTCTGGTTAGCCATAGATTCACCATTGGGCTTATCTTGTAGTGAACACAGTGAGTACCATGCATGTAATACTGGGTCTGTCTTAACCACAGCTAAGCAATCACAAATTAGCCATGGGATTGCATTCTTCCCTCCTCTTTTGGGTACAAACATTTCTCCTCCTGGCTCACTGAAGATCAAGGAATATGGTGGCATTGATCTGAATTATGGTAAATACTAGCTGAGATTTCAGTTTAACCAGGGTTTGTAGGATAAATATTCTAGAATGTGAATAATTTTTTCTCGTAATAGAAAAATATGCTTTTTAAAAAGTGTCTGTGTGTGCATTACTACTGCTTGAACTTCTCTGTGGTTCTGAGGAAACCAGTCGAATTTAAATGTTCATGACATAGCACTGCACACCTTCATGGAATATACAATTTCCAACCTAGGATGAGTGCTGGATACAATATTTGTCCTCATACAATTGCTTATATTAGCTCTAGAAACCTTTTTTTCTATTTTGTAAAGAGAATTTAACATTTTGTAAGTGGAGCACTTCATTGTGTGATTCTATTTATACAAAAGAAATTTTAAAAGTAAGTTTCCCAGTTTTGAATGAAGAAAAAAGTGTGGATCTGCAGATGGATTAGGTTAGGACTTCACTACTGGGTCATGCTGTACACTGCAATCATATAAAGATATGGTGGAGGAAATCAAGTAATAGGCCCAGAAATAAATGTTTAGGCTAAAACTGGGCCCTTTATTGAAGAGGTGGTTGAATAATGGATTAATGGAGATGTAATACAAATGTAGGCATAAAACGGTATGTTCATGTAAATTCTGTAAGACTTTAACCAGACAAGGCTCAGAGCCATCCATCAAGGTGTCATCCTCAGTCCTGAAGGACAAGGTGCTATCCTCAATGATCCCTACCACTTCATATAGTGCCTACGCTTGTGCAGGAGTTTGTGTGTTGATGCCCATCCTGGGCATCTGGTTTTGTGTAAGTCTTCAGGTGTTTCCATGTTGTACTGGGTTTCCTGAATATTCCTTGGCTACACCTGATTATTGCACTCTTTCTCTCAACATCTGCTCTGATGAATATTCCACAGATGTTTCTGTTTGTGTGATACTTCCCCCCCATACACACCCTGTTATAGTGCAGTTGTGAAGAAATCTCTTCTTCCATATTCTTCCCATCCACCATATTTAAGCATGTAGATTAAGAGCTAGCGATCTCATGTTAATTTGATTGAGAGTTCTCACTTGATCATCTAATAATTCTAAATATTGAATTCAGAATGCTCATGTAATTGTCTGGTATGTGAAAGTCTTTGTTCTGAGGGCTTAGTAATATAGCTGTTAATTGGGCTACTTCTGTACCTTGGTATTTGGTTGCTGAAGTGGCATTGCCTATATGAACTTTGCTATACCTTATTTAGGCCACACTTGGGTTTACATTGTAAAGTATCATAATACTGTAAGGGAGGGGGTGTGCTGACTCAACCGATTGTAGTATATTTCTACATCATTTCTATCATTTAATTGAGGCCTTGCTTCTATTCACGGAATTCATCAGTAAATATGGTTGGCTTGGATCCTAAGATAAGTTAAGGAAGTGCATGGAAGTAGTCCTTTCCATTCCTTCCTCTTTTCTGTAGTCAATCTGTAGCCTTCATTTCTGAAATGAAGTTCTGTGTCTCCTTCTGAACAAAGAGACATGGTGGAAAAAACGGAATCACTCAGCCCAGGACAAGCTATCTTAAGGAAGTTCACAAAGAGTTTCTCCTGCCCCGACAACTCTCTGTTCTCCATCCCACATTGCTTGAGACAGCCTCCCAACCCCAAAAAGGATTTCTGAGGGACACCAGCAGATGCAAAGGAGAGGGTGGGAAGCTTTCCTTCAGCAGCTTCCTTAAACTACACAAACCTGTGCTTACTTAGTCAGAAAAACTCCCACAATTCCCAGCATTCCCCACTTGGCATGTTCTTCCCTGTCTAAATATGCAGAGACTGGCCCCTGAGTTTTCTTATTTTAGGATACAAGCCATTGTCTTTTAGAAAGCTAGATTCTTAAGAATTGAGCTAACAGTGTGATTTACTACAGGTGTGATTTAGAGGAAACTTGAGGCTTGCTAAAGAATGAAATCATGTTTTTTGGTCTCCTTTTATCTGGCTGCAGTTTCTAGGAAAATGACAGAGCAATGCATGTTTAAACTACCAAAGAAAGAAAGAAAGAAAGAAAGAAAGAAAGAAAGAAAGAAAGAAATTATTTGAGTAAACCTTATGTAAAATTCTAAATCTCAAGTCTTATATAATTCCTAATTTGACATTATTCAAGAAATCTCACATTCTTTGTCAAACAAATGACTATTCCCCTTCCTCTAACCTTTAAATTGCCAGTGACTGTTCCCCTTCCTCTGACATGTAAATTGCCAAATTTAAAACATGTCCACAGATTGCAGCATGTGTCTGTTCCTCATTGTAAAGCTGACATCAAGAGGAACATGGGAGAGGGCTCATGCTGTAATTCCTCCTAAAACCAGCATTGTTTTTCTCACGAAGACAATGCTGACATGGAGCAGAACCACACCAAATCCTGATCTGTTGAATAGCATCTGAAATAGCATTCATAGCACAGTAAGGAACTGGACTGCCACAGATATATTGTGACAAAGATACTGAATGTAGAGAAAGAAGAGAGGCCCGCAACAAACAATTCTAATCATTTAGTTTCTTTTCTCTCTCCCTACACCCCAGCCTTGGTTTTCCCCCCTGAACAGTAAAGTTAGCATTCCACAGCCACCAAGCACACCCAGTCCTTACTGGGCAGTTTTGGGTTCCCCCCTTAGATTTTTTTTTCTTCAAAATACTGATTTATAATTCTGCAAACTTGCAGTTTGCCCATGCAGACTTCTACCATCCATACACTGTTCTAAGGAAAAGTGCTCTCAGGATTAACATGGGAAACAGTGGTACTGATGATGCTTGCAAAATCTTTGACAAGAGAGGATGTGGGGAGGGGTGAGTGATGAGTTCAGTACATTTGCTCTCATGTAAGTCTGAAATCAAGATGGTGCTAAATTAATAATTGCACTGTTTTGCATGACTTCCATTTGAAGGGATGTGAAGTCCAGTATTTCTATATTGAGCACGCTGTGAGCAGTCAATGATGACCTATTTTCTAGCTTCTCCATCCTACAAAGGCAAACTTGGCATCACCTACATAAGACGTTGCTATAGAAACAAAGGCATAGAACTGAAAAAAGAATTTAGCAGAGCTGCTTTGCAATAATTTTTCCGTTTCTGCCTTGGAGCCCTTGGGCCATTGCGGAAAATTACTGAGCTGTACTGAATCTGTCAGTTTATGTCTCCTTATTGAGGGTCTCTATTTACAGTTAGCCTGTTCAACAAAGGCATAGAAGATAGTGAGTCCCTGGGGTTGCGGGGTAGAATGGTTACTGTGAAAGTTGCCTCAGATTCTTAATACAGCCATCTTACGTGGGACTGAAATCTGCTTATTTCTAGTTATTTGCACATACCATATAGTAAATGTGCTGTGACTAGGATATTAACATATCACAAGCTTGTGGATCAGCTTTTGGATACCATGCAGCAGGAATATAATTTTTTAAAAGAAAGATGTTAACTGCATTACAGAGAAAATGTAAGTGACCACAAAATAAATTTTCCTAGTTCATACAATTTTGCGACTTCCCCACCTTTGTCAGTGGTTCAACCCTCTGACAAGATCACACCAAAATTCTTGTGTATGTGCTAGTATAAATTTCACTGTGTGTTTTATTGTATGTACAGGACAGTGGGTAAGTCCTGCTGATAAATCAGGCCAAGAGGTATAGTAGAGCAACCAAGTCTGTGTATCTGGAAGCTTATGGTCCAGAACCCATAAAGTGGTTTCAGTCCTCTTCCCTCCCATTTGTAATAGGAGAAAAATAATATTGACCTACCTTATAAGATTGCTGTGAAACTTGTATATATGGAACACCACATGGAACCTAAGAACTATTATTAGTTTCAACCGTTGACAGCAAGCATCTGTTACAGGATAGGATGTAAAATGATGAAAAATGGCTTGCAGAAAAACATGCACCTTTGGAATTGAAGGAGTCCAGTTGTATAAATAGCTGTTGTAGGAAAATACCATTCAATTGCCAATGATAGTTACTATCATACAGAACTTCACTGCAGAATCCTCCCAGGGCTTTCCTTAAATAAAATTTGACTCTCTTCTCAGTATGGGTGTGTAGATACTTTTAAAGATTTGGATAATGGGTATTCATTTGGTGCTATAGATGGTTTTATATGAGTTTTAATTAAAATTGCTATGTTCCTACTATAGTTATCTGTCATTACAACCCATAATACTGAAAATAGGATTTTAAGTACTTGTTAAAATGATGAAAAATAAAATGGACAAATTCTCATGTCCTCTGTGGCTTCTGGCAGCTAATTATTTCACTGGCCTTAAATAGTATAGCAGGGAAAAGTCAAAACAAGAGAGCACTGTATCTAGGACAGAAATTTTCTGTGGTGTTCTTGGTAAGAAGTTTTTACTGTTTCAAACAAAATTCTGATTAGCAACATTATGTGAACAACACTTTTTCTATAAGCTTTGTGCAATTTCTGAAGTATTTTCAATGAAGTGTGTATCCTTCTCTGAAATAGTGAATGGGTTATAGGGAACTGGTCAAAAATACATTTTAGCCATGTTGGATACCGTAAAATCAATATTTATTTTCTGTTTATATTTCAAGTTAGTGGTTGTGAGGAAAAAATTCAAACTCTCTTTATAAGTATGATCACTTATCACATTTAGTACTTCACTTTTGCATAGTGAAGATATATTAAGCTCTCATGGAGCATACTCTTCTCCTATCCCAGATTATACAGGCTACCTTTTCTCAATGTGATGCCTTCCAGATGTGTTGAAGTATAACTCCCATATTCCCAGTCATTGTGATGGAATTTGATCTAGGGTTCAGGTTAGAAGAGTATGAGAAAGGTGTAGTCTATATAAGTTTTGATGGAACTTTGGTTATGTGCAGCAGTTAAGCATTTGGGTTGAGAGATTAGCATTTCATATCTGCCAAAATCGCCTTTCAGATGTATAAAATATTTGAGGGCATGTTGTAATGAGCCAGTTTAAAAACAGACCCTAGGGATAAATGCCAAGACTTACTTTACTTCATTAGTGTCCACCTTCTTCTTTTTCATCTAGGAGGCAGAAGGCCAGGGAGAGGCAACAAAAGTTGTTGGCGGAATTTGCATCAAGGCAGAAAAGCTTTATGGAAACTGCCATGGATGTTGGTAAGATTTTATTCTCTGTTTTACATTTATTTCCGTTTCTAGGGTAATTGGAAATGGAGTTAAAGAATAAACTAAATATTGCTCCTAGAGGCACATTCGATAAGAAAGGAAAACCTTTCAGATTGGAGGGACCAAGAGGCAACCTCTTCTTTGACTCTATTTTAGGACATCTTACTGACTCAAGACTCATTTTAATCTTGAAAACAAGCACTTAGTTTGGCTTGGGTCCAGGATCTGACTTCCATGTAAGGTTACCTCATCTGATGAACCGCATTTTGAATGGTTCAGATCCAGATTTATGCTGGATCAACTACACCAGCAGATGGAAATGAACCTCTTTGCCCCACACTCCACACCACACCCTACCCCACCCAGCAGGTTTCCGAACACTTTGTGCAGTATTTTCAGGGGACTGGATGGCTGCACTGGGAAATAAGAAGGAAGTTCGTTTCTGTCAATATAGTTGATCCAGTTTAAATCTGGACTGATCCTTTCAAAATGAGGTTTGCGCCCAGTCTTCATTTACAAAAGATGAGGTATGTAGCAAATGATAGTATTTAATTTCTCAAAACCCGCATATAAACTTGCTCACTAGCTTTTTGTACATGTCAGACTGGTATAGGAAGAGGAGAATGACATGATGGATCCCTGAATCCTCACTGAACATTTTTTTTGGTATGATAAGTGAACACTATCCCTAAGATCACCTACTGGGAATAGACAGAATCACTCTGGGGTAGCCCTGTGGATATTTGGCAGATGTGTTGCTTCCTCCCATGTAAAACTTGGCTGGATGATTAAATAGGATTGGCAGGATATAATATTCTTTGCTGTCTTCCAAGCATCAAACAGGACCATAAAGAAAATATCAGCATCCTGTCCAAATACAGGCTGGTTAATGTCCAAGAAACAGACATTATCAGGTGTGTCTGATGCTTCAAAGCAGCTACTCATTCTGTTTCTCAGAAATGAGAAGTGAGAAATGGAGCTGTAGCCAAGCACGGAATTTAGCAGATGGCCTCTTGAAGAATCATCATCCACTCAATTTCCATTTTGTCTAGCCAGATTTTACCAGCCAATGAGGCATGGGTGATTCTCCATGCCTTTTGTAATTCTTCTTGAAAATATAGTTAAAGGGTGCCATAAAAGTACTTTACGTAAAGATAGTTTAAATGCATAAATTAGTGTTGGTGGGCTGCGGTTGTTCAAATTGACCCATATAAGCATGACAGTAAAGTCTTCAAGCTTCAAGGTCAGCCCCTTCATATAACCTGGTAATTTCAGAGTCTGATATCTAACTGGAGTGAGTTTGAGAGTGAAGTAAGCAATGCAAGGAGGATATAATCCATGTTTATCTGAAGGTTCCAATGAGACAGTTCTCTAAATTCCATGGCAGCAGCAAAGGCATCCACCTTTACCATGATTCTGGTCTTGTGTTTATGCAGGACTGGGTTTAGTGTTTGGACAGGAAGCTGCCTGAAAAAGCTAGTACCTCACCTTGAGTTCCTTAGCAAAAGGCAGTACATAAATTGAACATATAAGTAATAACTCATGAGTGGTCAGCTTGTGACATGTTGTTGCCACAAATGGCATAAGGTGAAGAGCATTGGTGCACTGTTGTTACTCATGTAGAAATACACATTCAGTCTAGGTTGGGGACCTTTGAAGCTGTCTGATTTCTTGCAAGTAGAATTACTTAACCTTTGTATTTTGTCACTGGTGATATTTTAAGAAACCTTTTTCACAGACCCTGATGTGGAGGGATTTTCATTACTAAGAAAATTCATAAAGGATATCCTTTTGAAAAAGGATAATACTGTTTTTCCAGTCTCATATTAACACCATGTGATCCAGCAGATCGCCTGTCAATTCTTGAAGCCAATGCCTTTTAAGGAGTTGTTGGGTGCAGGGGTGATCAGGGAAGATGTGCACTCATTTAACTAACAAGGTTACGCAGGCTTCCCAGCAGCTCTAGCTTTTGAATTCGAGAGGAAAATAAATGAGCTTTCACTGGTCTTCTGAGAATATGCATGCTGGGTTAGGGCAAAAGATATTAACATTCTGAGAGTTCCTTCTGTGCTCGGGGACTACCTTGGCACACTGTGTTCTGGAAGAGCAGTGTTGCTTCTAGTAGTTACACACTGTAAACTCTATTTAGCATGTGGGGGTGTCACCTGCTTCCAGTACTTAAGTCAAGACGATGCTGAAACACAAGCAGCAGAAACATTGGTCAAGGTTAGTTTCAGTAATCTGGTACTGCCTGGCATTTGGTTTGATTTTGTTTTTCAAAAATAGTGTATCCTAGATGTTGTTGAAAGTTCTTCTGCGGGCAATTACGTGTACCATGCATAAAAATTACTAACATAAAATTATTTGCAGCTATTGACTGGCTGAAATGCAGCAGAGACTTGTTACGATAATTCTGTACATTTTATTTTTTCCAGTGGGACTGTAAGAATGCCTGGTACAATGGTAGATGGCCCAATATATGTTGTAGATAATAACTAGGGGGGCTAGATTGGATTCCCAAAACCAAGGTCAGAAACAAAGCTCTGACTTTGGAGTTGGGGATCCGTGAGCGTGAATAACTTGAATAGCTCCATCTTTATATATTTAGGTCTATACTACTCTGGCTTTGAAAGTTCAGGTGCTTTTCCTCTTCCTAGACTGAACAACAATTCATTTATTGTTGATGTAGCATATAGTCCTATTACCACAATATTACGTAGATTCTAACAGGTAGTGTTAAGCACTTTCAGATCCCATTGATTTCAATTACCTGGTTCACACATCATGCCAATATTTACTCCACTAATCAGCAGGTGTGCATGAAACTGCATGTGTGCACTCTGCTTAGCCCTTCACGTTCACTTAACAATCCAGAAATGCCCCAGTGGAACTCAGAAGACTTAGATGTGAATTGAAATTGGAAGTGGTGAGTGGCTTCTTCAAACACTGTCCTAGTCTCTGGCTTCATGTTTCCCAGTTAGGAAGATGAGAGGTTCATGAAGCCAAAGCTCTGTGGTTATTTCCAGTCAGTGACTGGAAATAACAGTGGGAGTTCACATTAGCCTACTTTCCAATAACTGATAAAGGTTTCTCTCTCCACTAGCTCTGTGGGCCAGATGAGGTATCAGGTTAAGCTTGTGAGCTGCAACTTCCCTCCCCCAGGCTTAACAGTGCCAGGTTCTATCCATTCCATTTATTGTATATTTAAATGTGCAGTGTTGAATGCTCCTTTCACATGACAGTAAAAGCTATGTATGAAAAGGTTAATTAGATGTAATAAACCCACAAACTTTGCATATTTGGGAATTTTGCTATGAGAACAACTTTTTTGTAAATGTATTATTTTTATTTTTAAAATGTCAACTGTTATTCTTCTAGCTGTCACTAGGTGGTGGTAAAAGTTTATACACTTTCAATGATTATAGTAAGTAAGGTTGCTTGAGACTTTCATTTCAGTTTTACTTAAAAAATGCCCTATTTGGAACCCCAAAAACAAATCTGAATATTCTTCCAAACTGTTTGCAAATTCCCAAACTTATATCTGTTGTGTTCACAAAATGTGCACTTGAAAAATGTACAAGTTTCCTGAAGTGCACAAATTTTTGAAAAGTGTGCAACATTTCCCATTTGAACATACAGAAAAACAGGTAGCAAATGTGAAAGAGGCCAGGTTTGGAGAATTTCAGGAAGGTCAGATATCCCTGGTTCTCCCATGCCTTGATTAAGGGCTATAGAAGATATTATTTTATTACATTTATATCCCATTTTTTCCTTTTTGTGAAGAACCCAAGGCAGTTTACATAATCTTCCTCCCACCCATTTTATATTCACAGCAACCACCCTTGAGGTAGGTTAGACTGAGACTTAGTGACTGGCCCAAAGTCACCCTGGGAGCTTCATGGCCGTGTGGGGACTAGAATCTGGATCTCTTCAGTTCAGCACTCATATCCATTATACCACACTGACTCTCTTCTTTACTTCCTAGTCTTTTACTGGTTCTGTATGGATTGCTGAGTGCCTACCTATTTGAAACATGATCTGAAACGAAAAGCAAATGGCACCCTCACTGTGACAAGGTTAACACTTTGCCTTGTGCTTGCCACACAAAGATGCTTGCACTAGCTTCTAGACATGAGCCAGCTGATGCTATTTTATCATGCAAATCTCAGAGACCAGATTAATGCAAGTTTATATATATTTATATGGTCTTCCAAAATATGAAAGTGGTGTTGGGGGTCATATTAGGTATATCAAAGAGTTATGGATAAAAAGGCTGTCTGAACCAAAGTTTGCTTTTGATCTATTTCTGGCAAGTAGCTTGATCTAGGAAATAGGGACTGATTAAAAAAAAAAAAACTTGCTCAATAAAGTCATGTTCCAGACAGGTCTAAACCACAGAGAACAGGTTGCAATTTTTTTGTGGAGTATTAGAAGAAAAATGTTAGCAAATATTAATAAATATGAAGTGGTGAATGAATATGAATTAAAAGAGGACAGTAGTCAATCAGACTGCAGCAAGCAATTATATCACATTTCATGTTCAAGCATAAAGCTATAAAAGTAAAAGGAATATACAGGGTGGGCTTGCTCTTGGCAGGGAGCAATCTCTGCTGGCAGAAATCTTTATTGGTAATATAGGCAGTATACTTTATCCAGTCTACCTTTGGTTGTGAGCTTTGTGAGTACCAGGGTATCAGTTTCTTTTCCTAATTGCCTTAAATATATTGGCTTGTTAATAAATGTTTGAAATATAGCCCATAGGCAGCTATTTACAAAGTATCTGTGTTGTCTGTGCATGACTCGGTCCTTTGGAGCATCAGAAAAACTATATCTGTCTGAATTCAGATACAGACAAGAAGAGTCTAGCACAAGTAAACAGGAGGTCAGCTTGTGTATTATCTTTAATTTATTATCCTTAATTTTTTGCTCCTGTACTGTTACTCCATGGGTGTGTGGAAGTCTAAGGCCAATCTTTTAAATCTATGTCAAATTTTAATGCTAGAGGAAGTATTTGATCCCATCTGGATCCCATGCTATAAGGTTCAGATCTGACCCTCTGGGACAGATCTAGGTTAGAAGAAAAAAAGTATACTCCAAGGCACATTTGACATTTGCTTTGGCCAGCATTAGGCTTTCTAAGGCCAGTACCAAAATGGGTTTTCCTATGCCATGTAGATTAATAGCAAAAATAAGATGAGAATTTGCCCATTCTGGAAAATAATTAATAATGAAACATCAGCATGATTAAAGAGCACATCTTCTTTAAGTCTGCAGGGTTAAAAATACTTGTGTGTAGAAGTATATTTCACAAATAAAATATGATAGAGTTGTATGTTTGCAGTGAATTGTGGTAGCTTCCTGTATTAAAGTGAGAGGTTCTGATTCGGGCTGTTAATCCTATGAAGATGAGCAGAAGTCTCCAGACTTGAAGTCAGCAGCAGCAGTGGCAGCTCCTCCTCCTCCTCCTGTCTTTTCAGTGGTATTTCAGAGGAGGAAGAAAGGAAGGTGGAAAGACACCAGAATAATTGTTCCTCAGCTGCAGCCTTCTACCCCATTTTGAGTTTTCTTTCCCAATTTGCAGAACAGCCAGTGTGGTTTTTTCCATGCCGGCTCTGAGGGAGCAGGGTGCTGATGTCCAAGTCAAAATTCAGTCTCAGATCTCCAGTCTGGGAATCTGAACCATCGTATGGCCCCTCAGATAATATGCATACAGTGTCCCCTGATCAGTTATTGTTGCAATATTTAAGAAGTCAATTACTTAATTTAGCAAGTTACTTAATATTTAAGTAAATAAGAGACTGGTAAATATGGCATCTTTTACCTTTCATTTGTGTTACTTTGATATCTTTTAATATCAGTATCAATGAAAGAACTTGTAGCATCTAAGAAGTCTCAGACTTATTTATTATTTATTTATTTAGAAAATTTCTATGCCGCCCCATTCGCCGAAGCCTCGGGGCGGCTTACAAATAAATCAATTAAAATACTGTAAATTAACAATATAAAACAAGTTAACAATATAAAATAAGTCGCCCTGGCCAAAAAATAAAATAAATAAATACTATTAACAGTTAAAATGACGCTTGAATAAAAAGGTATGCTTAACTAAGAAAAATGATAATTTTTGTAGGTTGTACATGTAACACAGTACCTCTAATAAGGTGAGTATAGAAGACTTATGTTTATTTTTTATTTTTCATTATTTTGGGTTGCTTATCAGTCTCTAGGTGCAGTTGAAAAAATGCTTGTCCTATCATCCAGTGTTACACAGAACATTCTTACATTTGCATGGGCATTAAGCTCTGCTGGTAATAAGAAGCATTTCAAGTGGAAGAGTAATACACTTCATTTGCTAATGGATCAAATTACAGACAGTTGCCTCAATTTAACCATTTCCATATAAAAGCACTTCTTCCTTTTATCTTTTTCCTCCCCTATTCCTTAGAATCACCAGATGCAGATATTGCCATGGAGATAGCAACAGCAGAACAGCATGTTTCTGAAGCTATATATGATTGTGTTATTTGTGGACAGAGTGGCCCTTCCACAGAAGACCGGCCAGCAGGATTAGTTGTGCTCTTACAGGCTTCTTCAGGTATGGCTTCAGAAGTACTTTTTCTTAGTATAAACAGTTCAATGAGCAGAATGATATATCTATATAGTTGACAGTATTTTAGTGGCAACTAATGTTGTCTCTTGTACTTCAGTGCAACTGTAAGAGACTGGAGTAGGGTGTACATACACTCTTCTCTACACACATGCATAAATGTTGTGGTTCCCTGTTTTTGCATACTGGGTTTAATAAGATGATCCATAGTATGTCCTTTGAGAATTGGCACCCCTGTGTTCCCATATCTCATGAAAATGAACTAAGATGGAGAGAAAGACATACAGTGGCTACCTTCTTTCTGTCCCATTTGCAGACCATGGCAGAGAGTAAATCACACAGGGGCAACCTGTGACCCATGGCTTCTCTCTCAAGCACAATCATGCACGAACATTCCTGATGGGCAGGGAACAGAGAGAGGTTGCCTTGATTAAGAAAAGGGGTGAGGTTAAATTTCCCCTCCCATGGCCTCTGCAAGCAGGGAGAGAAAGCATAAATCTTACCAGCCCTGTGTACTGAGATGGGGTGGTGGTTGGGAAGACCATGTGTGGACACATGTGTATGTGTGTGCATACACATGCAGTTTCTGGTTTTTGACTCTCAGTTTGGAACTGCGTTGTACTCCCACCTGCTGACGAAGTTATTGCATGACTACAAAAACCTAAGTAAAATGTAGCATTTAACTGGCTGTAAATATAAGCCTTTTACATTGCTTTCTACAGCAGTCATTTTAGCCAGTTATATGACTACTTCTGACCAATAGTGGGCACCAGATGCTTTCTTTGAGTTTCATGGATAAAAAGTGAATTACCTAGGGTGTACTTTAACTCTGTTTCCTACTGTGCTGCAGATATCTCACTCTGTTCTTTTTCCCTGCAGTTTTAGGGCAATGCCGCAATACTACTGAAACCAAGAAGCTGCCAACATCTGAAAAGGAACAGATATATCCTTGGGATACATGTGCAACAGTATATGAAGCGCGGCTTGCAACTTTACAGCAGTTCTTTAAAGATGTATGTTACTTGCAGTGGTACCATGTGATAATAATCCTTTTATTTAACTAAAATAGGACTCAGCCCAATTGTGATTCCTGTAAGACCCTGAACTTGGAGGGTGGAGTGACCACAGGATGCTTTGTCTTCTGACCACTTCAATTTCCTGCTCTTTCCCCAACCCGCTTGAATCCCTCTCTGAAGTTGCTTTTCTGTCAGAGAGCAAGCAGCCAAGTGAAGGGGAACAGAGTTCCCGTTCCCAGTTCTGAGGCTGGACTGCTGTCTCCAACCTTGGGGCTGGAGATCACAACGAACCTGTCTAGGGGCCATCATTCCTTGAATTGTATTAACAGCTGCTGTTCCTGTTATTTCTGCTGAATTAAAATGGTATCTCTGACGTATTCAGAATTTTAATATTGAGGGTTCCACAGATATGAAGGATTTGGGTAATGCCTCTGGTTATAGTAACGGTGAGAGTGTCCTTTACGAATTGTACACAGTGTTCAACTTCAAAGTGTAGATTCAGGTGCTTGCTCAGCCATGGAGTTAATTGGGTGGCCTTATCCAAACACAGAGCCTGTAGATGTTACTATTCAGGCTCTGATGAACCAGTGGTTTGATTCCCCCCACCCAATAAAAAGTCCTAAGTGTAATTAGACTTAATGAGGACTTTCCTCTTTTTCTTTATAAAATAACTGTTTAATTACAGCTTGATCTGTCAGTAGCTTTATTAACAGCAAAGTGCAGCTCTGGCTTACGGTGCAGTTCTTCCCAGAATCCACCTAGAACAATTTTTGTGTGTTTGTATCACATGCTTTTGAACCGTTTAAAAAGAGAGATAGAAAAAGAACACAATGGCAAGCAACCCTCATGTATGAAACTGTGTTCAGGGTCCCTGAAAAACAAAACATTCCCAATTCACCATTAGACATTGGTATGGTAAAATTGGGAGCAATTTTAGCTCACTACTAACACCTCTTTTGCAAAATGGATATGATGGTGATAAGATATTTAAACATTTGCTTGGATGACATAAGATGAGCTTTCTGCACAGTTCCTGCATAGCCTAGACTCCTTTGCCAAGTTTTCACAAGTTCTGCATCCGCAATGAAACTGGCATTCTTTAGCATTTATCACTTATTTAAGATATTTGTATGTTGTCCTTTAGCAATCACTTGGAGTATAAGTGATTTGGAGTATATCACTTATACTCCAAATTACACTAATGGGACTGGGAGAAAAGGGAGAGTCTCACCTCAGACAAACTAGGTATAGGAAAAATGGGCTAAGGGATAATAGCTCTGTAGATTATGAAGATTCTAGTAACTGAAAAGGAGACAGGCATAGAGAAGAAAAACCTTTGCTGCTAGAGAAGGAAGGAGGCACAGATAAAACTCAGCTGCACCTCTGCTACCTTTGTATCATCTTGGTTTCATCAACTGGTGATAGGAGAAAGGGAGGTCAAAAAGATGAAAAAGCAAGCAGCTCTTCACACCCCCAATAATATCTATTCAGATCGCTTAATATTGAAACAGCACCCATTGTATAACAGGGAAGAGGAGAACTAGAAAATGACTGGGTTCATGTGATACAAAAAGCCCCCTTGGGTTTGTCAGGGAGCTTGTTGTGTCATGGTGAACTCACCATGTCTATTTCAGGATGACTTCTAGGCTCACCAGGCTTTTAGTAACTGGGGGTTTCTATATCTGGAGCTGGTTGACCCAACAAACCTCGCGGTATCCCAAACTGTTACAGAACTGTGTGGCAAGAGTGGCAAAAATTCCTTGCTGCTCTGCCCATGTGGCTACCACCAAGCATCTCTGACAGCTGCTTCTAGAGTGCCCAAGCAGCCCTTGGAGTGGCTGTCAGAAGACTTCCCACTATCCCATGCTGTCGTTGCTGAGGGTGGTGATTGGCTTAGATGTCGTGTGGGTCAGTTGAGCTGATTGTAGCTGCCCCTGCAGCTACTCAGCAGTGACTCTGGATCACACATCCATCTGTCACTGTGGTTTCCTGCCAGGACTACTTGGTCCACTCAAGAGCAGTCCAGGTGAGACGCTGCTTCTGCTGATTTTAACAGAAGCAGGCTAAGAAGGAGATGCTCTTTGGCCAGGATCATCAGCAGTGGCTTGTGAAGCCTACTTGTGAGTTGGGCTGTGGCCTGCCAATGATCCCCTTCTCTTCTTTCATAGAGAAAAAGGGGTTGGAGAAACACTTAGTACTCCAGCAGTGTCCAATGGAATATCTGCAGGAGGACTGATGGAGGCAGAGTGCACTCTACTTTTGAGGCACACCATAGTTTCCATTTATGGGTGTAGGCACTCCTTGGCTATGTCCGTTCTTCAAACAGGCCTTTCAAGTGGAGTGATGATGTAGGGACTGCTGTCTCTCCATTCCCCGAGCTTTCCTCTGGCATACAGCAGCCACAGCAGGAACAGCTGCTGCCTTCAGTGATGGTCTAGGAAGACTGCATGATGGCTGCCTGTCATTCTGCTTTCCCTGTGATTGAATGGCGAATGGTGAGAGGAAGTGGTGGCAGTGGGAGGAGGCAGGGATTATTTTGCTCCTGTCCCCCATCTAGATACCAGAGGAAAGAATGTCATGGACATTCTTGGAACCTGGGAACTTTTCACCATCACTGTTTCCCCAGAGTGTTACTTATCTGGTTCCATTGGGACTATATATATCTGGGCTGTATTTTATAAAATCTTCCGGAAAAGATATGGCCTTCTCTTGTACTCCTTGTTCTTGCAGTAGTCATGCAGTAGTCTTATTACATAAATGTTTTATCATGCCCAGAAGTACGATTTGGCTAATACAGGTTTGGTTGATGTAGTTCACTGGAGCACTATGTTACTAATGGAGCATTCCATTTTTATATAAGCATAGATATATTGACCTGGTTTGGACAATATGACAGCCCACTGTAGGTTAATTAATCCTTGAGGCAATGTAGCACACGCTGTTGATCATTATGACTATTCTAGCCTGGGTGGGAGATGCCAGAGCTTGCATAGTCATAATGGCAGCTGGCAACCACAGCTCCTTACAGATAAATTAATCCATGATGGGCTGTTGCATTACGCAAATTGGCCCAGGGTATGTTCCAGAATGGCAAATATTGGGAGAAGGCTTTATGCTTAGACCTAGTTCTTTCTGAAGTACAGACACTTGCGTGATTAGGAATCCTTTGTCCTTGGGAAATTATTTTATAAAACAACAGTATTTGTTTTAGTTTGAAAATGGCTAATCCAATGAAGATTTAGTTGAAGCGGATGTTTTTGCTTTCTTTCAGCTTTTTAGATCATTATTGTGCCAAAACAGTCACAGCAGGAAAGAATTAATCCTTAAATTTCTATTGGCAAAAAACAGAAACCTCTGCTAATCCTTTGAATAGTTCGTTCAGCTGAACTAAGCAATAAAAAAATGCCCATTGTTGATCAGCACTCCCTTAACTGTAGGCATTATTGCTGTAGTGGTAATTACAGACAGCTTTAAGGTAAAAGTTTACTTAGTTGGAAACATTTTTAGTATGAAACAAAATGGAGCCATATATGTTGCTGAAAGGAGAAACTCCTTTCTGTTTCCAGAGAAGCTTGTCCTCCAGTTACATGTATAGCAGAATGCTTCTACATGAAGGGCTCCTAATGCTACCTATGAAAAGGTTATTCTGTATAAGACTATTCGCTATAAATCATCTTCCTGCCCCTCATCAAGGTTGGGTGTATCTGGAAGCTTCTATCTAGATTGGAGGCTTAGCGGCTCAATTGGTACTGTAGCTGGGATGGGGGCACTTCTTCGGGGACTTTATTTCTGCATCATTCAGCAACAAAGTTCTAACTGCTGCCTCCCCCACGTCCCCTGATGTTGTGAGTTCGGTTTCCTCCCTTCGCACATTCAAAGCCACAGAACTTTCTTGCAGTAATGTTCTTGATTGACCAGAGTATTTTCCCAGAAAGAATCTCTGAGTGTGCACAGAGTCATTTGTTGAACCTAATCTAGTATTTACTCCTAGGAACTCTCCTTAGAACTATGTTTGGCCCCATCCTTTTGGGAGGGGCCTTTTGGAAAACAGCACACCTCTTTTCTGCACACCAATCCTCTAATTGGACTGCCAGCATTGTGTCCTGGGGGCATACCCACCTCATCTGCCTCCTCTGTTTCAAGCCCCCTCTCAATAACTGTACATCTTGGTTATTCTCGGAGACTGCCTGAGCACCTAGAGAGTCTGGCCTTGAGAGAAGTGCCTCTCTTGTTCTCCAGCAATGCATGCTTTCATGCTTGCTTTGTGAAGGTGCCAATAGATAAATCCTTTATAATCTACAGTAGCAACTTCCCAGATAGTGCTTTCAGACTGACTGGTATATAATACCCAGGATCTTCTTCTTTTGTACATTTTGAAGATAGGGACAATGTTTGCCCTAGTTCACTCTTCTGATACTTACCAATTTGCCATGATTTCAAAAAGGTAACAGAGATTCTAAGAGTCTGTCCACTAGCATCTTCAGCACTGGGGACCTGTCTTCTTTCTTGCCCCCACCTCCCCCCCAAATATTATTTCTGATTGAGCTTTTAGTACCAACTTCCTTGAATTCCTCTTCTTAGGTTTTTCTGTCATGGAATCCTATTTATCATCCCTCAGAAGTTCAAGCTATATGTTTGGCTGTTCTCAGCTTTAGTTTTCCTCAAAATCAAAAACTCAAGCATTGTATGGGTAGTTTCCCCAAGTAAAGTTCCTGTTACTTCCACTTTATCAACCAACTCTCCCATATCGGTCAGAATCAAGTAAAGAGCATCTGATCCCCTCATTCCTTCCTCTGCTTTCTGAAGGAGACTTATCTGCAAAGCAAGAATTTCCTGGGGAGATTATGCCTGGCAGAGTATATCCAACTGATATCAGGGTAATTAAAGTTCCCCATCTCTACTGCTTTATTTTTCCCTAAAATGTCTGCAATTAGCTTTTAGCTCCTCGTCTCCTTAGTTGAATATGTCAGTAGTAAACTCCAACCACACTATTTTTTTATACCTTCCTTCCTTCATTTTAATCCAGATACTTTCAAAAGGGATACCATGTTTAATTCTTTTGAATTTCTGTGCAGGTGACTTTCTAATATAGTGCAACTCCTCCTCTCTCTCTGTGGCTTTGGTTCATTTGAATAAGTTATACCCTTTGATTGTTATATTCTTCCCATGGGAGTCATTTTACCAAGCTCCGTCATATCTATCAAGCCTTATTTACCTTCTTGTATCAAAAATTCAAGCTCATCCTGTTTTTTTCTTATACTCTGAGCATTATTATGAAGACAATGAAAGTCATGAAGCTTATGCTCCAATGAATCACCTTCATTAAGGCACCACTATAGCTGCTTTCCAACAATGCACGACCCCTTATTTGTAATCCTTACCTCTGGACTTATGTCTTTCTCCTCCACAGAATTCTGTTTAAAGCCCAGATCAAGCTCACAATTATTTGGATAAATACATTCTTCTCAGTCTTTATGAGGTGCAGTTCATCTCTTGCTAACAGCCCTGAATGAACCCTGGTACCAGAAACCAGATCTCTCTCAGAGATGCCATCTTTATAGTCAGTGGTTCAACTACAAACTTCTTTTGCTTTTTAGTTCTCTTGCATGGACTAGAAAGATGGATGGGAACACCACTTGAGACTCAACATTGTTGAGCTTCCTTATTGTACTGCTTTGTAGCACAGTCATACCTGTGCCTTGCAGTATAATTCATGATACCCTACATGGGAAGCATGAGGGAATAACTAACAGTAGACTTGATCATTGTCAGCAATTACCCCATCACATTCTAATCTGTGCTCCTTGGAGACAACATACTTCCCAAGTGAATTAGTCTGGCTGGCACACATCACCTTCTATTCCTTTCATAGGGAGATATAACCTCAATGATTGTTAATCTGAGTGGCTTGAAGTTGGCTTGTTTGAATAAACTATGTTTAAAACTAACCACTGCTTGTTCTGGTTTGAATATAATAAATGCAAAACAAAGACAAAGCTTTTAAACTTCTCTTTCTAGCCACCTCAAGGGGAGAAAGGGGAGGGGGAAACTCATGAGCTCACAGCTCATTCACATAACGCTAAACCACAGTATAACATGTTTGAACATCGCTGTGGCTGTAATAATGATGTTAGGAGGCTTGGAAATACCTATACATTTTATGCTATCTGTTGTGCTCTTTCTAGAAATTGATTTTTAGAATTAGCCATGTCATATTTATTCCAACTACCCATGCTTATTCAAGTCACTATGAGGTTATCTCAGTGAATCAAAGGACAGCAACCTGCATTTTTAAACAATAGTAAATATTTGTGAATTATCCTAAATTGTGTGCTTTTACTTTTAGAGTTCCTGTCTGCAATCAGTGTCTATTGGCTGGGAAGGAGGTGTGTATGTGCAAACCTGTGGGCATACATTGCACATAGATTGTCATAAATCCTACATGGAATCATTGCGGGTAAGTTTAAATGGAAATGTTCAGTGTTTGCCCTTTTACTCATTAAACAAGTCTTGTTGATAATGCTGGTAGAGAATCCCAGTGTAGCAATAATTGTTTTTAAATTACAAGATGAGAAATCCATATTTTAAAACATATTGTAGTGTGTTATACCTTCTTCCCTCCAATTAAATTCTAGTGTATAATACATAATTAAAGTTTCCTGGAAGGGTCAGTGATGTGATTACAATTTAGTATTTACTGATATTACAGGAAGAATTTGGGTTAAATCCAGTGCTCATGAATGGCATGGGGGGCATGCACATACATATGTGTGTCCACACTTGTCCCCCTCCAGCATTGCCCAGGCAAAAAATATTGTACACCATTAATCTCACGGGTTCAACCATAAACTCACCTTGGATGAAATTACCTTAAATTGAAGGGGGTTGTTGCAGCACTTCATGAGGGGCTGGGTGCAGAATCTGTCTAAGTCATCGTGCAGCCAGGTAGTTCATACAGTGGGCTGCTTGAGCTCAATAGTCCTTAAAAATAGTCCCATTTGGGGAGCCATTTGGCTAGTGCAGACAGCATTTAAAAGCTCAAACAAACAAACATGAGGGTTCCTGCCCAACAACTGCTTGGTTCTTATCATACTGATAGTTTACTGACTCCCTGGGTTTGCACAAACTCTTGAAGAAGTAGGTTGGGCTATGGAAAAGTTATGCACTGCTATGGAAGTTGAAGAGCAGTTAAGGATCAGGAGAAGGAAATCTGGATCCTCCTGCCAGTATGTTTTAGCCACCAGTATTGCCCTCAACTACTTGTGGTTAGTTCTTCTTCCTCTAGAGGCAGAAAATACTATTATATTATATTATACTAACCCTAACCCCTAATGGACTGCAGGTGGCGCAGTGGTTTAAACTGCTGTGCTGCTGGGCTGGTAGATCGAAAGGTCGCTGGTTTGAATCTGCACAACAGGGTGAGTTCCTGTTGCTCCGTCGCAGCTCCTGCCAACCTTGCAGTTCGAAAGCATGCAAATGCAAGTAGATTAAAAGGTACCACTTTGGCGGGCAGGTAACAGTGTCCTGTGCACGTTGGTGTTTAGTCATGCTGGCCACATGACCACGGAGACTGTCTGCGGACAAACGCTGGCTCCCTCGGCTAGGAAACTGAGATGAGCACCGCCCCCTGGAGTCAGGCATGACTGGACTTAATGTCAAGGGGAAACCTTTACCTTTTACCTTTTTAACCCGTAATAGTATAATATTGAGAGAATTAGATTTGGAGAGAGGCCTTGGTTTTGTGTTGAGGTTATTTTGGATGCCTAGGATAAGAAATGCGTGCTTTAGTTTTCTCTTTCCTCATAGGTACTGGTACATTCACAAAGAATTAAACATTACCCAGCAAGACGTAAAAGGTGTAGTTAATTTTGTTACAAATGGGCACTGAACCTATGCTTAGTTTAAGGCTTCTAGTTAGTCAAGACACTTTCATTATAAAACTAAACAATGCTGAAGCAAATGCTACTAATTATCTTTTGCTAATCTAACAGCAAACATCTCTGGGGACAACATGTTGTCCAGGAAGTGACCACATGATTAGGATTGGTTATGGGAGACCCAGTCATGAGATTCAGTGGATGGTCATTAAGAAAGGGACTATAGGTGCTCTCAGATGAGGCTTTGATTACATGGCCTGCCACATGTGAGGAAATCCTATGTGCACACATCAAGGTGACATTGTCTCCTACTCATATACCACTAATGTTTTCCTACCACTTCCTCTATCTCTTTTCTTGTTGTAGAAAATTTGCCAAGAAAAAAAGGTCAGAATAGCTGCACAATGACTATTGACAATGCTAAGATACCATTGTCTGGAAGCACCCTGTCTCTTTTGGTGTATTGAAAGGGGTGAGGTTAAAGATACTGGTTTGAAATGTAGGATAAATACATTTTAACCATATGGTTATGTAATTTGTATACATTCTGGATTGTTAAAAAAATTCAATAGTAACTAAGAAGGCAGCATGTTGTGTAATTATTTAAAGCTTCAGAAGAACGCTTTATTGATCGATAACACCTATTCAGTTTCTGTAAATAACAACAGTCAGTTTTATTTTTGATGTGGTTGTCTTTGGTATTGTTCAGGCTATAGCTGGTTATTGCTTCAGAAATTCAAATGCATTTTTTATTTCTTTTAGAATGACCAGGTTCTCCAGGGTTTTCCTGGGGAGAAAGGAGATTTTACTTGTCCTCTATGTAGGCAGTTTGCAAACAGCGTCCTTCCCTGTTATCCTGGCAACAATGTGGAAAGAAGCCTTTGGCAATGTCACAGTAACAAGAATATGCAAGATCTCATAAAGGAGGTTGAAGAGCTTCAAGAGCAGCTGGGAACTTTCCCAGTAAGCATCAGTGTAAGGCAGAAAGATCCTTGTTCGCTTGTCTCCCCTGTTCCACCTCCTTTTTCAGTCTGTTTCTCTCCTCACAAGACTCATGAATGCTTGCTCTCATTTCTGAATGTTCTCTCTCATTTCTCTATTAAATGCTTAAGAGCTTAAATAACATTAACGTTTTAACACTTATGAGTTCTGTTACATCACCTTAAAATAAGATATATTTATCTGAGCGCTTTGCTTCTGCATTTCCCTGTATGCATTTATAGGTCATTAAATTCATGCTTTCCAGAGTGTCTTTTTTTGCACAGAATTGAGCTGTATGACTTGACATAATTTCTCTATGGTATAAAGCATCAATCATTTTCCCCATGGCAACCATTTATAGTGTACTGTTCAAGAGTCAGGATTATTCATTTTACTGTTTGTTTGCTTTTTTACTTATGCAGCTTGAAGCTTTACATTGCTATCAGTTAAAATTATAAACTTTGCACAGTTACTTAGTAGTAAGTCCCATTGAATGCACTGAAGCATAGTTCTGAGTAGATTTGTGTAGGATCACACAAGTACAGTTCCCTATCCTTAGCATTGAGCTTGCTAGTTAGTAGTGTGTTAGAATAGTACATCCCTCATAAAACACTGGCACTTTAAAGGTTCTGCATTGTAACTCTAAGTCATTCAGTGCCTAATTGAATAATTGTAGAATCATACAAATTAAGAGTGCTTTGCTTATTTTATGTGTATTTAGATGCAGATTAATTTTATAAAATCAAGTTACATTTCAGCTTCTAATTATTTCTCTTACATAATTTGTAACAGTAATTCCTAAAGTGAGTGCTTTGATCTGTAACCATGTCTTATTGTAGCTAAAATCAGCTAAAATGAAATCAGCCATTTATAAAAACTTTTTTTTTTAAGTCAGAGACCAATTTAAGTAAAGAAATGGAATCTGTGATGAAGGATATAAAAAATACTACCCAGAAGAAATACATAGACTACAGCAAGTCTCCTGGATCACCAGATAATGACTTCCTTTTCATGTATTCTGTTGCCAGGTAGGTACAACACCTGTTCCACAGAATCTTTCTGTCATAAGTCAAAGAAACTGGATCATTACTATTGTTTTCTGTATTTTGGAACAATTTCCTTAACTATTTTGGTTTGGAGGAGAAGATGATCCAGCAGAGTCAGAATTCTTCATATGTTGTGTTATATAATGCTGCTGAGATCCACAGAAGCCCCAGTCCCAGTGTGGGCCTTTCATTTCAGCAAGCCTTTCCATGCAGGAGTGTCCCAGTGTCCACATAAAGGTGTCCTATGTTAAAGCTAATGCAGAAAAGCTAACTGCTTTTAGGTATGATGATCAGCTTCATTTATGTTGGACATCAGAAATGTATGAGTGCAGATTACATATGATTGCATATGATTACATATAATCAAGACTATGAAACAAAGGTAACCTGGTAGATAGTACTTCTGTACTAAATCCCTGAGCAGTTACGAGAAAGCTCAAGTTTGTGAGTCTGTATGCTTGTCAGCATGTATCTTTTCTCCTGATGCATTGAGAACAGGAAATAAAAACGACAGTTTCCAAAATGAAGCAGGGAGCTGTTTGTAAGCTGTCCCTCACTCAGCAATAAAACTTGGAAAACTCTGAGCCTGCTTGAAGTCATGCTGATTCGAGGATGTGTATGGGTTTTGTTTTTGTTTTTGTTTTTTTACTTTTATAAATCCTGATTAATTTACCAGAAGGAACAAAAGAACAAGTTTCAGAGGTGCCATTCAAGAATATTCCAAAAGTTTTATTGCAGGCTTTGTTTTGGTGATAAATTTCCCTCCCTTTTCCCCTGCCCAACTGTGAGTGTGAGAATGGTGGGGAGAAAGGTAACTTGGAGGTAAGAGAAGTGGTAGTGTCACCGATACCTGAATGTCTCTGGTTATTCCCCCACTTCCTGGTTTCATTAAAGAAGAATGAACCTTTCCAGATTTCTTGTGATACCTTTCATTCTGGTTATTGCTTGCCTGTCCCTCCCTCCTTCCACCATCAGAGTTACTTTAGATTTTAAAAACATGTTTGAACCTGTGTACATGCACCAATTCACCACAAAATGCTTAATCATTCTTCTGCAGCTTCTTTAGATTCAGAGAATTTTGTCTTGATACTTCTTCTTGCATTGAAGTTGTTGGTGCATGTGGATGTCTCAGCAGGATGAGCAACCTTTTCTTGAATCTTCAGGAAGCCATTATGTTGCGACTGAACCAGTGAAGCTAGGAAGGAGAACAATGATTTTTTTAGCATTATTTTATATCTTGACCTTTATTTTTTAAAGGGAACTGAAGTGTGTTGAAATAATGCACACTGTATTCCTTCACACTTCTTGTTCCAGAATTATGGTGCAATCCTATGTGCATTTAAACATGGAAAAGCTCTACAGCCCCCTGTGTTCCTCATGGCTGGCTGATAGATGCTGGGAGTTGTAGGATTTTTTTCTATGTAAACATGCACAGCATTGCATTATTCCTAAATCTGGATTTTTTTAAAATGAGATTTCAGAATTCTAGTATTTACTATAGCATAATAGAATTTAGATCTTTTAAAGGCCATGTAATCTAATCTTTTGCAAAGAGGGAATGTGGATATTTCTGCTAGAAGCCAAAGGTAGGAACCCTTGATACCTGCCATGCCAGACTGTTGAAAAAATAAAAACTATCAAGCTGATCCGTTTGTGGTCGTTAGAGTAGCCAGTTTACTGGGGCTGCAAATAAGTTAAATGACTGTAGAGGGCAACCATTAACCCTGCTGAGAAGTCAGCCTCTCCAGGCTTTGCGTTTACCCATGCCATTTAGCAGCCTATCTGTCAGTCTGTAAAAGGAAACAGGAGCAACTCCATCAACTCAGTTGAATGACCTGCCATTGTTTTTGTTTCTCCTCTCTTTAAGTAACTTCCTTTTCTGCTAGTTGCAATAAGACCAAGGATGCTCAGTTGCATTACTGCTGGTCATTAAAAGAACCTGACAATATTGAGACGAGATACTTTTCTCTTCCCACTCCTTTTCCTTTTTTTAAAACATGTCTTTTAATGTTACAAGCTTGAAGGCAGGGACTGTCTTGTTTTTATGGATCTGTATGCTAGCTGAAGAGCTGGGTGCAGATACTTCAAACAGATATATAAGGGCAATTAAAAGGCTGGCGAAAATAAACACTGATCTCATTAATATTTCCATGGTGAACTAGCAAATGATCTTCATTTCCTATTCTGTCCACTAATATGAAATCTGTGTCCCAGCTTCTTTGCTGGGAGGTTTTTAGAAGTTTAGTGAGCACTGCAAATCGCCTGAAGAGTGGAAAATTCCCTTGTCATGCGGACAGCCTTATCAGTACCAACCAGATGGAGCTCAGAGCCCAAACATTATCAATGTTAAATTGCTTTTTCCTGAAGTAAGGAGGATTAAAGCATTCCTTCAAAAATTGGTGACAGAAGCTGCAAACTTAGGGATATTAATAAATCGAAATGTTACTATTTTAGAAATGTGTGAATATATTCTAACCAACATGCTATACAAAAAGAGGCCTCTTCTGACTGGTGCAGCTGTAGTCTCTGCAAAATATTTGATTTTGAATGAAATCCTTCCAACATCCCTGATTTTTTTCTGATTAGCTATGCTTTTTCTAATGCCGCAATTTAGTGGTTACACCTAAGGGGTCTATTTAAGTGATGAGGCTTGAACCTTCCTTCCCTTTCATTGTGAGGGAAGAATATAACAAATCAACTGGACAGTGTACCATCTTTATGAAATATTTAGGCACCAGTGTTTTGGGAGACAGTCGGGTATTTTCCAGGCTTTCTGGCTGACCCTGGAAAAGATAAGTATGTTAAAATCAGGCTCCCATGGAGTTACTGTAACATAACACTCATTTTTATTTCTCTTCATGGTGTGAGGGTCATGTAATATTTGAAATTCATGCCAGGTTGAAAATTCTCCCCAAAATATCATGCCCAGTGTCCTCTAATGGGGCCTTTGTCACATAAATACACTTATATCTTCAGCTTCATCCACACTCCAGGGTAAGAAAGCTATTTTTGCAAGTTGCACTCATAAACAATACATCTCTGCTTCTTGTTTACATAGCTGTTCCTGTATTAGTCATTGGTGGATGGGACAAGAAGCCCTACCTTTACCAAATTTGCAGAGCATTTCTTTAAAACTAGAAGTATAAAACCAGAGATTGCTACAGGCCCAACCAGTATCATGACCATACATTTATAGGGCAGTTTTATTTATTTAGAACTTGTAGATAATTTACATATAGGCTATTTCATCATCATCATCATTATTATTATTATTATTCAGAACAAACTTGGAACTTGAACTGGTTCATCGAGGAGGCAATCTCTGCCAAGGAGGTGCAAGCACTGCTGGAAAGAGATCGTGTTTACGTATGTATATTAAGACTTAATAGACGTTAAAAGAATTTAAGCAAGAGGTCCTTACAAGGTCACATTTAAAATATTTTATGGAATCTGTGTGCTCTTTTCTGCTTGCATGTTCTCTGCAGGAACTGTGGTGCACTTTGTAGTAGGAACTCAGTCTTAGTTGCCTGTATACCCGCAGAAGCTGCTGCATTACTGTATGGAAGGTGTGAGAGGACTTTTGGTTAATGAGATTAGATGGAGCATGTTGTGTCATGTGTGGTGTGCAGGGGAGTAAAGCACAGCCATACACTTATGACAACTCGTAGGAACAGGGGAAGCTGCCATATGTTGAGTTATCCATTGTCAGCACTGACTGGCAGTAAGAGCTGTCTCAGTGTCAGACAGTAGCCCTACCTGGAGATACTGGAAATTGGACCCGGACCTTATGGGAAGCAAAACAAGTGCTCTACCGCTGAGCCACAGCACCCTTCCTCCCCCTGCATGCGGAGAAAGGAATGCTCTCTATTAACAGAAATATATTATTTGGGGATAGTGGTGGCACGATTCCTTTCATCCCAGACCTCTAGCCGTAAACGATACATGGGCTGTAAAGCAGGCTGTAGGATTTAAAAACACTCAGATAAGGTTAAAGCTAGAAAGGCTGATAAAAGGAAATGTAACTTGGTACCAGAAACTATGAAATGAAATCGGCAGGGTTTCTTTGCAGAGGCTGTTCCCCAGTTGTACTACTGCAGAGAATGGCCTGCTTCAGTTTATGGAAGTGAGCAAGAATGTGCCTTGGGCTCGCACGCTTCCCCTCCCACCCTGGCCCAGCAGTGAGGAGGAGAGCGGAAACATCTGCTTTGTTTTAAACTAACTGGAACATTGGAGTGGACTATATTGGAGGGGACTCTGGTTAGTTTAAACCAGTGTGCTCCAAACCCAAACGTTGTGGTGGCAGACAGCTGAATTAGACTGCAGTTTGTTGAAGAAGAAAAGGATAAACTATGGCTCATGATCCTGGCTTATTATCAAATCATAGTTTAAACTGACTGGAGTTTCCCACTTCCTGTTATTTTTAGAGAGGAAGCAGTGCTACCAGTATCTTCACGATTGCATAAGAAGGGGTGCCGCACAAGAACCGGTTCGCCCAAGCCTGTTCTCCTAGAACTAAGTTGGTTAATTTTTAGGATGGCTACTGTATCACCCCAAAAGATGACAAAAGAGGATACAATTTTATATACGCTGTACATATGCTCATTTATAGGTGCAGATACAAATTTAGAAAGAATTGTTATGATTTCAATAAAATAACAGCACATCTCACCATAACTGGGAAGACTTTAAGCAGGTGACCTGTAGGCTTTGCTCATTCTGCTGTCCAGATAATTATTGTTGATGGAAAAGTCAAGGTCCTTCCATGCTTTCCCTTTAAAACAAACTTGGGTGGTACAGCCATTAATATAGAGGATGGCTTTAACCAAGGGCTGTTCTCTATAAAGTAGGATTTAAGGCCACTCTATTCACATTGCATAATCAATTTTATTATGGTCATAGACCAGCAGAAGCTAATGTGGACCAGCACAGTTAGTTAAAAATTGAAACAAGTTTAAACAAGTTAAAGCACATTAAAATGAGTTAAAACAAGTCACTTTTCTGACACCTCTCTTAAAATGGATTTAAAAACAAGGAGATAACAAACACAATTAAATAATTACAATCACAGTATACATATATGTGAATCAAGGTCATATATCTGAGAAACATAATACCATAAATATGACAGAACATATTAATATAACTTTTGCTAAAAGCCACTGTCCTTAATTTATCATTGACTTTCTACAGCTGATAGCAAGGCACAAAAACAAACTACTTTGTGAGCAATTTGGGGCTTTCAGTCTGATTGTTCATATTTTAAATAAAATGCTTCAGACCTTTTTGGGATTTTTTTTTGAAAGAGTTAATGAAATCTCTTCATGGATTACAATAAAAAGAACAGTGAAATAATATGTGAGCTTCCATTTCCACTTTTCCCATGTCATATGGGTGTAGTTGATCTTGGACAAGGATCTTATATCTGCCTTCTAAAAGTACAGAAGGTAAAAAGTTTAATCTCTCTAGTGTGAAAGCTCTCCTATACTTGGGGATTAGCCAGTTCGACATTTTAAATGCTGCCACATAATGATCGAGCAATCTCAGTTGACTTAGGAATTCAGTGTCCTTAACACACTGTGAGATTACCTCTTTGGCTTTGGTATACCCCAACATCTGTATGGCATCAATTAAGAAACCAAAGTGTTGTAGTTTTACTACCAGTTACCTTTTCCATTTGGATTAAAATGTATCAGTCAAAATGGGACAAGGCTAACAGGACAAAATATCAACAGCATTTGATAACAGCATTCATGCTTCTGTAGTAATTTGTCCAGTTTTGAGCCATAAAATCGCATTGGGCACACAATTGGGGGTTCCTAAGATTGCTCTTAAAAGCTTTTGTGCAACCTCAAAAGGGGTGTGGTCCTTAATGACATATATCTCGCAGCCACAAAGCATCTGTGAAAGTATTTTAGCAGTAAAAACTTGTAAGACTGCATGAATATATTGGCCACCCTTAGTAGGAAAAGGGGGAAAGAGTGCTCAAGTTCTCCTTTAAGCATTTTCAGTGGTATGCTTGATTTGGGTCTTCTGTTGATGATTCAAAGGCTGCATCAAGGTATTTGTAGGAGGTTATCTGTTATTTGATGCCCATTAATCTGCCATCAGTATGTGGTTTTTTTTGCTATTAAAAATTAGGAGCTTATTTTTAGAATACTTTATGGACAGAAGTTCATTTTTACAATAAGACGCTAAGGATCTTAGAAGACACCTCAGACCTATGCTGTGATGGTGATAGGAGCACAGTGTCACCAGCATATAACAGAATTTACAAGAGTCTGTTTGCAGTTTTGAGGAGTATGATTTTATCCTTTTCAAACTCTGGACTAAAGAATTGATACAGACACTAAACAATGTGGGGGCCACAATGAACCTGTGTCTTACTCCATTATAGGTAGGTATTAAATCTGTCAAATGACCAGCATGACTGCATTTAACCTTCAAACAAGTATTTTCACAGAGATACCACATCAGGATAAGTAATCTCCCACTGATGTTTAAGAGCTTTGACCCCTCAACTTATTTCTGGGAATTAAGTCAAAAGCAGATTAAAGTAATGAGGATGGTATAGAAAAGCTTTAAAGAAGGAAGGAAGGAAGGAAGGAAAGTAAGTCAATGAAGGCAACATGCAGCCCCTGTTTAGTTGTTGAAGCATAATTTTTAGTAATATGTTGGAACACCAATCCATAGATTTAGATTGTTCCACGCTAAATCCAGCTTGCTTATCCTTGAGGATATTTTCTTGTTCTAGCCAGTAAAACAATTTGTTGTGTAGATGAGAGACATATAATTTGCTGATTGTACTTAGCAAACTAATTGGTCTCTAGTTTGCCAGATCAGTTCTTTCTCCTTTTTAATAGATTGAAATAATAATGGCTTGGCCTCAGTCCTGGAGGATATATGTCATGTGCTCTATATATGTACACACTGTCACTAATTCAATAGCCCACATTTGCTTTTATTAGTTCAGGTTATATATTGTCAGATCTGGGTGCTTTTCCAGATTTTAATTTGGAGATAAGATACCAAATTTCTCAAGGGGTAACCTGTGGCCATTTTGGTAAGTTATTTATGTTAATCTTATGTGATGATACATGCAGCAAAGGGCCACTAGGATGGTGGCTGGTTTGCAGGGTAAGCCATATGAGAGACTGAGAGAGCTGGGTCTTTTCAGCCTTGAGTGGAGGAGACTCAGAGGGGACCTGTTAGTGACATACAGGTATGTGAGGGGGTACCATGGGTCATGACGTCCCCCCCCCCGCCTTGCGTTGGTGGGCATGATGCATTCCAATGGAGCACAGCTCAGGGATCCAAGATTTGGGATGGATGCAGGGAAGTACTTCCTGATGGTTAGGACCCCTAGGGTATGGAGTGGGCTTCCATGGGAGGTGGTTAAAGCCCTAACAGTGCAGGTGTTTAAGGATAGGCTGGACATGCACATAGTAGGCATGTCATGATTGCAGCCAGCTGGAGCCAGAGGTCAGACTAGATGGCTCAGGAGACCCCTTCTGACTCACTCTGTTTCTATGTTTGTCCTGATGCAAAGATGGCACTGAAATGAGCTTCCTATGAATTTGGCAAGATGACATGTTTTAAACTTACTAGCCAAGCACACAAAACCACTCACCAAAAAGTTGCTGTGTCTTTCTTTCTTGTTGAATTTATTAGAGTTTCACATATACTTTTCATAGCCTATTTCTTTTCTAAGTAACGCTTTATAAGTTCTCTTCAGTATAAACCATTAAGGCCATAGCATTGCAAATTTTGTTCTCTGTTTAACTGATTTTTTTCCATTAGAAGTTTTTTCAATGTCATACATTCATGATTGAACCAATACTTATATTTTGTAGGGTACCAGTTTGGTGGGGCATTATTTCAGATTATTTTGCAAAAGTATAATTATATCTTTATACAAAGAAAAAACTGAGAGAGTTTCTGCAGTTAACAATGCTTCACAATGCTGAAGGTTATCTTTAGAATGAAATATCTCTGTTATGCTTTGACTCAATCCATTTTATTCATGTGAATTTCTTCTCAGTCTTTAGGTTTGGCATGCATGTGCAATTTGCATAATTGAATTGTCAAGTTTTAGGGTTAAAACCAAGAGTAAATGATCACTCTCAAGGCATTTCCTCACACTGCAACTGAATATTGCATTTAACAAGTTTACTAATCAATAAAATAATCAATTTTAGTTGTTCTCAATCCTGGAAGGAATATACATTTACCATGTCACCTTCAGTGCTCCAATTTAAAACTACCAAGTCAAATCTGTTTAAAAACTGCACTAGACAGAGGTCAGCATACTTGCATCTCTTATTTTTAACTGCCTAATTGGTATAAGGTGGGCATCCTCTTGTTCTTGT